TAAAAGCATCAAATCCACCTTCCCGCTGAGTCATTATACCGGCAGGTATCCGTAATGTACATGTAGTCAAAGCATGGACCCTGGATGGTAACGGAGAGTATCGGATAATCGTCGTCAGTGTATCGATAAGTCGTTGACGTTTGCGTTTTATGTTCGCTGATCGATTCGCAGGTTCGGGTACTTTAACAAAGTTCGTCTCGGCGTCGGCTCAGTTCGGCTCGGTGGTAGTTTGCTACCGCATCGGTTCTTGGTCGCAGGAGCCAGAGTTGTAGCTGACAGAAGAGAGTTCCTGGAGGACGAGGGTGATCAACTTCTATCTATTCGTAGACTGTAGGGCAGGTGAATAGTAATCCCGCGTCCTGACTCGGTACGATCATGGCAGACTCCGAAGTTATTGCGAGCGTCTGCGTACGGATAGAGAGTTGTCGGATAGAGAGTTGTATGTATGGACTCCTATGGGTCGGAGGTCGTGCATAGTGAAGATATGGGACGATTAGCCAAGGCATTTATTCGCGATTGGGCAAGTCTAGCAGTTGAGTGCTGTGAGTGCACCGACGTGACGAACCAGCCTCTGGCTGTAGCTCAACAGGAGAGCGAGAGCGAACTGCTCTAAACAGGGATAGCCCAGACACTATCCGTCTCTTGATTGGTCAGTAGGAAGAGACAAACGTCAGTTTGCGGACGCTAATGCAGACTGCTGACACGCTAAAATCTGGGTAGAGACAAGAAGATAGCAATTCACAAAAAGGACAGAACATAAGGGCAACATTGGTTCTCAACTTCATCTCTCAACTTCTCGCAAAAGTCCTCAAGTTTTCGAAAGTACAAGAGATAAATTGTAAGCAACTTCGACTGTGCTCTGATGAGACTATCCGCACAAACTAGGCCCGAGTCAGTAGGAGCCCCCACCATCTAAAAACATATCGACACCGATTTGACGATTTAGGTTACGGCCTTGTGGCACCATCCCTGGCAATTAGACGGTGGAAGGCCGTCAGCATGCTGCATATAGTTCTCTTGAGGACCAGTCTCATCTCTCCTCGAGCCTTGTTGTCATCCGTTTGTCAAAGAACGACCAGATCTTCGGAGCTGCTGACTGCTGACGCGCCTGGATCTTTACTACATCCCTTGACGCCTTTTTAACCAATGTCTTTCGAGGATATCTTTTCCAATTTAGAAGCAACGACAACAATGGAGATGTGTTTCAGTTCCGGCCCGGCGATTCCTGCCGGGACGGTCATCCCAGTGGTTGCGAATCCTCGTCTGGCGGAACTACGAGACCCTTCAGAGGATTGGACTGGAGTTACGAGTACGGCGGAGAGACGGAAATTGCAAAATCGGCTGAACCAAAGAGCGCGAAGTGAGTCCACCTCTGTACTGTCCGCTGACGTCTACTTTATGAATACGTGTTAGGCTAGTAGCATACAGCAGACAGCTAACGGTAACACGCGTATTACAAGGGCGACGAGCACAGAAGAAACTCGGCAAACATTCTCCATCAGACAGAAGTCCATCCTCCGAAGTGGACTCCGACCCAGCAACAGCCTTGGTGAAAAAGGAGTCGCGTTCCCCGACCAATGAAAACACCCAGACGGCCCTGGCGGCCATCGTCGCAGGGAAGATCGGAAATGCCCCCCAATATATTTGCTTCCTGGGCAAGAAAGGCATGCCAGCCATGCTAGAAAAGTTTGCCGAGAATGCCTACGACGACTACATGCGCGGCCGGCCCTGTACAGACTACCTAACAACCCTCGTCCGTGTAAACGTCTTCCACGCTTTTGTCCGCAACGCCCACGCCCTCAACTTCGACGCAGGGTGGCTGACCTACGACTCCATCTCCCCCTTCAACAAGTCCGGGCCCGGCCTGGGTCTCGCCACGACAACCGCAACGTGTCCGTCCAACATGCTGCCCACGGCGCTGCAACTATCCGTCGAACATCACCCGTGGATCGACTTCTTCCCTCAACCCCGCATGCGAGACAACTTCCTCCGTGTCGTGGCCGAGCACGGCGAGGACTACATCGACGAGGACGAAATGTGCCGGGACGTGGTCGATGTGGGCGCGGGGGCGGGAGTCGAGGACGCGGCGCTTATCGTTTGGGGGGAGCCGTGGGATCCGCGGGGCTGGGAGGCCACGGAACCGTTTCTCCGGAAATGGGGCTGGCTGCTGGACGGCTGCACCGAAATGCTCGAGGGGACAAATTACTGGAGGGAGAAAAGGGGCCTGCAGAAACTCAAATTCAACTGATCCAAATCCTTGCACAAAACAACAGTCCCTCCGCCCGTGTCGAACACAACGAAACATGGGTTTTGATGGACAGAAAGGCAAATGGTCATATATCAGTGTTACTCTGACGTTGCTTGACGAGGTATCTACTGGCTTTACCATCACGAGCTCTTGCTCTTCTTCTGATCTAGAATCTCCATCAACTCGACAAAGTACGGGAGGAATGCCTCGCATTCGACCCTGAAGCCTTCATGGGCACCGGCGACGTCGAGTTTCGGACACCCTAGAATCTTCGCCTGCTCATCGACCGCCTGAGCATACCACGCCTCTCTGCTCCGAATACCCCTCATCAACCCGATACTCGTTCCGTTCTCCTTGATGCGATACAAACTCGGCAGATAGCCCAGTAAGACGGTAAACTCGTTGGCCCAGTGGTTCGGGGGGTTCATCGGATCCGATGGCTCCGTCCGAGGTACACCTTCGTCGAAATAGCCGATCAGCCTAGAGCTGAACTCCTTCTGCGCAGTATCGAACCCCGAAGCCTCGTATATCTCAAGACAGTTGTACAAGAACTCAAAGACCTCGGTGGCGTTTGGCAGTAGCATGAAGGTCGGAGCTTCGTGGGAAATGATGTGCTCGACCATGTCAGGGTAGTCGATGGCGAACTGGAATGCGAGGAGACCACCCATACTACTTCCGAAAAGAGTGGCTTTGTCGAAGCCGAGGGTCTCGATAATGGCGCGTATGTCTCTGGCTTGCTGTGGTGGATGAAGCCTCTTGTTCACCTTGGCTTGACTCGCTGACATTTGTCGACGGTCAAAGGTGGCGCAGAAATATCTATCCGACAAAGCGGTGATGATTTTGTCGTATTGCCGTCCATGGCCGTTGCCTCCCGGGATGAACACGATAAGCGGACCTTTGCCTTGGGACCAATAGTGAATGTCGCAGTCATCGATGTGAAGGACTGCGCGGGTTGGGTTAACCTCCATTGCCATCGTTGTAGTTGTCTCGTGGTCTCATGTAGTCAGAGATAGCTTTAGTTTCAGTTGGAAATGACACTGGGCTTGGTAGATTAGGTACTTGAGACACAATGATACAGGCGACTACCTAGCTATTTAAAGTATTCGAGAAGGAAAAAAGATCGCATCTGATGATATCCAGTCCTGACAGGCGTGATCAAACATTTGCGGCCGTTTCATGACCCGGCTTACAGCAATCGCGATTAGAAATCCAAAAGACGCGTTCTCTGCCTGCGGGGTGGTGATCCTGTCAGCACAGCTAGATTAACCGGATCAATCAGAACGGACGGCGGATGTTACGGACCGGATCTCCTAAATTAAGCTGACGGAAAGGCGCAAGTGATTGGAGATAACGATGACCTTTGAATCCGGACCCGGACCCCGCCCGACAACAGACACCGGGCCGGCGTCCGGCCCCACATCGCCGCATCCGCGATTCTGGCACTGGTGATGACTCAATTACCTACTACCTGGCTTAGCTATATTCATGGTGATTGAGTTCCCAGAGAACTTCCCACGTAGATCAATAAATGGAGCAGATATCAATGGATATTCTGGAGCAACCCAGATCTTTACTTTCACAACTCCCAAAACCCTCGGCAACTCTCGGTAGCGATTGCTGACGTAGCAACCGTCGTATTGATCACAACCATAAGGAACTGAGTGGCGATAACGTGCAGCGCAGAGTTTATGGAGTACCTTACGTATTTCAATGCAGTCGCTCGGGTACATCATCATCATCATCATCATGATCGTCGGACGCTAATGGAATCTGCGACTTGCAAGTATTACTCCGTAAGCAGATGACACTAATATTGCTCTATCCACTCGTAGTCAAGACTTGAAGACTCCATGATCCATCACTGGTGAAGTTCGCACTCTTCGTTCTCTTAGATGCGAAAATCCATCACGCATTGTGACCGAGTTACGGTTCTACGAGAGTTCGATTTGGTGGGTCCACACTCTCGGGAGCGGAAAGCCTCGTGATGGGGCGGCTCAGTTGGCTGGGTCAGCGAACCTGTCAAAACGCAAAAGCAAAAGTCTGCATTCACCAGGGACCTCGCCGCTCAGCACGGAAACGATGCGACGGTGACCATCTAGATGAATACACTGGATTCCCGTAGAGAGGGATGGATCAGTCTTGGCTCGTTCACGCTGGCACATGTACCGCATTACGATTTTCAGGACTAGGTTGTCCCGGAAGATTTGATGCAACCCGGGATCGAAGACTATGTTTGTCAAAAGGCTGGCGTCAAAAGTTTCTAACTGCTCGGAGTAGTCTACATCACCCATGGTCCATGGATCTTGTACTTAGTAGACAGAACACGGAAGTATTAGTCATGTCCTCAAATGTTTGTGAGCTTTCAAGAGTTAGTAGGGACTTGTGCAGGGTCCAGAACAGACAAGATTCGGTTGCTATTTACCGTCCTTGTAGCTAACTTGACCCTTTTTGGCAGTTTTGGGCAAGTCTCGGCTTTCGCCCCCAACTCGTTTGTGGTACGGACCCTGTCAGCTGAAAGGGGGTTCTTTCGGCACATGCCTTCACAAAGACACCCTTGCCACTGCCAGATATTTTTCCTAGTTGCGCGGACCCGGCAATGGCTTGTCAGATATTGCACTTGGAACTAAAGACTCCATGTGTTGATCGACGTTGAGGCCAACGGCTTAGGCACTTAGAGACTCCAACTTGTCATCATATTTCTGGTATAAAGCCAGGACGCAGAACCCCCTTGGTAGAATCTTGAATGAAATCAGTCAGTCTTTCCAGTTTGTAATACTGTCTTCACTCTTTCACGGCTGTCGGTGGTGTTTTGTTTCTTGTAAAACCAAACGAATCGGAAAGCGGTTCTCTTTTCCCAACATTTACAACCTCTTCAACCATTCTTTTGCTCTTGTTTTCACCTCATTCCGTCTTCCGGAATCTGGAGTCGAACGCGGGGGGACCAAATTGCCTATATCGAGAACGCAACATCCGATTAGCTCGACCCCTAGACAGCCTGCCTACTCTCAACATCTGCTAGTACAACCTCCCCCACTCGCTCACGATGCCGAACCAAGAATGGCAAAGCGATCTCATGGACTGCAGCCCATGCGACACCTGCATGATGGCCTCATTCCTTCCATGTATAGGTACGTCAACCAGCCCTACCCAAAACCCCCTGACTATACATCACCAAGAATCCATCTCGTTGCTGACCGACGCACTCCTCGTCTCCCACATCAGTCTTTGGTAAAACCCCTGAGCGCATGCGCGACCCCAGTCTCTCGGACTACTCGCCCGTCAACGGAGACTGCTTCATGATCTCGGCCCTTGGCTCCATCGGTCTGGGCTGGTTGTAAGTTACATGCTGAACCGATGCCCCTTGGCCTCTTTGTCCTCAATGTAGCGGCCGCGTTCTATTACAGTCTGCTGACTCGATCTTTCTGTCCAGGTTCCTCATGAATAACCGCGGCGATATCAGGAAGAAATTTCACATCGAGGGAAGTACGTGTGCGGACTGCTGCGTGTCGTTTTGGTGTCCCTGCTGTGTGCTCATCCAGCATGAGAACGAGGTGAAGGGGCGGACCGATTATGGACCGATCAATACCGGGTATCAGTCGCAAGCGCAGAATATGGAGATGAAGTAGACGCGCAGGCTTACCTTTCGATTGCTTGTCTATATTACAACCATTGTACTTATCTGCCCAAGTGGCAAATTCCTTCCGTAGCTTTACTTTCACTACAGCATTCATCTCCGGATTTTAATGTAGCCACCCGGAACACATGAATTGAGGAAGAAGGGTGCTCCAATGCGATTATGGATTGAATCATATTACTTGATACGGTCATGATTGAAGAAAATAAGCTACGTGAGAGGCTTTTAACAGCCAGACTGCATCTATCTCGCCACGCCAGACATCTCGTATGCGAAGCAGATGGCAAGCGTGAAACCCCCCCACAGTTACCCCTCCTTAATGAGGTGAAATCCAAGGTCTGCATCGCGTTGCCGCGCAGAAGCCGTTGCAGCACGGCCCGACATACTGCCCATTGGTACCATAGCACTCCCCATACGTCGGGACGCAGATACCGACACAGCTGACTCCGGTGACGGGCTGCGGCGGTCCGATTATGACTTGCTGAAGACCCTGTGGGGTGTGGCCTTCGAACAGCGCCTTCTCGCCGTTTGTGTAGAACCTGCACTGGGAGAGGGCGTTGTAGTCTGGTGCGTCGATGATGTTGACGGAGATGTCATTGTCTGCGTGTTTGATCAGTACTTTGTCTTTTACTCTCAATGGAATGGAGGGTCTAATATGGGGGACTAACTGGTGGGATACACCTGTCCATCGGCGGGGATAGTCATCTCGTAGGACGCGGGGCCACCGTGGAAGGTTAGGTGGACCGTTTGAGGGGCATCGCGATCTTCAAGGGGATGAGAAAGAGAGGGGAGAATGAAAGAAATCGAAGTCAGAAGCACTGCAAATTTCATGATGAGAATTCCGGAGTCAGAAATTGTATGAGATAGAGTTGAGTGCTTGTGTTGGTCTGAGATGGCAAAGTGATCGGTAAGACTGACTACTCTAGGAGTTCATCATAGCTAGCGAGCCCTCGCGGGCGTCTTTATACTCCTCCAGATACGCGATCCATCGCCCTGAACCACTTCCTCTCGACTTCGCGAGAAAACATGATGACTCGAATCTCCCTCGTGTAGGTCATCCCAGCGCCTACGCTGCTGTACGATCAGCACTCGTCCTCCCACAACCGTTAATGGCCCGTCTTCGGGCATGACACCCGTACGACGAATACGAACTCACATGGTCTACGCCTCGAGAGGTATTTTCGTCCCTTGTCAGTCCACTTCACGATGCAGTACTAGCAGGATCCCTCGGTACCGTCTTTATAGTAGCCCTATTTCTCACCAATGCCGATCAATCTCGTAAAAAAAGAACGTTGTGGCAGAAAAACCAGGGAAAACGTCCCGAGTGTGGCGTCATTCGGACCAATGCCACGATCTCCCCGCAAGACACTAGAACAGATTGATCCTCGGGCTGACTTGGGTCCATATCGCTAGCGTGCGTGTGAACCCCCCAGGCAGAAGCTGAAATGGCACCGGCATGGAGGGGAAGTGGAACACGTTTTGTGTAAGGCTTTTACCAGCTTTTATTGGGACGTCTTGGCAACATGAGGCACCGGCAATCGCCCCCTCGTCGGATGCATGCAGATTGATCGCCCACCGGTCCCAAGCCGGGTCTGGGGAACCTTAGATCCCGGATCCTAAGGGCAGACTAACAAAATCTCGTATCAGGGCGGATGGAGAGGGGTCGCCCTGCGCATCGTACCGAGCATGAGACTGACGTCTATCTGGGACCATGTCTCAGTTGGGCCTTCTATCAAGTGTAACCGTGAAGTCGGTGTGGATTTGGGAGGACAAGACATGGTATTTTGCGGTATGGAAGCAAGCATGTCAATAGGGAGAACTCCGAAGTGTTTGCCCACCACCATGTGAGATCAGGGTATGGGCTTTCCTCGAAGTGACAGCATGCCTTGGCATCTCGTGGTAAAATGGTCAGACTCAGATGCTGTCTGCAAGATCGGCTTCAGCTCCGTTCAGCTAGACGTGCGTCTGACATTTGCATTCGGCGGTCAGCAGTGAGATCTCCGGGGCAAGCACCCAATCGTGATCAAGTATTTCTCGGAAGCATCTTTCATGCAAGGGTTCGAACGTAACAAGTAAGCTTCAACGTCTTGCGTTCCATTGGAGTCGTCGAGCAATGTCCGACTTTCTCGATGTCTTGAAGCTGAGCTTCTAACATGTAGCTACTTTATACTTTTAGTGATGTTCTCGTATTCCCAGAGTCACGCTCTCTGGAGGCGCATCCTCGAATAACTCTTCCGTCGTCATATCCTTTTCATCGATTTCCTTGATTCATCCCATCATTCCTTAGTAGACGAAGTGATGAGACTTATCATGCGGCGGCGCAAGAGGCGCCACACTGATGCTCAAGCTGTCTGACTTACACGCATCGCCATCCCAAGGGCCACAATCAGGCTGGCAAACCGTCCCGCTCTTCGGCACCGTCCCGTGCTCGAGATACTCCCGAAGAATCTCGTTCGTGCACTTGCTCCCCGTAGCAAAGGCAGCATGGCCCACCGATTCCTGGATCACGACAACCGACCCGGGGTGTCCCTCACTCATTTTGTACGCGTTCCTCAACGGTGTCACGGGATCGAGCCGCGAAGACATGAAGAGCAACGGGGCCGCGGGCCGCCCCTCCACCAGCGCTGCGTCGTGCGGCGGCGTCGTAAACGGACCCGTGAAGCGCCACTTGGGGCGGACGAGCCAGCTCGTGCAGGCGACGCGGATCTGCCCCCAGTAGCCGGCGAAGGTCGGGGACTGGGATTCGAGCTCCGCGACGTAGGCCCTATAGTCGGCAAGAGACATGTTCGAGTTGTCCTCGCCATCGCCACAGAGGACCGCCTGGCCGCTGTCGCCCCATGAGAGGGGAAGGCCTGTGTTGTTGGGGTGGATGCAAGCCTGGTCGAGCTTCGGGATCTCGGCGGCTGCGGTCTCCATGAGGGCGGTGTAGTTCCCCTTGATGGCGGCGTTTATTTCGTTGGCGAGCTTGATGAAGCGGGTGTAGGGCGCGTAGAGCGGGTTCTTGAAGGAGAGGATGACATCGTAGCCTGTCAGGATGTTTGTGAGTTTCCCGTCGAGGACCGCGACGGGGGCTTCGTTGAGGTGTTTCACGAGCTGGTCGACACGATCTCGGATGTCTTGCCATTTCTTATCCGACGGCCTACTCAGCGCGCATTTCTCCTTAGCTTCAAAGCATGTCTCGTAAAAGTAGTCGACAAGCTTCTCCGTGTCTTGCAGGTTGGTCTTCCAGCCCTAGTCACACGTGTTAGCCGCAAGTGTAGAAGTGAATTGGTATGAGTACAACCCTACCCCTGCCATGTAGTCATTTGCGTCTGCGATGCCATCGACAATGAGCCGGCCCACGCGTCCGGGATACATGGAGGCGAATGCATTGCCGAGAATGCTGCCGTAAGAGAAGCCCCAGTACTGAATCCGCGGCACGTCCTTAACCTTTCTGAGCTCCAGGGACTGCTCGGATTGCGAGGCTGCAGCTTCTTCCTTGCGAAGCTCGTCAATCTTGTCCACCATCTCGACCATGTCGCGGCAGACGGACGCCGTCGTGGCGAATGGGATAATGGAGCCGTTGCCGGGCTTCTCAGTACAGAGCCTGCCGTACCCCTGAATCCTCGCCCATTGCCTCCTCAATGCATCCGGGCTGGCATCAAGCGGCCCGATGGCCAGACGCTGGATGCTGTCCGTGTCCCTTGCGAGTTCATCTCCGTAGCAATCGGCCACGGGCGTCGTGAACTGCACGCCGCGCGGGTCCCAGCTAAGCATCTCGTACTTTTTGCTGCCGCCGCTCAGCGTGCGGCGCATGTCGTGACCATTGCGGAGCAACATGCTCACGCCGGAGCCGCCGGGCCCGCCCGGGTTGGTGAAGACTGTGCCACCGAAGGACGGGTCGTCGTCGGGGACGGAGGCGGGGAGCTTGATGATTGCGAGAGCGACGGTGTGCTCATTAGTCTCGTCGAGCCAGTCGAGAGGAACAGAAAGGCGGGCGCATTGGTGGTCTCCGTAGCATGGGTGGTATTCCAGCTTGTGTGAGGGCGTGATGGTCTTCCAGTCAAAGTCGGTCATTTTGGGAGGGTCGCGGCCTATGGCGCTGGTGAGGCCGACGAGGCCTGTGAAGGCGGCTAGCCTAATTGAGGATATCATCACGTTCGTACTGATAAAGACTGCTACGAAGCAATTGTTTTGTGATGGCCTTTGGAAGTATCTTGATGCAGAAGAGTTGACGTTGGCGTCAATGGGTGACGGGTGACGGGTAGACAACCTTGGGAAAGTGAAAGCGCGTTGAGTGTGGCTTTCACCGTGTGCGTCGCTGCTGCCAATCACTTCGCGCGCTTTCTTTTATCTTCAACTTAATGTTAGGGAAAGCGCCGGTGGGCACGATTGAGTTAAAAGATGAACGACTTGAGATGGGGGGAAACTTTCCTTATCTTAGAATGAGATGAGCAGCCGAACAGCGTTTGCTGCGTCAGCATGGGGCCTGCCTGTAAGCGCGGCGCGCAATGATCCCGTCTTACGCATTTTTGTTCAGCAGAACACCACATACCAGACGCCGCCATGCGGAATAGGAAAGGTGAAAACACACATCGCGATATTGGCGAGATTAGTCGAATCATTCGGACAACTCATTTGTGAATTAAATCTACTATTACAAGTCAAAACTTGTGGAGATATATCGATAATTATGAAAACACCGTGACGCCTGCTCCTTAAAATTTCATACTTATCCACCCAACAACTCACTCATCCACTCTCATTCACTCATCCGCTCACGCAGTCTCACTCAACATCAAGCTTTCACATCCGACAGCCGAATGAGCGATGATCCCATCCCGGTGCTGCTCGCCCACTGGTGATGAGCATCCTGAATGTCCTCGAGCTCCCAAACTTTCTTAATGGGAACGGTAATCTTGCCCTCGGCCACCAGCTCCATCAAGGCCCTCAAATTGGGCTCAAACGTTGCGTCGTCGCGCGTAATGTAGTAGAACTTGGTCCTCTTGCCGCAAAACGGCACCATCCCGCGCGCCATAAGCTTCATCGTCGGCAAAATCACAGAGCCATGCTCCGTATCGTCGTTCAGCGAACGCAGATTGCCGCCGTACCCAACCAGGATACCCATGGGCGACAGAACCGAAAAGGACTCATCCCAGCTCTCGAACCCGAGGGGATCGAACACGGCGTCCGCCCCGCCGAGCTCCTTCACAGCTTGGATCCATTTCTTGTCCGTGTACACGAACGGGTGGGCCCCCTGCTCCCGGGCGGCCGCGTGGTTTCGCTCCGACGCCGTGCCGTAGACCTCGGCGCCCTGTAGCTGGCACAGCTTCATGAGGGCGTAGCCGACGGCTCCGCTGATGCCGTGGATGAAGACGCGTTGCCCTTTGCTGACTTTGGCGACGTCAAAGACCATAGCGTACGCCGTGTTCCAGTCTAGGATCAGAGCTGTGGCCTGCTGCAGGTCGGTGCCGGCGGGCAATCTGATGAGGTACTTTTCAGGCAGGTTGACCAGCTCTGCTTCGGCGTCGTAAATTGTGAGACAGGCGACGAGGTCGCCCGGTGAGAGTTTGGATGTGCACCCGGGGCCGTTGGTCTTGACGGTGCCGACAAGGCAGTAGCCCGGGGTCAGTGGGGCCTTCTTCTGCATAGGGTACACGCCTTTGCGCATGTTGATGTCGGCGCCTGAGAAGCCGGAGTAGATGGTTGAGACTTGGACGTGGTTTGCCGGGGGCGACTCGATCGTGTCTTGGATGATTTGAACCTTTGAGACGTCGCCGAACTCCGTGATGACGGCCTTGCGGATGGTGGTTGCAGACATCCTGGATATGAGTGCCTGAGATGGAAGTTTGGAGTGATAAAAATGCGTGTGCAAGGTGAAGCTATTGATATGAAAAGGTTTCGAAATGTGATGAATGTCTTTATTGATGATCTTGTAGTCTTGTGTCTAGGGTCACAACTTCTGGTCGTTCCCGCATTCATTACTTATACTGGATCTTCATCATCTCTAGCCGTTATGACAATGCCCTTCCTAGGCTACATCTTTCGCGATGCGACTCGGCGCCGCCGTGAGATTGGGGGCTAGCGTCGCGGATGACGCCTCATGGGGGTCTGTTGTGCCGACATCTTCACCAAGCGGCCGTTGCTCCCCGCACTAAGGGCGCCACGGTGAGCTTGATTTCACCGCTCGACGGAGCAACTCCAGCAAGATGCGTATGTGGCCTCGGGTTCATGCGGCAGTACAATTGGAGGCTGCTGCGAAGGATGAGAAGGCTTGCTGCAGGGAGGGCTTCCCGGAGAGGAGTTGCGCCGACCAACAGCGCTAGTACCCCATTTAGCTTTCGTACGTTTCACTGGCGCGTCCTTCGCGAGTGTCGCTCTCGCTCGGTCTGACATCGGACCGCCTTGCTTCCCTCGCTCTTACGCGGCGCCACAGGAGACGGAGGGACTCGCTTTTTGCTAAAGACAGTAATGTCTTACCACGGGTAGCAAGCCACAACGGATCGGAGCAATGAGTTGCTGGCTTCTGTGGGAGCAAATCTGACTATGGCCTCTGACGCTAACAGGCGTCAACGCTCATGCTCGCTCAGCCTCAGCATCCATACATTTCAAGCTACATGGCAATATTGAATGAGATGCTAAATCCCCCGTTTCATAATGTTTCTGTTGGTATCACAGGCGTGATACATTTCCTCATGAGGGTGTATCTTCGGCAACAATCACGTCGATGTCCGTGATAATTGCTGTTGTTTTTCTTCCTATTTACATTGTGGGCAGGGGCCGATCGAAGTAGGTGGGGACGGCCTGGGTGGTTGCCCCACCTTAACCGGCCGTGATGACTAAGCCAGTTGTCCCACTTCGCCCAGGGCAGGCGCCAGCCAGCCCACGATACCTGCCCATTGCTCCTTATCAGCCTTGCCGTTCCGACAGTTTCCTTCTTAATGCCGCGTGCATGAAGCCGACAGATACCACATAAGCTCCAGTCAACAAACAACCCTCCAGAGTCATGATGCACCACGGCGCATATCTCAACTCGCAGTTGCGACTAGACTTTTATTTTGACCGGATCAACCAAACACCAGCTACTATGGTGCTGAGTCGAGGGAGATGAATTTTGCTCATTTCGTAGTTGCAAAGCTTAGTAGCGTTGAGGGTGTATGCTGATGCCGCAAAAGATCTCCAGATTAGTAGGCTACGTTTGAGACCCTTTTCCAGGAGGAAGCTGTCGCATTCACGACGCCGCCGCGACTGAATCTTGTCATCGTCAAGCTCAAATGAGCACATGCACATTCACATAGCAGGCGGCGAGGAGCAAGATGTTACTTCATAAGAGTGTGATATTGAAAAAGATTACTTGTCGGGTCCCCCTTTCTGGAGGCCGGCCCATGCGATTAAGTACATTTATCGAGTCCAACCAAGGAAGATTGAAACACATTGGTTTTAGCAGGTCCTAGACATGCGGATAAGGGGTATGATAAGTCCGCAATGCCTAGACCCTGCCGAATGGCTAGAAACACATGACGGGAATTTTGTCCATACGGACTTTGGGTTGTCCCAGGGTGATCAAAAGTAGAACGAATTCGTTTAGAAGACGTTGCCCTTGGTCTGGGTACCCTTCTCGCTCTCGACCTTGATGTTGATGTGCTTCCAGAGGAGGATGGAGCCGAGGCAGAGGGGGACCAAGCAGGAACCAGCAATGACCATCTTGTGCTGCACATCAGCGTACGCGGCAACGATGGCGTCGCGAATGGGGTCGCCGTCCTCGAAGGACATCTGGATCGTGACGTCGCCGAAGATCTCGGCGGTTCTGTTCTTGGCGTAGTCGGGGAGGTTGTTGTACAGCTCCTTGGGCATGATGTTGTTCCACAGGCCACCGGCGATGGCGAAACCAATGGAAGAACCGATACTACCGAACAGAGAGTAGATGGCCATGGCGGAGGCGATCTCCTGGTGGGTGACGATGGCCATGACGGCGATCTGACCGCAGGCGGCGAAGAGACCGGTGCCGATACCGTTGAGCATCTGCATGACTACCAGGGCACCGACGGGGGTGCTGGGCTTACGGAGGGGAATCAGGAGAGCGGTACCCAGAAGCATGAAGGGAACACCGGCGAGCGCGGTGTACTTGTAGTCACCAGTCCATCTAATGATCAGTCCGTAGACGGGACCGAAGAAAGAGGAGGTGAGGGAGAAGGCGTTCAGGATGTATCCGGCGTAGGTAATGCTCTGTCTGTGGACAACCAGGAGGTAAGACTGGTAGTAGGTATCCCAGGTGAAAATGGAGATGAACATGATTCCGTAGAGCAGGAAGGCGCCAATCAGAGTCGGCTCCTTGAGGTACTTGTAGTCGATGAAGCTGACAGGGGCGAGGTACTTCTCCCAGACGTAGATGACGGGGATGAGGACGACTCCGATAACCTCCATGGCAATGATGTAGCCGGTCTTCCATCCGTTAGGAGCGTAGGAGACGATGCTGAAGGGCAGCATAATCATGGAGAACATGCCGATGATGAGGACGATGCATATGACTGTTGAAAACATCGTTAGCGCCTAATTCCGCAAATGTCCGATCATTAGGAATGGAAAACTTACTGTCGAACTGGATCAAGTAGTAAATGAAGCCCTGGAGGTAAGAGCGGTCGTTGGACTTAGCCTTGGCCAAGAGACCAGCCTTCTCAGCCTTGCGCTGCATGAGCAGCATAATGGTCAGGGCAGGAATGCAGACACCAGCAAGAATGATGGCGAAGGCACCGAAGGCCCAGCGGAAGTTGAGGTTGGTGTAGAAGAGGTCGGCGATCTTGGGGCCGGCGAAGGTGACGGCAATGGTAGGGGTACCGTTGATACCGAACATGATCATGCGGTTTTGCAGGGAAGTCATATCGGCGATCATGATGTCAATGACGAACAGCATACCAAAGTGACCGACGTAGTAGATGGTGTGGGCGGCAACATAGGTCTCCATGTTCTTGCAGGTAGCCTTCATGATCATACCAATGACAGAGCACAGGATCATGATGGCGAAACCCTCAGAACGTCCCCAAACGTCGATGATCTTAGCAATGACCAGCTGGCAGCATCCTGACAGGATGGTAGCGAAGATACTGACGATGGCCAGGAGACCGTGCTTTCCGAAGGAGGATGTGACGAAGGCGTTCAGGGAGCCCTGGACGGACTGCAGAAGCAAATCGGCGAAGGAGACGAGGTAGAGCCTTTTCGAATCGAACAAGTCAGTCTTTTGCTCGGAGACATTTTAGGAATCCTAGCCGCGCATTGGGGAAAACTTACAAGCAGAACATGATGATCATGGTCTTCTTGGTCCAGACGGAGGTGATGGCTCTGACACGCTGAACACCACCCTGGAAGTTCTCGCTCTCGGCGTCAGACTCCTGCTTGGTGTCATGGTTGACCTCCTGGACGCCATTGTCGTAGGCAATGTTCTTCTCGTAGTCGACGCCCGCATCTGTGCGGTGGGCCGCATCCTGCGGCTCGATGATGGTAGCCATTGTTGATTATCGGTCGCAAGAAAGAAGGCGACGAGGTGCCACAGTGAAAACCCCAACGAACAGGGTTTTCAAGAGGGTGGAAATGGGGAAGCTGTTGGCAAGAAGGAATATTATATTGAAGGCGAATGCCTGTTGACCTTGCTTGAAGAACCAAGAGGAAGAAGGAGAAAACTCAGATTGAGGACAAGAGGTTCTATGCGGGCCTTTGTATATTGCGCAGATGGACCCCCAGTTCCAACATCCATGAAAATCTCCAGCCGATGTCGCCCAATCTTTGCCTTTATCAGATGATCAGATTAGATGGCAAGGGGCGAATCAAACCTTGGGGCCCATCGGAGGTATGGTTAGGTTCGTGCTAGCGTAGTGGGATCGCCCAGGCCGGACAGCTCTAGGTCGGAGGCCGCGTAGCTGGCTAGGCCCTCATTGCGACTCCGTCCTGTGGAATGCCCAGGTAAATGGATCGTTATGGATGGGCGGTTTAGACCGGAAAGTGAAGGGATCAGCGAATCCGTTGGTTCAGCGGTCATCATTGGCAGCAAAACTTCGAGAAGAAAAGTGGCGTGAAAGGGTGTGAAGGCCCTGAAGCAGGTGGAAGGGTCTGTCTCTGCAACTTTGGTATTCGGAGGGCTCCATGATCCATCGTGTCTGGTCGGGCCGCCAACGTGGTGGTGGGGGTGGAGCGAGTGGTTTCTGGTTCCTGGTCACTCACATCTCACCAGAATATCTCCAAGTCTCCAATTGCTACAGCCTACTTGTGACTTGCTGCTGCATGTGGCCGCCGTGTTCCAAGGACGACGTTGCAACAAGTGGGTGCGCGGGAGTAACCCTCCTCTCCAGATGCCACCTCCAGCCTGCTTCACATGCCTCGGGAGCTTGTACGCACCCTCCACGAGGCTCTTCGTGTTGTGAATATTCAAGCCGTCGAACGCCTCCCGAACAGCTCGCCAGTCCAGTACCCGTCCCGTCCTACCGCTAGGCAAGCTTCTTTAGCTAATAGCTCTCTTGATTTTCTTCAGGTTTGCGGCACAGCCGTTGGTGGCAGAAAAGGTTTTTTTTTTTCCCTCAACACTTGGCAATGCAGGGAGCATCGCTGAAAACATGGGTGCAAAAAACCAGACCAAACAAGGGACCATCTCCCACATATCCGTAAGCTAAGCCAAACCCCCACTTTCAAGCGGGCTCATTATCCATGAACGATCGAATGGTCATATCCCGTCGGTCAGTGCTGGAGTGACACCACAAGGATCCTTGCAGAAGTAGTCTGTCATCTCAATGTGGCCAATCAATAGCTGTTCCCGTGAAGAGAAATCCAAAAACTCGGCGCCATCCATGCAAACAAGGTGTGCCAGGACGCACATCGCGGCAAGTGGGATCGAGCAGTGAGCAGTGCGAGCCAAGGCGGTGATGGTGTCCTCGGTCTCACTCTGTTTTTTCGCCTCCTGCCCGTCTAACCATCTGTCTAGGTAGTGATGAGCACCCATAGTGGACTAGATTCGAAAACGAGGCCCTATGGGACCATGCGATGATCTGCTGGTGTCTTGATCCGTAGGCTTGGCTTTTTCCCGGAGGGAAGGTTATCATGTACCTCGGGCCACATCAGGGCCATTCCGCCGATCACGGGCCACGGTCGGCGAGGAACGGGAACGGCTGCTGCGTCCGACTTATTGTCAGGACTCCGGCATGATGAGCCGTTAATTGCTGTGCCGTTATCCATCTCGAGTGAACCCCCAAATCGTCGAGTCATAGAGGACATCGTGATGGTGGGTTGAGTGCAGCTGACGTGGCGCGTTATGTGTCTGATTTCCTCTGGTGTGGCTGTTCAGTTGTCTAAGTTATTTTGAACTACGCTTTCAATAAAACGGAATTTTCTATATGTCAAAAAGGCTTGTTGGCGCCAAAGCGACACGAAAAAGTCTCCACGATCGGACATCGTCGCGGACGACAAGCGATATTGAGTCTGTCAGCCGTCAATGCAAAACCTGAACGCCAACAGGGGCGCGCTGACCGACCAGGACAATTGCCCAAATTCTCACTGGCCCGTATCGATAGCGGCGGCAGTTCTCGCAGGTCAGAAGTACGAACCAACCGAGCAAGTTACTGGAAAGGGAAAATACCCCGAACGGCCAGTCCCCCAAAAAAAGACTCATAGACCACGACAAGAGAAGCTGAGTTTCCAGGCATTCTTGGCCGAATCCGACCCAGAAGGAAAGGAAAATTCATTTAGTATTGCCACAAGCGCCGCCCCAGGCGGTTGTCTCGTAACTTCAACTCTGACTGGATCGGAGGTAATGTGCATCGCCGTCAAATGTCGGTTTTATCACGACCTGCTCCGAGGGAAAGTCCTCACGAGCCCACTGACTCAAGGGAACAAAGACGGCACAGCACCCCGACTTGACAGCCATCGAAATCATCTTTCAGTTTCACACGCCAGACCATTACGACGTTGGGTCAAACCGATTTTCGAGAAGCCGCAATAGACGAGTTGCAGACGACAGTTTTCGAGTTGCTCAGAGATGGTTCGACTGCTTTCCTAGACTGAGACCGTCAGCCCACGACAACTGCAAACCCTCTCGCTTAGACTTTCCACGCTCTCGGCTGAACTACAACGAACGAGGTCCAACAACGAATAGGCGTGTCAATCCGAATCGAGCTCCGCCAAGGGGCATCTAGTCCATTTTCAACTTCCCAGCCGCAAACTTTTCAGCCGGCCATCTAACAGCAGGCTGCAGTGCCGCAATTTTTGGTCTCCTCGACATTGATCGTGTCGAGCAGATTTCTGGACCGTCCATCAACGTCTCTGATATTGTCGAAACACGACCGAATAATAATGGCTTTCCTCGGAGTTCCGGATGGAAAACACCTATCGGCTTTCTGTGGCGGCAATCGTCAGCATTTGAATGAGCCCCAGTCTGGAAAGCCATTGTTCATTGACCTTGAATTATGGCTTACTTGGAACTCACTAACGCAAGCAAGAAACTAAATCTTGCTCAGGGAAGGAACTCATTATGAATTTCAAGTTGCGTAATCTTGATGAAGTGAAAATTTGTCTTATTCCTTGCCAAAGTCCCTTTTCCAACTCCTCCAGAGAGAGCCACAGTCACCAATTTGCAGTCCTACTAGGTGTATCTTGTCAGAATCGAAGACAGCGTATTTGCCAAGCTGGCGCCGTTCCTCGTCCTGAGGTCATGAATAAGAACATCTTCGTGATGCAACTCGGTCTCTCAGCCCATGCGGAGATGGAGAGGCAAGATAGTACGGACTTGGGGCTTATTTGACACGCCGAGAGACCAATCGCTGGAAAGATCAAGTCAACAACATCTCGGCTGAAAGGAATACGGACGACGTTACGCCAAAGTTGTCAAATATTATGGCCTTTTCTGTTATACAGACATCAAAGAATTAGTAGGGCACTGCGTGAATCTTGGTAATGGTATTGGGAGTAACTTCACGACAACACCTGGCTAAACATGGTTTGCTCTAAGCATAAGTCGTTGGACCTATTCCTAGAAGTTCTGTGTTCACCATGCCTTTGGCAACTTCAGTATGGTGACAACCGTAGGTAGTCTGCTATGCTCGATGCTGGGGAGAGCCTAGGCCCAAGCAAGAAGTGACTGGTACTAGTGCAGAGGGCACTTGCATTCTCGACAGATTTCAAAACATGGCAGGTGTTCAATGTGAGATAGCCAATTGTTTAGACCTTCAGGAATTACCGAACTTTATGAAAGATCATGATCTGTAACTCCGAACAAATCTGCCCCTAGGAATTCCTGCGGTCCGAGAATATTTCGTTGCAGAACCTTGGATGAAGCCAACAAGTGCCGAAAGACATCTTGAACCAAAGTCCCGATGGGCTACCAAAGTACAGCTTAGATCGGAACCGCAGTACGCAGGGACCTGCAAGGCTCGCAGCAGCAGGATCAGAACCCGGGTCAGACCGCGGTGGACACGGGCATCAACTCCAGACCGATCTAGGCCTTCTTCAATGTCTCGGACAAAAGATGACACACGTGACAATAGTAAACTCCACGATCTTTGTAGATTTGAGTCTTTTGAGTCTTCTCGATGCGTCCGATTAATCCTAGCAAAAGCCTTCAAATCGTTGTCACAAACAGAACATCGGAAGTTGGCCGGCGTTGAATTAGAACTTGGATGCATGTCCAAAGTTGCGAGCTGAATGCACGGTACCGTCTCACGTAGCAAACCAACAACTGTTGGAGATGACATGCTCCAGGCCTGTGCTGTGCCGTCTTGGCGCTCTGAGCTTAATGTTGACAAGAGACCCGACGATCCATCAAGCTCCTCAAAAAGAAGGGACGAAAGCACGCAAATCCACACTTCGCCCATGGGGTTCAGGAGTTGCAGAAGTTCATCCAGCAGACGTCCAATAGCTCAACCAGAACGGCCGTACAGATGGGGTTTCGCAGTTACCGAATTCAGGGAAAGAATTGGAGAGACGCGAGGAGGATGCATGCATGCGGAATGCGGAATGGTAGTCTCGGTTGGAAGGGCCCCACGAGCGGCTAAATGTGTCAATGGTGGCCGATGATTTGACCTATTCGAGATCGACGGACCTTGACCGCGGGTTAACGGGTTAAACCGGTACAGAGTGGGTGGAGTTGGTCGGATTTCGTTCGGGAAGAAGGGGGTAGAGCGAGAAACTGGAGCTTTTATCCCTCATTTTGGCCGCTGGCGTCTGCAATTTTCCCAGTTCCGCGGACCATCGATAAACCGGCATGAAAAAGTTGCTAGATCTTTGTCATTAGTGAAAAACGCTCGTCGAATCGTCGGTGGCTTGCTGGGCTGGTCTGCATCGGGCATGGTGCTGATGGTATTCATCGAGCTGGGCAAGTTGTTGCGCATAAAAACTATATGGAAAAAAGGCAGGATGTTCACTGAGAAATCTTCTTCAAGATGTTTTATATGTCTGAAGCAAGGTAAGTAGTGCACACCAGGTAAGGTTTGTTAGAACTCTGAATGATGGCTTCGCATGCATCGATCTTAATCTCGTTTGTCAATGCTTCGGAAGTTCGGCGAGGTAGAATGTCAGAATCAAATTCGAAATCACCTTTTTGAGTCGAGCAAGCTCCCCGTATCCATACTTCCAGTGCGGTCCACAAACACTGTTGGTTTGTCAGGATGGCTAAACTCGCGATAGCCGCATTTGGCCTCGACAGGAAGAAATAGCCAGAGACCGTCGACGATTGATGGAATTCTTGACTATAATCGCCTCTGAATGGATGACAACATCTAAAGAGTGGAGAAACCATCTCATCTTGAGGCCGCATCCCCGTCTCGGCGTTCCCTACACGACTTTCTCGGCCCGGATGGCGTCAAAAGCCTTATTAGCGTTACTCCAAAAGGCCCTCGTTTAGCCCTACGAGGCCATGGATTGAGCCTCCCGCGTTCGCCGTGACCAAGGATGATGCCAACGGTGCGGAATTCCGATGCTTCTTCACTGCACCTCATGACATGGTTAGCCACATCCCTCTCATGATTGGAACCATTTCCGTAGACCAGTACGAACAATTACCCCTCTAACAACCCGTAGTACCAGTCACGGATTCAATCAAGCTTACGCCAGCGGCCGGAGTCCGGCACGGGAGATGTGGGACCCCTTCCACTTTGGCGCCGCCGAATCCCGTCTTAGACGCGGAGGCTCCGAGGTCCAAGCTTTGAGCGGGAAGGATAAAAGTCTGATTGCACCTCGTTACATCTAATCTGATCTAATCTTGATGATCTCGTTCCAACCGTGTACACTTTACTTCGACAACTGAACATGACCAACGTCGAGGCGAACCAAAAGTCCGCCAACGAGGGGGCGAGCGTCGCGGACGTCACGCCAGAGCCTGTGACACCGACGACATCCATTGAGGAAGTCAAGCGTTCTTCAGGTGCGATCAATTCGATTTCATTCAGAAATGTTCTTCCCTGACCAAACTTAGACGAATCCTCTGCACCGAGTCGCAGTGTCCTGTACGTCGCCGTCCTCGGTCTAAGACCGGATGATCCTTCCTTGCCATGCTTAACTATTCGCATGTGGGTGATCGGTATCGGGTTTTGCCTACTGGGTAGCGGTGTCAACACATTGTACACGTTCCGATACCCATCCATCAGTCTCTGCCAGTCGGCGATTCAATTTCTGGCGTGCCCTGTTGGGAAAGCATGGGAGTTTGTCGTTCCCGACTGGGGTTTCAACATCAGGGGTCATCGCGTCAGCCTGAACCCAGGCCCGTTCAACTACAAGGTGTCGCAGCGCCACACGTGGCGCTGCCGGTTACTGCCGTACGATACCGCTTTCCACAAGCCGATTACCCGTCTTGTACGGTATATAGATATGACCCTCATACGGATCTTCCACTTAGAGGATTCAAGCCACTTTCTACTATACAAGTCTTCCACTTGCTACCTCGCTTTTTAATACAAGGTTAGCATCATCCCTGACCGCTCTAGCCCCCGAGACCTCGTAGCGCTAACAGCCGATTATCACGTAGGAAAACATCCTAGTCTATATCATGGCCAATCTCAGCTTCTTGACCCGATTGAGCGCCGATGTCTTGACCGAACAACGCATCTTTTACGGGCTGAAAGCGGGCTGGGGATTTGAGCTTACCGTAACACTGGCCACGATTCTGTACGGATTCGCTTTGGCTGGTTTGTGCTACGCGTTGGTTGTTGAGCCTCCGGGATTGCTATGGCCCGGCGTCCTTGGCAACACGGCTCTCAATGCCGCATTGCATACTGGCAAAAGAGAGGACGAGACCGAGTAAGCAAATCCTATCTACATGTAACGTTGTTGCTTAGTTCGAACTTAATTGACTAATCCGTACTGTAGGGCAAAATGGACGGCATCTCGCTACAAGTTCTTCATGCTCGCCTCCATTGCCTCGTTCTGCTGGTACTGGTTCCCAGACTCCATCTTCCCTGCGCTGGGCTACTTTACCTGGGTCTGCTGGATCGCCCCGAACAATGCGGTTATCAACCAGGTTTTCGGCATGAAGAGTGGCATCGGTTTGCTTCCGTTTACTTTCGACTGCAAGTGGACCCTCATGGGCTTCGTCTAACAGCAAAGAACTTTTGATTCTAATCTCAAATAGGGAGTCAAATTGCTTACATTGGTTCACCGCTCGTTATTCCCACATGGGCCATTCTGAATATCCTGGCGTCTCTGGTTTTCTGGATTCACATCATCTCTCCGGCACTTTACTACTCAAACACCTGGGACTCGGCTTACTTGCCCATTCAAAGCAACTCTATTTATGATAACTTGGGAAAGACGTTCAACGTTTCTAGAGTGATCAACAAAAAGGACGACTTTACTTTGATCCTGTCAAATACGCCAACTACTCGGACGTACGCAAATACCTCAAATCTTTTCACCTACCTTACCTAGTTCGTGATGCACGAATACTGACATACGTTGATTAGATCTACCTTCCCGTTACATATGCTCTCAACACCTTTGGTCTCTCGTTTGCCACCATTGCATCACTCTTTGTCTGGCTGTTCCTCGAGAAGCGTCGACAAATTGCGGCTGCGTTCAGGTCTACCCAGCTTTCGGCCCTTCTCGGAGGAAAGATCATTCCCAGACACAACCCTTAGCCAGGCTACAAAGCTGTTCCGCTTTGGTGGTATTGGATAACTGCGCTGCTTGCTCTTGGCTTTGGGGTTTTTGCATGCGAATTCTACCCAGTTCAACTTCGCTAGTATGGAGTTATCCTGTCATTCGCAGTGTCTGCCATCTTTTTCGTTCCTGTGAGTACCTCCCCAAGACGTTTCTCGAATGGAGACATGCTGATTCGTTGTTTCAGCTTGCGTGGGTCTATGCAACGACGAATATGAAGATTCAGATCGATATCTTCTGTCGCATCATTGCAGAATATATTTGGGAGGGCAAAGTATTGGCCAACATCTGGTTCTTCAACCTTGGCTACATCTCTGGCATCAAGGGTCTGGCGTTTGCACAGGACCTGAAACTGGGCATCTACTGCAATGTGAGTCTTTCTTGCCCTTTCGCATTGGGACGTCAGTCACTGACTGAGCTTTACTTCAGATTCGGCCTTGGAAACTGTTCCTCGTGCAGTCAGTAGGCCTTGTCATCGGTTCTCTGGGTCAAGTCTCCGTTCTCAACTGGGCTCTCAACCACATCCCAGATATCTGCTCCACCAATGCCCCCAACGGCTTCACATGCCCGTTCTCTCGCACTCACTTCAACACCAGCATGGTGTGGGGTGCTCTCGGGCCCCGCCGCTTCTTCGCTGATGGCGCGATGTACCGCTCGCTGCTATAGTTCTTCCTCGTCGGCGCCGTCCTGCCCGTGGTCGTCTACGTGGTGAGAAAGAGAGTCTTCCCCGAGGCCAAGTGGCTGAAGAAGGTCCACGTCCCGCTCTTCCTCGGCGGGCTCAACTACATTCCTCCGGCGTCCGGAACCAACTATGGTAGCTGGGCGATTGTCGGCCTCGTCTTCGGTTTGCTCATCAAGAGAAGGCAGAGGACTTGGTGGAGACGGTACAACTTCGTTCTCAGCTCAGCTTTGGACTGCTCAGTTGCCATTGCCGGAATCGTTATTTTCTTCGCCATCTTTTACACTGGTGCTTCCAAGAAGCTCAGCTGGTGGGGTACCGAAGTTCATAAAGTAAGTCAATGACAGCTTGCGACAGCCGTGTGGACAGCACGCTAACCATGATATCACACAGGATACCTGTGACTGGAAGAGTTGCACTTACATGAGCCGAACCGCGCATAAGAGTGCCTAGAAAGGGATAGCTCATGTCAATTGAAGTTACGTGTATATTTGGGGCCGGGTAAACCACAAGCATACGGCGCGCTTCTGTGCTGGTGGGAGATCCACAGCGTTAGTGTCTAATCGGGGTCACGGAAAGTTTGGGCGCATCTTCGCATTTAAATAAGTCAACCCACCCACTTTCGGCCCACCCCCCCTTTCGGCCACCCCAACGAAAATGGTCTCACATCACCACCACCAAGTACACTCAATTAATTAACTACCTTCAACTGCCACTACAATACACTCACTACCGTCACTAGGTAAATCGACCCTTGCGAGTCGACTGGGACTAACGAGACGTTCGCCAGAATCCTCCTGAGCTCTCTGTATGTCCTTGATGTTGGCGAACCTGGTATTAGGGTCTGTCTGTACAGTCTTCTTCTTCCTGGGGGCCATGCGGGTAACTCTGGCTTTAAGAACTCGAACTTGGTGCCGAGAGGTGGCCAACTGGTAGGCTTGTTTGCTGAAAGCTTTCTTGACCTTCCTGAAGAGCAGTCGTTGGGTGGTGTGGTCTGGACTAAGCTCTGTGAATAGCTTCAAGTGGCCAGACAGCTCGCTGGCCTTCCTAGGAGTTGACCAGTCAACAACAGACGTCGCTACTGCCCAGTCAATTGCTCCCAGGGCATTACCAGTTGCTTGCCCAGTATTCGCGGTATTGTTTAATGGTGTGGCTGGGCTGGGCAGGACCATTGGGTTGGTAAGTGGTCGATCCATATTGATTGGCCATAGTCCAGTTGCTCTCCAACCACTTCGTATATTAGACGATCTCAAACCCGCCAAACGAGCCCTCTTATAGCAGTCTAAGAAGTACCGCTTTCCAACGATAGTAGAATTGTCTATTATATCGCACTTTCCGAGCTCCTTCCTGTAAGTGGACTTCACTGGTCCAAAAACAGTCATATCCAGGGGCTGAAGGACATGAGAGGTATGTGGTGGAAAGAAGAGCAAGTAGACGTTGTTACTAAAGCACTCCCACATAAATTCAGTCGTCGTATGACTCCCATGGCCATCCAGAACCAACAGTCGAGGCTCTTTTTGACCGCTAAGTCGACCAAGGGGGTCCCTGAAGGGGGGGGTCTGGGTCTCTGGCAAGAACACCTCCTTCAGCCAATGGAGGGCAGTCTGGTCTGTCGTCCACCCATTATCTGTTGCTGTGAAGTGCCAACCCTCGTATGGGTTAAGTTGAAGGGGAAACCACTGCTGTTGGACCGACTTTCCCTTGTATATGACCAATGGCTTGATGGCTTTACCATCAGCAGAGATATACTCGATAATAGAGACCCAAGCACGCGATCCAGGCTCTTTTTTTCGCACTGATTTGGTCTCTGCCGTACCAAAGACTAACCCATTAGATCCCTTGCCCTCAAGGATACCAGTCTCGTCCATATTATACCGGTTGACTGGTTTAATGCTCTTAATCTCTGGTATCTCGAGTAATCTAAACCAGGGCCTAATTACCTCATTAGTTGCTCCATTAACACGCCTTGAATCAATGGTACGACTTCTCTGGAACTTGATTGATGGATTTCTCTTAAGGAAGGCATGGATCCATCCCTTTCCAATAGGGTTAGTATCGCCATTGGCACTGTTGGTTTGCGTGTACCACAGGTTAGTCACACAGGTATTCCTGGTATCGCGATCGGTAGCAATATCGTTGGGTTAATCTGGTGTTCTTGTTGTTGTTCTTGTTGTTGTTATTGTTGTTAAGGAGAGTATCTAAACGCGAAGGCTCGTGATATGGAAGGAGGGAGCTGAGGTGTGTCACGTGCCGAAGACACGTGACATAGCTCGGCTCCGTGTATACCTAGCGATTGCCGTTTGTTCCCAGACACAACTTCTGAGACGAGGAGCTTTTCCTCGGCATCATTAAACGCAACTTACAACCCATACGCCGCACTGCAAGCAACATCCAAGACCCACAGTCTTTAGATCTCCTAGCACAACAGCTTACGGACTGTCTTATTAAAGCACTCACGGCTTCCACAAAGCGCACGCTCGGGAAAGGTACAGGGAGACCATACTGGAGCGAGAGCTGCACACGTAAACACCGAGCCTATGCGAGTAAGCGAGCGATGTTAGCAAGACTCCGCGCAGCCGGAGTGAACTGCCAATGGGAAGAAGAGGAGGTCGAAGCTCTAAAACAGGACTTCCTCTACGAGTTTAAACGCTCCAAGGATGCCTTTTGGAAAGATAAGATCTCCTCAGCCTCCTCAAGCAAAGACATATTTGAAATGGTCGGTTGGCACAAAGCCACAGGATCCTTTCAGACCCCGCCACTCCGAGATGTAGACAACCAAGACACGCTTGTCTCACAACCAAAAGAGAAGCGCGACTTATTTACCCGCGTCCTCCTTAGAAACGCTGCAATCTCCGAGGACATACCAACAGAAAGCCCAGTCCTACAAAGGCAAGCTACGCTTCCTTTCCCGCAGGTTACGAAGGACGAGGTACGGTCTTCGGTTCTCACCGCGGGAAACACGACTCCTGGGACCGACGGAATCACTACGACTGCTTTGAAAATAGCATGGCCAGTTATTGAGGATATTGTCCTCTCACTTTATAGCGGGTGTATACGCGAGGGTTGGCATCCTACTTGTTTTAAAGAAGCAACTCTCGTGATCCTAGCAAAACCGGGAAAAAGAGACAAGACACTCCCGCGCTCCTATCCCATCGAGTGCTGCAAGGCGACAGTACATTGGCTCCACATAACGGGCCCCCTTTTACCCCGCACCGCATCTGGTACATCCACTGCTTGAGTTGCCCCTATGATTTCCACTCCGGTACATCTACCAAATCCATCATTACCAATACTCAATTAATGGATTCTGACGATTCTGACGGATCTGGCCGTTCCACGGGCTCGGCGAAGTCGTGTATCTTTGCCCTGCTGCCCGAGGACCTCGCCGCCGCCTGCACTGCCGACTGTACGCCGGAGCAATGTGATAATGCCACTGTTCGGCCCCGCGAGCCTCCGGAGGTTGAGCCCGGTATCCCTGGGAAGTACACGAGGATGGGCTGCCTCGAGTGCGATGTAGCTCTCTGTAACTCAGAAGATTGCTGGTACCGATTTCATACGCAGAATCTCTAGTAATTGGAAGTATCTATTATCAATTACGTTGGTTGGTTGGAAAAAGGGGCCCGAAGTGGCCCGATTGGCTGCTCCCCCGCATCTCAATGTACTGTCGCCTTGCAGCACTCGATGGGATAGGCCAATTGCGCTCTTGGCCGTCCTCGGAAAAGGCTTGGAGAGACTCATCGCCAGACGACTTGCCTGGATCGCAGTTAAACATCGTGTTCTGCACGATCAACAGTTTGGAGCACTCCCTCTTCGCTCTTGCAGCGACCTCATCGCAGCGGCCATCCACGACATCGAGTGCGCCTGGCAAAGAGGCCTGGTTACCTCTATGCTTACGCTCGATATAAAAGGGGCTTTCGACGCCGTGCTCCCAGGACGACTGGTCCGACGCCTCTGCGAACAAGGATGGCCGGAGAACCTCGTACGCTGGGTCTCAAGTTTTGTTACCGGAAGGAGAGCAAGAATAAGGCTTGATGGGGAGGTAGGAGACGTCTTCGGTCTCGAATGCGGACTACCACAAGGCTCATCCGTGTCTCCCATTCTATTCATGCTCTATATTGAACCTCTTTTCAAGCTAGGCATAGCTCGCCTAGGAAGGAAGCGATCTCGTTTCGGCTACGCCGATGACGTCGCTATCTTGGCAAGCTCAACATCACTAGAGAACAACTGTGACATCCTAACCAAGGAATGGAAAGAAACCTTAGGATGGGGCGCGACGGAAGGAATCACTTTTGACCTCGATAAGTCCGAACTGATCCACTTCACTAAGAGACGAAAAGACGGAAACCCATCAATCACAGTAGGTTTGCCGGATGGGAGGTATCATAAAGTTCAGGCTATTAAAGAAGGCTCTTCTCTACGCTGGCTCGGCGTTTACTTCGACCGTAAACTCACATTTAAGAGTCACGTAAGAAACCTCTCTGCAAAAGCATGCCAAGTAGTCAATGGACTACGGGGACTAGGGAACACTGTCTGGGGCGCGCCTGCGTACTTACTTCGTCGAGCGATCACCTCTTGTGTATTACCCACTCAGTACTATGCATCTGAAGCATGGTGGCCCGGCAAGAGCCGGATAAAGAATGGACGTACTATCTCAAACGGGGTTGGTAGTCTGCTACACCAACTGGACGCGACGCAAACCAAAGCCATCAGAGCGATGGTCCCCGTATACAGAATGACGCCTGTACCGATCCTACAGCGCGAGGCGGCTCTACCCCCAGCAGAGGTGATACTGGACGCGAAGCTCCACACAGCGTCCACCAGAATCCATCGTCTGGACGAGCGACACCCTCTCCGAACGAGACTCAGGGACAAATCAGGACCAGACTCACGGCTACGACGAATGGCAAGCCTCGTAAGCAAAAATACCGAATACATCGATCCGTTAGAACTCCCCCCTTGGGAGCAACTAGCGGACTGGCAGACAGCCCTCGCCAGGGTCGGCTACGAACCTAATAAGACCAAAGAAGAACAGGCCCTCTCCTTTGCAGGCAGGATGGCAACTTTCTCCAAGCGGGACATTGTTGTCTACACTGACGGGTCCCAGATGTCGGACGGCAGCAGCACCTCCGCCGGAGCAGGCTGGGTAGGGTACCAAGCTACACGGCAGATCTTCCGCGGATCCGAACCACTCGGCTCCCAAACTGAGGTGTATGACGCGGAGGCACATGCTGCGTATCACGGCCTGATGGAAGCCACCCGGGCTCCTACGGCTCGTATGGCAGATAACGTCCACATCTGCCTCGACAACCTCGCAGTCGCGGCTAGACTATACTCCCAGAGCACAGGAAGCAGCCAGGCTAGATTTAGGGCCTTCAATAGGCTCTCTTCCTCCTGGACTCGGAGACAAAGAGAGAGCTGGACAACCCCCGGCAGGGTTTATGTTTGGTGGTGCCCTGGGCACACGGGAGTACCAGGAAATGAAGAAGCGGATGCTCTAGCCAAGGAAGCCTGCAAACTAATCCCAAAATCACAACCACAGCCCTCATTAGCGCACCTAGAAAGGCAAGCTAAAGCAGCTGCCTTCCAAGCCTTTGCCAGAAAATGGCTGTCCCAATGCCCTCGGCAATATGCCGACCTCGAGATAATTCTTCACCCCAAGCCGCCCGAACTCCGCCTCCCTCGGCACTTACTAGGAAGGCTATACGCAGCAAGATCCCATCATGGAGACTTTGTAGCATACCACGAGAGATTCGCTCATCAAGATGCGTTGCTCAACTGCAGCTGTGGGAAACCCAAGACACCAGTCCATTTCTACTTCTGCAAGCGTGGACGCAAGGCTACACCGCGCTACCTCCGCCAACGTATGGCCAAAGCAAGTATTGATTTCTTGTTAGGTTCTGCTAAGGGAGCCTCTCTTCTATGCGAATGGATAGAGGAGACCAATTTCTTTTCCGAAATTTGCCCGAGTCATTGAACAGGAACGTTAGGTGAAGACGGTAGCCTGTAATATAGTTTAGATTAGTATAGACCATGTCGGCATAGCGCCCGGCACGTCCTTTTGTTACCAGACGTTAAATACATCATCATCATCATCATCAGCCGTTTGTTCCCACAGGCACGCAGAACTCGCTCAGCGAATTCCCTAACTTGCTCATGGGTTGGAGAGACTCCTAGAGTATGCTGAATTCGAATCCATTCAGACAGCTTATCTTCCTGCCAAGGAGGAAGCCTCTGAAGCTCAGCGAAAGCCCTTGCTCGATTCTGTTGGCCGCTCATACGATTGCGAAGTGTTGATCGTGGTACTCCAAACTCAATCGAGGCTATCCTGACCGAGAGACCGTCTGCGATAGCCAGAAGAGCCCGATCAACTTCATTTTCGGTATAATCGACCATTACATATCAATAAACAAGTGTGCGAAAAGTAATCCATTTGGACGGTTTTTGCAATTGTTGTGGTGGTTTGTACATTGAGAGTAGGATAATGTTGGAACAGCAAAGGCTGATAAGGAGTAATAGGCAGGTACCATGGGCTGGCTGGCACCTGCCCTGGGCGAAGTGGGACAACTGGCTTAGTCATCACGGCCGGATAAAGGTGGGGCAACCACCCAGGCCGTCACTACCTACTTCGACCGACTCCTGCCTACAATGTAAGATAGAACAACAAGAAGAACAAGCAATAGGATCACCAACAGACGAGTGATAATTGCTACCACTATTTGTCGTATACGACCCCGTGAACCAACAGATAATAATGCGGTGGCTGGGAGGGATTTAATGGGGTGGCCGAAAGGGGGGGTGGGCCGAAAGTGGGTGGGTTGACTTACCATCTTAGAGTTTAATCATTCGTAGTTGGAACGTGTAACGTACTTGATAAGCGAGCTGCCCAGACAAGCGAGCTGCCCACCTAACCATGATCACATTATAAATCTAACTGAGGAGCAACACTAAAAACATAAAATCAATTAAAACTACTCTAAATCCTATTCCTCAGATATTTCTTTATTAAACTGACATGTTCGCGCATTGTGGCCAGTGTTTCCGTAGACGCCATATCGCCGTTGACCTGTTTCTGTCCTCGGCCGACGACCACTACTCTGGCGCGTTTCCTCCTCAATCTGGGCCGTAGCCTCTCTCTGCGACTGAATGTCCTCTGCCTCAGCTACAGTAAGACTTCCTCCTTATCTGAGACGTGTTTTCTTAGCCCTCCTGCGTCGGCTAAGTAGGTTATTTTCCTCCCGGAGGATCTGGACCTCCGACCTTAATAAGGCAATCTAGTGCATAAATCCCCGCGCTCCCTTTGATAAATGCTCTACAGCTTCAATAATTGAAGTTGGGGAGCTATTCTGATGGCGGGAGATCCTTCTTTTGATGAGTTCGGACTAAGAAGAGGCCTCTGTTGGGTTATTTGGCGTCTGAGAAGTCCATGCGGGGGGTGTTGTTGGTAGGGACCCTGGGGGTGTTGGAGTGTGTAACTTGACATCAAGCTTCGAAAGCACACTTTCGGCACTTAAAGGAACAAGCCCGGCCCCTCTGAAGCCTCCCTAGATGTTTTTTACCGTTAGGGCTTGTATGAAAGCGTTGTGAAATGCAGGGAAGGAGTCCTCCTTCGTAATATGCGTATTACCCCGGCGCATCTTATCCTCAATTTGTCGACCATAAGCCGTCTTTAGTGGCCCAAAACAGCCAACGTCTAAGGGCTGAAGTAGATAAGACGAATGGGCCGGCATGCAGAGTATGAGGATATTGTTTTCCTTGCAATATATCTCAAAGTCCGCAGAGTGGTGACTTTCGTACCTATCGACGACGAGGAGGCGATAACTGCTAGTTGCACGCGGTTTTATATGCCGATCAAAGAGCTGGAGCTAGTCTAGGCCTCTTTCATTTGTTGTCCATCCGTTTTCAGACGTTGCGATGACCCAGTCGCATGGGAGATCTATTTCTATATACCAGGTAGAGAGGTAATTGTTGGTATACACGTCAGCAGGGCAACCGTACGGTCGGAACGAAGTGTAAATAATGGTCTATTATTGCTGCGTCTTGAGGTGGAAGGAGGAGGTTGTGGGCAGAGCCCACGGCCTCTCAGAAGTGGTATGTAAGGGGTCGTTTGTAAGTGCCCATACCGCCTTCCAGATCCACCTTTTCTGCCGACTGCTCAGAGATCCAACAGTAATATTGGCCTATAACGATGATATACGGCGGAACGCTATAGCCTGACGAACTGATGGCCTGAATGACTGTAACCTATTCACGATTGCCAGGCTGTATTATTTTTGTATTTGAACGCCTTTCGGCACTCGTGACGACCACCTCGGATGCAATCTGGCCCATCATAAACCTAGTCTCGTCGAAGTTGTAGATATCGGAGTCTATAATGCCGTATTTGCGATTGTGTTCGCCACAAGCCGAAACCACGCATTTATCGCGTCTGGATCTTCGTATTAAGCCTTCTTATAGTTGTACTTACGAAAAAAGCGTATCCGGAGCTGTGGTTATCGTTTAACGAAGTTTGAAGCCCAGCGCTTCCCAACTAGGGGCACGTCGCGGTCGGCGAGCAATCGATTGGCCATTTCTTCCACACTACTGATCCGGGGAGGAAACGATCGGGAATACAGGTCGAGGATATACTTAACTAGCTTCTCCTCTTCAAGCTCCGTCTGTGGGAACAAACGGCAATCGCTAGGTATACACGGAGCCGAGCTATGTCACGTGTCTTCGGCACGTGACACACCTCAGCTCCCTCCTTCCATATCACGAGCCTTCGCGTTTAGATACTCTCCTTAACAACAATAACAACAACAAGAACAACAACAAGAACACCAGATTAACCCAACGATATTGCTACCGATCGCGATACCAGGAATACCTGTGTGACTAACCTGTGGTACACGCAAACCAACACCGTCAATTTGCATAAGTTAGGTATAGTATCTTATCGTGCAGGTATGCCTTTCAATCGGGTGCCTAGGGTCCTAGGGAGGACTAAATAGATTCTTGCTGCGGCTCGAATGCTGAGTTTAGGGGTTTTTTGGATAGCCTCGACTGCTAAGTTCAATTGGGCCTCTTTGCTTTGTGACGACATGATTATTTGTGGCGTGATACGCATTAGAAGTGAGGAGGAAGGATGAACGCGGTTGGGTGGGCAGCTCGCTTATCAAGTACGTTATTCTAAGTACCTACTCATTTGGTGATGAGCGCCTGTGGAGCCCGCTTTGAACGTGACTCTGTTGACAAGTCCCGGGACGTAGCTGCCCATGATCGTAGTTACTATGTCTCGAAAAACATTGGTTGGAAATTGATATAAGTTTGTTAATGTTGGTAATTGTCACTTTGGCACTCTGCTTGTGGACACAATGCTGACGGAACACGCCCGGATTTAAGGCTTACTGCGTCTGTCAGCGTAGTCACCGAATCCCCATTGAGTGGACAAATTGCGGCGGGCAGAGGCTTGGCCGGCTGAGTAATGCAGCAGGGCAGCAGTCTACCCCGACCGTTCGACCGTATCTGCGGTCCCCGGACGGCATTTTCGCACGTCGGCCGGGGGCCTGCGGATTTCTGCGCATCTCTCCGCTAGTTTGCATTCCTGCTGTCTCACGTCATGGATATTGTACGCTCCGCAAGTCCGCTACCGTGGCCTAAGGGATTGTGGTACTCCTCTATGTTGGGGCTCACTGACCTCATAAGCCATTTCCTACTAGTAATACGAGTCAAGTCTCATGGGGGGTTAAAGTGTAGCCAGATCGCCGAGTGAATCATGCTCCGCAAATATTTGTAAGCGGAGTCCGGACTCTAGACGCACACACGGGAGCCGATGGGATGAACAGCAACCTACGAAGGTTTCGGATGTCGTCGTGGCCCTTTATTATGACTCCCCTCGACTTCTATAAAGGTAGTTGACGCCAACTGCATTTAGCCTACATTACTTGCTACAATCTCCAAGAACCTTTTGGTGAACAAACAACAACATGACTACTTCCACTAACCCCGTGATTCCTACGGGCTCCACCATCCTCGTTACTGGCGCCAATGGATTTGTCGCATCGCATGTAGTCGATCAATTCATCAAGAAAGGCTACAAGGTCCGCGGTACTGTTAGAGACACCGAGAAGAGCAGTTGGCTCAATGCCTACTTCGACAAAACCTATGGCAAAGGCCACTTTGAACTTGTCTCGGTGCCCGATATGCTTGTCGAAAATGCTTACGACGAAGTTGTGAAAGGTAGTATCTTGTGCTCCTGTTAGGATTATTTTATCATCATGCTGATACCTGCCAGGTGTCTCCGCTTTCATCCATACAGCATCCGTAGTCAACTTCGACCCAGACCCAAACAATGTCATTCCGATTGCGGTAGACAGCGCCTTGGTTGCCCTCAAGGCCTCTTACAAGGAGACAAGCGTGAAGCGCTTCGTACTGACTTCCTCATCATCAACAATCTTGCCTGCGAATCCCGAGACTTTCATGAAGATGAAGGGCGCTGTTGTGACCGAAGACACTTGGAGTCCTGACGCGAAAGAACTGGCCTGGACGCCGGGCCCGTGGGGTCCTGAGCATGGCGCTTTCGTCTACTTTGCCAGCAAGGTTGAGCAGGAACAAGCCGTTTGGAAGTACCACGAGGAGAACAAATCCAAACGCCCTGACCTCGTCGTCAATTCCGGTAAGGAGGACCTTCCTCTTGTGCTCCTGCGCCTTTCGGATCTGAATGTTAACGAGACATCATAGTCGTGCCAAGCCTGAACTTGGGAAAGAGTCTCGATGTTGTGAACCAAGGGCACAGGTCTACTTCGGGTTACCTTTTGCCTTTCCTCGAGGGACAGAGAGTGCCTCCTTTCCTGAGCCACCCCCGTGAGTGCTGATAGTGAACACTTGACAGCCGGCACGTCATGGCTAACCTCGTACTAGAATATCACATCGATGTACAGGATAACGCTATCCTGCACGTTGCTGCAGCTATCTTGTCCGATGTCAAGAGCGAGCGTATCTTCGGTTTCGCCCAGTCTTTCTGTTGGGATGATATCCTCAGGATCTTGCGCAAGCAGCACCCGGGAAAGAATATCCACGAAGATTTCGCCAGCGAGCCATTCCCAGTTATCATCAAGCCCGTAGACCGCGCTGAGGCACTGTTGAAGAGGCTTGGACAGCCTGGGTGGACTTCCCTTGAGGACAGCTTGCGGATGAACACGGAGGATCTCAAGACCGAAATCTCTGCATGAACACGATCTTTGCACACAAGCTCATGTTTGGGTGAGAAGGTTGATCGTTGAGCGAGCTGGAATGAACAAATTCATAGTTACCTAGATTGCCTGGAGCTAAAAGCTCACTTTTGTTTCAACCAATGAGGTGAAGTACTAGTCAATAAGCCCGCAAGCTACATTCAATCTGCGCATTGTATCTAGTCTTACAGCAAGTTTACCCCGCACAAGCGCCGGCTGCTGCCTGGTCTCGAGGAAAGTGTAATCAGACTGCAGAACCAACCAAATAGCACATGGGTCAAGCCGAACGTTGGATACTTATGTTCCAATACACAACATACTTCGTATCACATTCCTAGCCATATGCTCACAGAAAGCACGTGGACGATCTGATTGAGTCTGCAATTCAAAAACCCATGGCAAAAATGATGCCATGCGACATTTGCCGGCATTTTATCAAGTTGGACCGCTCGTCTGAAGTCCCCTTTCAAGTTCCAAACACCATGGCTTGTTGTTGTTGTTGTTGTATTTTAACGCCGTAGCGGCAAGGGCGCAGCCGCCCTTGCGGCAGACCTCCCGAAGGATATATGGCGTGGAGGGCCGTAGGCCTATAGCTATCACTAGATACAGTCCAGCTCGTCCTCCAAATCGTGCCCAAAGGCAACTATGTGTCTAACCTGTCTCTGGGTGCCGCTGGCTTGCCCGAGACAGTGCTATGGTCGTCCCTAGAACGCAATTCCGCCAGTATCTCCTATCCTTCGACCCAGAGCCCGCAGGCTTCTGGTTTACACAACGTTCCAGTAACCGTCCGGAGTATATCGTAATAGGTAATACCGCCACAAGGGAAACCACAAGGGGTAAAACCTCGTAAGACTAGGTTGTAGGGCTTGCTGTTAGGTTCTGTAACGAGCATAGCTGTATATAGCCGTGGCTATACATCGCTACCCAATGGTCATTTCGTCTCTTCGAGGGAGTCTTCCATCGTTTAAGGGGCAAAGGTGCTGAGAGAGCGAAGTCGAAAAGTCGGTCGGTGATGTTCAATTTGGGCCCGGAAGCGCCACTTGCGCCGGGAAAGAAAGTCGCCCGTCTCCTTCGGGAGGCTAGATGGAACCTCTGCTCCCTGCCCTACCAGGAAGACTTCGTCTAGCCTGCGGAAGGCGAATTCGAGTCGATGGCGGCTCGTTAGGTTGAATAATCGTCGGCTCGATTCGAGGGGAAGATGTGCGTTGTTAAGGGTTTGATTAGCGTATAGCTAATCCACCCCAGCGCGCAGCGGCAAACCGCGGGGACTGGGGCCCCTCCTTAGCATGGCACTAACAGCCCGTGCCAAGCTGGAGAGATGTTTCGTGGAGGTTGACACCATGGCTTGTATGGGAGCAAGAATCCAAAGAACTCTTCATCTCCAAACAAGACTGCCCGTTGTGTGCAGCTCTTTGGGAACTGCCCATTGAACAAAGTCTAAACCAGGCTAGAGAGCGTTTCGTGGATGTCACAGCCGAAAGCTCGCATCCCGTTTCTCTGAAAGTGCTGGAGGTAAACAACACGAGTCGGGTTCTTTGGGCAAGCCTTGAGGTTTCTTTAGAAATCAAACGAGATGGTTTTGTATATCTCTCCCGGGCATCAATGGGGATCTCGCCACAGGATCTAGATGATCGTAAGTCTTCACCTATGTTTTTAGACTGACAAGCAGAAGGCTTGAATCTATCAACTCACTACTGGCTGTAGCAAATCCTCACCCGCACTTTTGGACTTGGGGTCGAACACATCCATTTCGAACTTTGGCAGAAGACAGAGTACTATGCGCGAAAACGTGGTTGAAAACTTGTGAGAGCACACATGGTAGCTACTGCCAACCGCGCAAGGGAAAATTACCCAAACGGTTCATTGACACGAGACCGGGCCAGCCTTTACGCCTGGTGTCTACTACTAGTGAAGTGTTCCAGCAACTCTCCGACTCTGTGAGTTATGCGACATTGAGCTACTGCTGGGGAGCTTCGATTCCATTGAGAACAACGAAAGTCACGGAAGAAGACTTTGGTGTTTCTATACCTGAGAACCTTCTTCCAAGAACTTTCCGACACGCGATAAGACTTGTCCGCTCGTTAGGTATCCGCTATCTGTGGATCGACTCATTGTGTATAATACAAGACGCCCAGGCAGAGTGGGAGTTAGAGGCTTCCCGAATGGGGGATTTCTACGCTGGAAGCATCATCACCATAGCAGCGAGCTACGCATTGAATAGCGAAGGAGGGTGTTTCTCAGATGATGATGATAGTATGGAGGCGGTTGCAAATGACAAAGACTCAGGCCAAGGAGAGACTGCCAATCCTGAACGTACTTCAGGAGCCAAGACAGATCCTACAGTCCGGATATTTGCTTACAAGGAAGAGGACCTGAACTATTCCTTCCAACCATCCTATTCCACGATGATACGCTTTCAATCTCTTGACCCCCGCGAAGTTCCCCGGCATGCACATCTCAGCACACGAGGATGGGCCTTCCAAGAACGAATCTTATCCCGGAGGATTATGCACTGTCTGAAATAGGAAGTTCACTGGCAGTGTCAATACCTGTACCAAACTCAAGCAACTCAGACCTTCGACGTCCCTCATTTCACGGCAAGTGATTCTACTTACCCAGTCTCGCAAATTTATCAATGGTGGCCTGGATGGATCGAAGACTACTCCCAGCGAGACTTCACTATTGCCTCCGACCGGCTACAAGCTTTCGCTGGTATTAGCAATCACTACACTGATTTAACATCCAGTGAGCCGATTCTCGGGGTATGCCCCAGAAATCTTGCCCGAGACCTTGCCTGGACCAGAGATGGTCTACAAAACGGGCCTGGAGTTCCGGGCGCACCTTCTTGGACTTGGTTCTCTTGCAACGCCCCGATTATGATCGACGATTGGGGCTTCAAGCTGCATCGCCGCTTCACAGTCTCAAATAATGTGGACTTGGTCTCTTTTGGCATCGAGTGGAAAGGAATCCCGATGACGTCCCAGATCAAGTATTGCCATCTTATTATACATGGTGTTCTCAAAGAACTTTCAGTCCGCATACCGCCCGAGGCCATGATTTACAATCCGCCATGTATGCTGATCGATGACGAAGAGACCGATTTCTCGAAGGGGCCAATACCATGGACCTGCTCAGGACGATTTGACGATCCCAATCACCCGTCAGATTCGAGATCCCCATACACTTTCTTGCTTCTTAGGACGAGAACGGTCAACGAGGGCCAAGATGGCACGTTTTTCATGGAGACGTTTCTGATTCTCTCCCCTGAGAATGGGCCACTGGTAAGGTCGACTGAGCATAAGAGGTTCCGACGCATCGGAATCGCGTCTTTCAGAGGAAAGGAGAAAATCTTTCTAGACAATATCGAAAGAAAAACGGTGTTTCTCATGTAGGCACAGGAGTTTTGAGAAAGAAAAGTTCCTTAAGCCCCTCGAGTTAAAGCATGGGAGAGCCGAAGGACGTGAATATCTATCGATCTCAAGTGTAAATGGTAGTATTGAACCAGCTTTGTTGAATCTTATTTCTGGCAAATAAATATCGCACATGTCGCACATGTCGCACAGGAAATCCTCTCCCTGCCCCACGCAGTCCGTACCGTTCAGTCCCAAGACCCTTTACTCTGTACACTCATTCCTATCAAAGCCCGTGAGTGAACTCGGGTAGGCTGTAACATAGGCACACCAGCACGGCAGACACAAGTCAGTGCCGCAGTGAGGAATGATAAGACGGCAGCTCCCGGCGTTCCGTTTCGAAGTAGAGAATCACCAGTCTCTTGAAGACGAGATGGCGCTTGGAATCCTCGTTAATCCTCGCTCAGTTTGTGAAGATGCTCCAGGAAATGCCCCACCTAAAGCCGCCTGCGAGCCCTGGAATGCCCCATGACAGAATTCGGAATTGTACCGTTGCGCCATATACAAAAGAGAGATCCCTCTACTGCATTTAGGTAGTTGTGGGTACATATAGTTTCCGTCACCCCACGTGTAAGGTCGGCAACGGCCCGCCGGCTTTGGCCCCCTTTCGGCCGCCGCAGGACCGATTCCGAAGCCTGCCGTACCTTACTACGTACTTCTTAAAGCGACCGCATTTTTCGTGCAATATTTCCAGGAGATGTGGTTTGGTGATGGGCCTCCGTAATCTAACTTTCCTGATGTCCACCAACTCTCGGTCGTATTTTCCCTTACCTTCGTCGCACATTGCTTTCTGTTGGAACAGCAAAGGCTGATAAGGAGTAATAGGCAGGTACCATGGGCTGGCTGGCACCTGCCCTGGGCGAAGTGGGACAACTGGCTTAGTCATCACGGCCGGATAAAGGTGGGGCAACCACCCAGGCCGTCACTACCTACTTCGACCGACTCCTGCCTACAATGTAAGATAGAAAAACAAGACGAACAAGCAATAGGATCACCAACAGACGAGTGATAATTGCTACCACTATTTGTCGTATACGACCCCGTGGAACCAACACTTTCTTCAACCACTCACCCAGTCTGAGTCTGACGGAACTATCCCATCAACTACGGAATGGCGTCAGTACATATATACGTACTATTATGAGGGATAATAGCTAATCATACGTTAACCAGCCCCTCTTTCCTTTATTTCCCTTAATCAAAAAGTTCGTGTAAGAATAGAGCTGGAGAAAACTGGAGAACGTATGTACTGACGCTATTCCGCAGTTGATGGGATAAGGACAAGCACAGAAGCCATTCTTGCACTTACAAACCACCTTCGTCGACTCTACTCTTTTTGTGTTGCCACCTATCCTCCAACCTCCTGTTCTCGACGGCCCCATACTCTGTCCTCGTCGTCAGTGATGTGGACAATGATGAATCGAACGGCTCAGTGCATGTAGTTGTGGCCGGCCTTGAGCACCGCGCCTACACAGCTGCGGTGATCACAAAGTAGTTACATCGCGATACATTTATCCGTAATTTTTCCATATACGTTCTTGGGACCGCCGCAATCTCGCTGTGTTCCGAGTCAAGAAGTAAGAGTGATCGGTCATTTCAGGGATATTTAGGGAGCGTGGGGTGCGTGTGAACTCGTTACTCGCGACGGTTTGGCTTCATGCAACCCATCGTGAATACATCAGGTGAAAACCTCGATTTACCTAACAGTCACGGCGAGGTTCACGCAGAATGAGCATGTCGCGATCTAGATTATAAGCCTAAAATATCTATATTGATTGAGCAGTGTAAGACAATGATCCATCGCGATTTCTACTTGCCTAACATTTCTTAGCAAACACTGCCCTTTATCCCATTGATAAGATTCTGGACAATCGTCAATACATTTGTGTCCAGTGATGCTCCGTTGTTTCATCAGTTGTACTTGCTCAAATCTTGACTTTTATGCGTCAGTGAACAATCTTCATACGCCTCCGCCCTGAACATTCCAGACATTTGTGCCGAGATAGGAGACGTGAAAAGTAGTTTTAACCCTGCAATATGAGGGTGTCAGGCCCATCCCACTACACTCGTTACAACGATTGTCACACTATGCCTATGAAACAATAGGGTCTTACACAAGCATGACTAAGTTTGCCAAGGATATGCCAGTATAAAGGGTCTTCCACTCACTATCCCATCGACTGCGAGATGACGTCGGTACATAAGCCTCCAGTTTTCTCCAATAGCCGAATTATTCGATTGGGTGCATCGGCCGGAATTAAAACGGATTCTAATCGGAATATCATGGAATAATGTGTGATTTGCTGCTTCCTCTCATGAACGGTACGTAGCTATGTACCGACGTCATCTCGCAGTCGATGGGATATAGATAGTCGGGATATTCCCATAGCCACTCGTTCTTCATACTCATCAATACATCCCATTGACCCCCTACCTGATAATCGCTGCCCAACAGAGGGTATTGTTGCTGTGCCTGCTGTGCCTGCCGAATTTGATATTCTTGATGTCTTTGGCAAACCTCGTCAAGAAACTGGATGGTCATTCGCAGCTCGTCCTGGTTCGGGTAACGGGAGTGGCCATCTATCAAGCAGAATATAAACGCAACTGGCACGGATTGCAAAAGGCCTTGAAAAAGCTGTTTCAGGGCGTTGAAGTCCCACTTAGATCGCATCTGAGAATCGATAATCGTTGTGAAAGTGCATTCAGCTGGCCATATCTCAACCAGCTGAACGATCAAGCTGCGCAGAAGATGGAAGGGGGTTCCTATACTATTCTCGCGGAGGGGGCGACAAAAGTAGTGAATAATAAATTCAGCTGCTACAGGCCCTTGGTCTCGGAGAAATTCGTACGATATCAAGCCGAGTGGGTTGATCGGTAGTTTAGAAACGGGATCATGTAAACCCAAGAATTGCGACTGGCTTGAATGCATCCATAGGTCGAACTTTTGGCTGTCGCGGTTTTTCCTTTTCGTCTCGAGAAGATTGTTCTTCGGACAATGACGCTCGAGGATTGACCTGGTTGTCTCCAACGCCATCCTGATGAGTCCCGAAGACACGCCAAGCACGTCTAGAAAGTCTTGACGGCCAACTGTGTATTGTGTGGTGCCTGGTTCAGCATTGTGAATACCAGGTGCGATCGCATTGACATTTGATGAGCTCGCTTGGCTCTGGTCAAGCCAGGTCACTTCCTTTTCTTCTGCGAAATCTGTATATGTACATTAGCCTCCTCCAGACGTTCAATGTTGTAATTATCCTCTGCCCCGCGAAAACTCACGATGTTCCATGACCATGTTTTGGACTGCACCTCGATTTTCCACTACGTTCTCTAACGGGGATTGGATATTCGTGGTTAAAAAGGCAAAACGTTAGCTACATCAGCTCCGGTTTTATATAACAAAACGCCATGTTCTTGATGCTCCATGTCGGTACCATTAAGGTACTTCTTTGAGTTAGGACAGTCGCTCTCCTGCTTTGAACAGTTCCCCATTCATTCTCCCGATTGAGACCTCTGTTCACGAAAATCTCTCCCACAAAGGACCTGATTTCCTTTGTCATCTTGATCGTCACCACACCGCCAGACTCGAGACTCGGCACAGATTGCCGCAAACTTCCTGGGGTATTTAGCCGCCCGAGAGTCGAAACATGCAATCGCCTAAAAGTTGTCAGAAAATCTCTTGGAGGTTTTGCATCCCAATACCTGGTAACATTGGGTCATTCGATCGTTGATGTCGTTGATGACCCCGGTCTTACCATTTCTCTGTGCGTCGTCTGCCGGTATAAGTTTTTTGTTTGCTCGGATTGCCATGAGAAGATCAATGATACTGTCTAGTCGATGGCTTCATCGACTCAGGACCTGGTTCCCAAGCCACCAATAACAATAGAGATATAAACAGCGTTTGCTATGAGGGCGAGCCAAGGGTCGATGACCTCTGTGATGTCGCTGCTGATACCGCCTATCTTGATCATCGTACCATCATCCCTGCTTTGTCGATCACCCTTTCTTTGTATACATTGATCCATCTTTCCCACACTCCCAATATTGAATAGCTCGCATCGAACCAGCGCAGTTCACGTGGTGTGGAGTCGTCTCTGCCCAAACGGCCATTGGCTTGTCAGGACAGATCGGCTTTTCCAAGGCCAGCGACTGTTTTTAGTCGTGCCCATCTTTTGCTTGGAGCATTTTGGTCTGCTCGACGATGGTTTCCGATGGACTTGAAGGTTCTATGCACACCGGCTGCTTCACTTAAGAATGACGCGATTAGCCAGAGTCAGAATGTCTGAAGTGTATGTTCAAATGTTGCCATGAGGGTATTATCGTGCTCTACTGTTGCTCATCAGCGATTGAGCAAGACTGATAAGTCCACAATATAGATGGATACTTTGCCATTGTATTAGAAGAGACGCCCAATTTCAGCCTATTACGTGTCGCGAGCAGGCAACAAGCCCGGAAGCCTATTCTAGGCACGTCGTTGGAGCTCCAGTACCAAATGCTCGAACGCGAGACATGCTGTCAACCAGTAGAAAAAGGTCCAGACTACAATTGAACTGGAAAACTATGAATTCTAGAGAAAACGAGAATTTTATAGATCATCCATCTCTTCATCAACATGCAAGACTTTGCTGTCCTGGAATTTGACCTCAACTCGGCCATGCGACTGCCGAAGTGACGAAGTGGAGAATGAGGGGTAAAGCTGCTTTCTCGGACAATAAGAAGAGGGGACAAATGCACCTCAGAAGCTAGTTAATCTTCAGAGCTCCGACGAAGAGTCGGCCGCGCGGGACGGCGTTAAAGAAGACAACCTTTCGGCCAATGCTGCTTGTCCCAACTTTGGTTTCCCATCTATTTGGGGTTTCACACTGGCTGACGTGAGCGACTCTGACCCCTGACGACTAGCTTTCAGCTCAACCTTGGCCATCTATCGGTAAACAAACAATGTCTGAATGAATTGACCCCTCACTTTGCCCCGCCATGTAAATCCGTTTGCTATAAATCCGGTTGTCCCGCCTTCGACACTAGGTAGATGGGCCACCCACCGGGATATCACGACGTTTCAAAATTCTCACCGTGAGGGGTGTTTTGTAGAATACACAGACAGACAAATCGCTTGCTAGTAATCCGTTGATACGAGCAACACCTCCAAAAATGTCATCCAAGCTTCACCAGGCGCCACCCTTTAGGGCAGAGCACATGGGCTCCCTACTTCGCCCTCAGAAGCTCCTCGACATCCGCGAAGGCAAGATCCGCGACCAGGGTCTGTCCGAGGAGGAAGCCGGTCTTCCCGCCGTTGAGAAGGAGTCAGTCGCCGAGGTCGTCAAGCTTCAACGCGATCTAGGCATCAAGGGCGTCACCTCGGGCGAATTCAACCGCACTCGTTTCTGGGGCCTCATGTGGGATGAGTTCGAGGGCTCTACCCGCCTTCAGGATGCCGAGGCCAGCATGTTCCGGTTGTACCACCCCGATGTTGTGAGCCTTATCGAGAAGGATCGCAAGGTCATGCCGGGCGACTCCGTCATCGCCGGCGGGAAGCTGTCTCACTCGCCCTCAAAGTCCAAGTCAAACTTGCACGAGCTGCGTTTGGTGCAGGCTGCTCTACCGAAGGAGGAGTGGAAGGACATCAAGTTGACCATGATCACGCCGGCTTGGTTCCACATGCGCTACAAGCAGGGCAGAGCATACACCGAGGAGGCGTACGCCAACGATGCCGAGTACTTCAAGGATGTTGCCAAGGTTTACCAGGCCGAACTCCAGCAGCTTTACGATGCTGGCCTGCGCAATGTTCAATTTGATGATCCCGGTATGGCTTGTGAGTAAGCCGAGTCCAGCAAAACTACAAGCGCTAATCTCTCGCAGACTTTTGCTCGCAACAATTCCGCAAGGGCTGGGAGGAAGACAAGGACAACGACGGCACCGTAGAAGACCTCCTCGACGCCTACATTGCTCTGTACAACGACACTGTCAGCAAACTTCCCGAAGACATGCACACCGGTATCCACCTGTGTCGCGGCAACTTTATCGGAGGCCGTCACTTCGCTGAGGGTTCCTACGACACCATTGCCAAGAAGCTCTTCCAGAACCTGAACGTAAACACATTCTACCTCGAGTACGACACCGAGCGCGCCGGCGGTTTCGAGCCCCTCCAGTTCCTTCCTAAGAACAAGAATGTCGTTGTTGGCATCATCAGCACTAAGGTCCCCAAGCTCGAGGACAAGGAGGAGATGAAGGCCCGTATTCTCACCGCTGCGGAGTACGTCGCTAAGGGAAGCGGTGAGACCAAGGAGGAGGCACTCAAGCGTATCTGCGTGTCGCCTCAGTGCGGTTTCAGCACGCATGAGAGCGGATACCCGCTGAGTCTGGAGGACGAGAAGAACAAGCTGTCTTTGATTAGAAAGATTGCCGACGAGATTTGGGGCGAAGCCTAAGTGGATGTACGAAGGCGCGTGGAAGGGGGAGTTAGGGCAGAGTGGGGTGTAACATTCAACATGACAGGCTAAAGGAAGAGCGGGTGTAGATTACTTGTTGCAAGCGTGCCTAAAGATGTTTGGTCTTTTTCTTTCAACCTAGTCTTAGGAATCCAATGTCTTTGATGGCCAACCCTTTCGAATGATGTCGGTCTATCTGTCGGGTTCAGCCCTTTATCGTAGGCGCTTGCAGAGCGTGAGAATATCTGGACCCCCATCTATTAAGCCACCTCGAGCATAGGTTCCACAAGTCTCATCACCACTAACCATGGTCAACAAATTTGAGCCTTCTTCCCAGCTACTTGAGGTGGATTGCAACGATGCAATCCCTGATAAGTTGAGAAGTGGATAAACCCAGACTGTAGCTGAGACTGCACGAGAAGAAAGAAATACTCAATGAATTGGTGGGCTATGGACAGTTTAAAAGGCATAAAATATGATACTAGTACTAGAATGTGTTGATTGAACTTCTTCAACCGGGTATTGAGCTAATTATTGAAGCGAAAGGAAAGGAAATGAACTATAAAGTAGTCTGACAAAGGGGTGAGTATGGCCTTTGCAAGCGAGGTCTGCACCAGGTGCTGCCTTCACGGCCAAGAAGGTTTCCACGAGCTCAACTTAGATAGCTTTGACAGATCGAATAAGGTTTGAGACACTGCTCGAGACTTTGCTCAGAAGAGAAGACTCGGACTCGGTGGTCTCAACTGTCATGACGCTCCGGCTAGTCTCGCTGGACCTTCGCCGTGAGTGCATTTCCCGAACAAACTTGGGCCATGTATTTGTCAACACAAGATGCTTGATGTGGCCCTGTGCACTATCAAACACCGTAGAGCTGAATCCCGCGGGAATATCACCGGTATACCGGGCTTGATGCCTGATGTCACCGCTACTCCCCGAGCTTGACCCTGTGCGTGACCTCAGGTAAGCATCATCGAAAGGCACAGCAATGTTGACAGAAGCGTCTTCTCCAAATAGGATACGGGCGGGCTTGTCAAAGACTCTGAACAGCTGCTTCATCTCCTGGGAGGGAAGATTAAGAGGGAAATCAGCGTGCTCCAGGGAGATGAAGTCGGCGTAAATCTGGAGGGCGCGGTTGTATGCATCAAGTCTTTCTTCGTGGGCAAGGGATTCTCGAGATGCCGAATCGCTTATGGCATTCGGCCATGATCTTGACTTCCACTCGGAAACGCGAGCGAGGAATGCAATGTTCTCACCGGAGAAGTCACTGAGGGCAGAAAACTCCTGCAAGACACCTTGATTCTCCCTCAGAGCGTGGTCGAGCGCAGTCATTGTCAATAAGCGACTGTCAATATCTGGACCAATATCGGCGGAATCGATTTGGTAAACAATGGGCTGCCCCTTTTCAGCTTGGCTCGAAGAGCCAGGGAGTTTTCGACCATGATAAGATGCTGCGGTAGACGCTCTGAGTGTTGTTTGTGATTCTGTCTCCCATTTTGCGTTGGCAGCTGTGACGTGCTTCAAGAGGATACGGAGTCGTATGATTTGAACGAGTGGCACGAAGATTGTGAAAATCTCAAACATCATGGTCGAAAGATGAATCCTGTGTTTTTACATCAGCCACAGTAAGGGATTCTAGCAGGGGAGGGTTACCAACCATTGACTTGGGGGAAAGTACATGTTGATGGTGTTGAAGGCCGGTACATAAGATGCGATTAGAAACATCGGTGTTGCGTGAAGACTTTCCAGTGAGACCTGTCAGTAAAGCTCGTATGTGAATAAAGCTCAACATGTAATTTCCTACATACCCTGAAAGGCAGCAACCGATGGTTTGGGTTCGCCAACCCATGGTATCTCGGATACTCCACGCTCGCCAGATAAGCGTTGGTGCAACCTACGGACAGTTAGCTATCGGTAGGAGGAAAGTCGCTGAGTGCAGGTGCGAGCGAGATAGAAACTTACAATCCAAGTCCAAATGAACTGCCAAAGAACGGTCGGCCACCATTCCCATCCGCGGCCCAAGTCAATCAGTTGCTCAACTATGTTGTTCCCACGGATTTCTGTGCCGGGGATGCCAAAGGTCGGGTGGTATTTCTTGCAAGCCAACCACATGCCGGTTGTAAGCAGGCACTTGAGAGTATTAGTATCTTTCAATAAAACAGGACTTTTGAGTTCGATCATCCAACATACCTGAAATATCGCACCGATACCGATGAAGATCAGTATTCTCCTTCCGTAATCCATGTTCCTGAAGCGGTAGAGCCATGACGTCTTCGAGCCGTTACATCCTCTCCGAAGACTACCAGCGCCATTGCCGGCGAAGTGAAGCCTCTGCAGCTTTGCAACGTGCAAGAACCTGCTATTAGAGGCGTGAAAGCAAGCAATACCCAGCGGAAACCAGATGCCCATCACAAAGTATTGAACGTCGTACGCAATGACCACAGGCATCGTCCCGCCGATCGGGTATGTAATCTGGGCCATGCACCAGTAAAGGTGCAGGAAAATAATGGAACCAAAGGCCAGAGGTAGACCTCGAAGTCTCAAGATGGAGCTCCTCCGGTTGACCCAGAGGAAGGCCATACCCGCAAAGACGATTGCTGTCCATGTTGCGCAGAACGTGATGTAGAATATGCCGATTCTGTCCCATTTTGGCGGCATAGGCGGGAAGTTGTAGATCGTGAGGCCGGCCAACGCTGCGGGATCCATTGTTGAGACGGTTTGCTGCAGTGTTCGTACGTTGCATGGAGGAGGCAAGGGAGAAGGGAGGTTGTCGTGATCTTCTTGGAGTTCTCAGGTACGGACCTGGGTAGGGGACAGCCGCACTTTTCAAGACAATAGCATTTTCGTGGACGTGGCATGCAAGACAAAGTGATTACCGCAGCAAGACCTCGTCCAAGCCTCTCAAGCGACGGCATTGGCACCTGAGAAGTATGGGGATCGCCCATCTAAGATCGCTAGATCCAGCCAAAGGATAGCGTGCTTGGCGATAATACCAATGTGATACAGAGGCTCAGTCCATCCGAGGCAGCGAATCCCCTTGTCCTGCGCTGTTGCCCTCGCATTGTGGCGTCCTTCAGCTATGGAGAACACCTTATTCTGGCATTTTGGCAGGCCCATAACCCATCAAGAATACGGTGTTCGTCTCGACTCGGGTTGCCTCTGTTCCTTTGGGTCTTCCTTGCTTTTCTTCATCATGTCGATCTTTCGATACCGTCTGTGCTGCACTGCCCCCCGGACCAGACCGAGCTCACTAGACGTTGCGAATAACTCGCGCTAGATGAGAGATGATCCAATCAGAGGATTACCGTTCTGTCGTGGGCTTTGCGATCTTCACGACTCAACCTCACCCAGGAAAAGCGAGATGGGGTGCCTTGCATGCGTCAAGTTTTGGAATCTTGGTGCTCAACAAAAGACTTAATTCGAGAAGTCCGATTCAAACAGCCTGCTCTTAACCCCACGGAAACCCCTCATTCAAAGAGCACGCGTACCTATTTACTCCATTTCGATGGCTGCGTCCCCGACCTGCTGTATATGCACTAGTGGTGGGATTGACGGCAATAGATGTCTGTTGATCATTTTTAGGGCTCCAATTTTCTTCAACAACCGGTTCGCACCATCAACTTCTTTGAGGCGCGGCATTTGTGCAAACAAGTGAACGAAAAGGTTTGGAAGTGTGGTCCACCTTCGCAGTATCGGCTTGTTTCAAGGCCGTTTTCGTACCCGTGGGCGGAGGATTGAAACACGTGGTTGGTGGTCGAGAGGAAATCAGATGTAAGTCCTCGGTTCTCACCAGAAGGAAACCATAACAGGCCATACCATGTATTGACAGAGTCTTGTGTTATTCTTGCTACTCTAAAGGCATTCGCAGGTTTCCCGTTGTGCAGAGAGCAGAACCAGAGGATTGGAGCAGGCCCATGCCACCAGATCAGATCTATCCCAAATCCAGAGACTTGGAACCCCAGGGTATTCAGGGGCCCTTGTAAGATTTACAGGCTTGGAAAGATCCCGGGATTTCGGCTGTCTCCCCCGGTCGATTCGAAAATTGATTCCACAGAAGCCATCAAATCCAATCATGCCAAGGCACCCAGTGTCACTAGTCCAGACTGTCATGTCTCATTCGTCTGGTCAGATGAACCACATCTGACCAAGAACCCGGCACTTCAAAGCCTGTGCTTCTAGTGATCAATTGCGATCGTCGCTGTCAGCTCGGATCCCAGCCTACTGTATAAGTCTCAGCGAGGAACCGTAGGTGGTGCTACGTAAAGTCCACTGTCCAAGATGGCTTCACATGAGAGTATCTCGTCTGCTATCCTTGAGGTACGATGACTTCATCATAGACCATGAGCTCCTTGGAATATGCCCAAAAGCGACGAAATGGTGCCCTATTCGGTTCAGGCCCCTTCTTTCGCAAGGTTTGACAGGAAAGGAAGCCACCTTGCGCCACCACGCGTTCTACTGCCGACGCACTTTCGAACAAAGACGGCAACCAAGCATCCGTCGATCGTTCCTAACGCCAAGGCATGGGCCAACCGGCTGGCTTTGTATCGGCCGACTACGTAGATAAACAATGTCAGTCGAAAGTTCACGGCTCAAGCGCAATTCTAGCTTGCCATGACGCTGACCACAAAGGGCCTCGGGCCGGTATTATTGGATATTGGCGTACAGGCGTCATCGGTAAAATGCTACGTTGCCTATATCACATTATTAATCGCCGATCGACAGGACGTTTCAATGGTCCAAACCATGATGAGTGTGGGGTTGTTTAATGTGACCTTATTGTAAATCCGGCATCTAACCACAACGTCACCTATGACAGACCTTTGCCAAAACCGGTGCTTTCCTAGATAAAAAAGGTTCCGGTCGAGGCCTAAAGGTCATGGGATGGGGGCATTTCCATTCATTTGTCTCCCGTAGCCACTGGCTAGCTGCCAAACACGTAGTCAATGTGACGGCCGATCTGAAATCTACGATCTCGGTATCAATTTCTAACCCCCTCTGTCTCCAAGACATAAAACTCCGAATAACATAACAACTTCCGATAACTATAGTGTGTGGTATCTATATGTAGCTTACGTGTAAGGTACTCGAAGACTTCTCACTTGAAGCCAGAAGCACACATTCACCGTGACTCGATGGCGTGCACCGTGGCACGCCAAACATCAAGACTTCAACGTTCTCAACCTTGCAAAGTTTTGGTGTGGTGCTATAGGCCACACATCATGTTCTATTGAACTCGCTCCCTTTTCGAATGATCAAGAGGGTAGAAAGTCAGAGGCTTTGGTAGTTCTCGCAGGAAGCACCCTAATTGCAAGACATTGTCATTGGAAACCTTCTAAGATCGACGGCAACTGATCGTAGGCCTTCTTAATCAGGGGCATAACGTGCCAATTGACGCTTCTTGTACGCTTCTTTAGATCCTTTTCACGACATAAAGGTTACGGAAACCATAGCCAACCGATAAATACCCCCTTAAAAGTATCATCGGGTTTCGTGCCTTTGATGATTCAATGCCGGGACACCACTTCGTTGGATTCTCCACGAAGCCATCCGATTACATTTCGTGAAGAACCAATCTTCCATGTAGTAACCCTGAAATGCTGGACAAAGTCATGGGATCCAGACACAGAGACAGAGTCTAAGCAGAGACAAGGCGTTGATGAAATGTCGTGTCGCAGAACTCTACCTCCTTTGAAGTTTCTAGCCAACGTAATCCTCCATTACCGTCCCGAGATGTAAAGCGCTCAGAGACCGAAGAGAGATCAGACCAGGCGGACTGAACAGAGGTGGGATAGCAGACGCTTCCCTAACATCCGTTAGAATAGCCCCAGACCATGCCAGCCGGAGTTAAGAGTTCGTCAACGAGTTCGAGTCGGCAATCCGTGTCGAGGCAGTCGGCAATCATCGACAGAATTTGCAACCCGATCTCCTCTCTATCGACCGTTCGATTCTCGCTAGAAGTTGCAAGCTTCGGTAGCCCAATCTTCGGCTCATCGCAGGAGCTGAAATATCTCCGTCACGATAATCCCCCTTTATCAACCCAAAAGTTCCAATCAATCCAGAAATCCGGTAAAAGCTTCTCTCACGGGATACAAGCAAACTAAGAAGCCTTGCCTCCAGCTCTGACCTCGCTTCCCGAATGTCTCTCAATCGACTGTTGTGGCTGATAGCCTCTGCCGTCTTCGGGATGCCTCATTACCCTCATCCTCTAGACTCTCAAGCCGACGGACGCCACATTTCGCCAGCCATAGATTCTTCGTGTCTTCCAACCATGTGGCCGCCGTCGTACGAGCACGTGGCACCGACCCCTGAGGGGCTGAACGGTTTCCTTCCAGAACTTCTTCCGTGGAGAAGAAGAGATTGGTAGCTGGTGTACGAGAACATCTCGGGTGTTCTTGGCGTATATTTGCGAGAAGGAGGCTTGATCCCTCCTTGCTTCCCTCGCTGCATAATGTAGTTGTGGCTTGATGGGAAGTGGTCTGACGGATGATGCTTGGCTTGAGGCCTGGTCACACGTGTATGTTGTGTACGACGCTGAAGGACTTCATGTCTCAGGGCAAGGTAATGGGGCCTCGGGCAGAGGCGGGGCAATAGTATGGAAATCGACGATGGTCTCTGTTGAGCCGTTTTTGCTTTCCAACAAGGCTAATCATGTTTCTCCCACATCTCAAACTACTTCGGTCTCCCCGATTGGACCGACAGAAGAGTGTCTACTTCCTGTCTCGACTGATGGAAGATTATAGGTATCACAGCAAGGAGGGTGGGATACCGAAACTTTCCGTGCCACTTCGTGGTGAACGCACGACGATCTTCCGGCCGAGATGACGCTCGCGTACCTGGCACGTCGCTCAGCTGGAGCTTTGATGCCTTTCATGTCTGAAGTTTATTGACCTCGAGTGCTGTCGTCCTACGTTGCTCTGCCAAGGTGTCACTATCCCGGTGAACCGACGGGGGACACGGTTGAATTCCCGAACACGTCAGAAAGATCGTCAGGGGCAGGCAAGAGCTTTTTTTGGTCCAGCGTAACTGTTTCGAGATATGTCGATTTTGTATCTCGTGGTGTTCCCGGATATGTATGCTGCCAACGGCCTTGGCTGTTCTACGGGCAACGTTGTCACTGCGTGGTGGCCACACAGTAATATTCCTGATATCCCGCGGAGTTACAAACCTATTAAGATAGTATTCCTAGAAGTACGACAGTCAATAGACCGGGTGTATAGAATAGATCAGCATATCGATGCAATCGCCCTTCGTACCCGGACCCAAACCATGCAATCCATGTCGGACACAGAGATGTAGCTAGCCGCGGGAGAGATTAGGTCGACCCCAGGGCCCAGCTTCTCGTCACAGAGCACACGGCACGACGAGTCTACGACAACCCTTATTCTGCCGAATCGCGTATCCTTCCGATGGAAACGGGTCCCAGGAGGTCGGTCGAAATGCATTATGCAGGTCTGCCCGAGCTTTCTGCTCCGGGGGCCTGCCCCTTTGCCCTCCCCGGGTGTGCAAAAGTAGCTCCGAGTGCATGTCTCGGACGGGTAACGAGGCTAATATTTCCTTTTTTCAGTTGACGGCGGTGATATGCATCTGCACCATGCCGCGCGAGCGTCGTCGGCGGCAGGTAGGTGCCGGGTTGTCTTTGCGGGTGATGCTGAGACATTCCCTCGTGGGAAGAGTCCCACGAGAGCTGTGTGAGGGGCAGGGCGTTGATGCTCTGATGTTGACATGTTTGTAAATGAGTGGTGGCTTTTACGAAGATTTTGGAGCACTCGCTCACGGAGAAGAAGGTCATCAACTCAGGGGTAGGAGATGGAGCGCTTCGCCCACCTTGAACAGCGGCATAGACTGCCCATGAATGAAGACTCGACTTTCTCGTTCAACATCTAGTTTCTGGCTTTTCTTGCATTCACATGTTGACATACAGTCCTTACGCACTAGTCTAGCTACCTGCGAGGAGGAGAAAAAAACTAGCATGAAAAATACTAGTGCAGTGCAACACCACAAATCGTACTTGTGCTCACACACTTGACACTTCTCGTGGGGCCGCATAACAAGCCATGCGGTGTTGCGACAATGAAGCGGTTCCTGGATTCGTCGGGCAGCCTCCTCGAGAAAGTATGTGCCACTGGTGGCGCATCGAAGCCTTGGCTAGAGGTGTCTTTCTGAGGATCTTGTTGATGTATATTGTTGTCATGGATAGGAGTTGCCAGTGGATTAAGCTGAAGACGGGAAGGACATCTAGGTGGGCGAGGAAAGTAGTATAAAGAGAGGCTGGATTCTCGTGAGATGGTGATTAGAAGAAACCTCAGAGACATCACCTGGATCATTATCTCAAGCAACGGCTACATCTCAACACTTGCACTCTCATCATCTTCAGACACTCGCTCAAAAACGACAACACCAACTCCGAAGGACTCAACTTGAACAATACTCAAAGCAAAGTATCCCTCAGAACACATTACACAATACAAGATGGGCAAGCATACCTCTAAGCAATCTTCCTCAAAGTCCAAGAGTAAGAACATCAAGATCCCCAAACCTTGAACACTATAGCTAACCGAACCCCCACCAACCAGGCTCCGGCAGCAGGCCATCCAACGGGAATGGCTCCTCCTCGTCCAGCACCGTGCCGGTCGACCGCCCGTGGCAGGCCGCATCGCTCCACAGGAGCCAAACGACGGCAACAACCACGGGGAGCCCCGGCAGTTTGTTAGGAAGGTGGCTGACGGAGCCGGCTCACCAGGGGCCGTTCAACACGATCGCCGAGGTGCCGGCGGCCGGATCGGCGGCGGGGCATGTTGACGGACGTCAGGGATCCGGGGCCTCGGCGACGTGCGCTACGTCCCAGCAGCAGCAGCAGCAGCGCTGAATTATGATACTTCACAGTAGAGATTCTCATCCGGCTATGGAACTGACCGACATTCTTGTTGTTTGAAAAGTTTAGCTATAGGATCTAGGCTTCCTGTTTTCTCTTCTGTCGCTACATTCTTCACTTGAATAGACTTAGATGCACTTGCAATTAACATCTTCAGTTCTCTTACCCCACGCGTCATCGTGGAGATGAAGGGGTCCAGAATCCGTGCGCGAATTCTCAGAGGATACAGAGGGCTATGACTGGCTTGGTGTCATGGCTTGGCGATGAAGTTGGATTGTGGCTTGGTATCCGTAGAAGCTAGTTGTTCGGATCACAGGTCTGCACACTGCAAGGAACTCTGAGAGATTGAGGCCAAGGTGGCTGAGAATGGCGGCCATACCAAGCTCTGATTAGCGCCATCAGCCCCAACTAAGGTCATGCAGCAAGCTGCCATGAAGCCATCTGGGAGACTTCCTTGTGCTGTTCCGTCTGAATTATTCTGACATCGCCCCCAGCGACGAAGACATAGTTTCGAATCCGTTCCTAATTCTCATCTTCAGGACCCGCGAACGCAAAGTGCCAAGGGAATATCGTATTTACTTTTTTCGGTTTTTACCCTGCCCTTTTCTTGGCTGTTGGCCCTATTCGGCACTCGTTCCCTCGGACGCATCCGGACAAGCGTGCCGAGCCCAACGGCGCAGCTTGGCAAGGCCTCCCAAGGAGCCAAAGCACAGATGGAGACGTCATGCAAGTTGCACTTGCCGCTGCCCTCCCCGCAGGCGGCCAAGAGGTTTAGAAGCACTTGAGAAGTCTCTCGAGACTCGAGAGAGAGGTTGGCCAGAAAAACGCGGAATGTTGGGGGATTGGAGTTGAGGGTGTGTGATACTCGACGCGTGGGACTTATGGATTCGATAGTCTGAGGTTTGAGTATCAAGTCTGAATTTTGGCGAGATTGGAGAGTTGCAGCGGTAGTCTGAAGCTGACTGAGAGCCGAATTATTTTTGGGGGTGGGCGAGGAATTGTCCGGGGTTCAATTTCCCTATGCTCGCATCCAATGCTCGCTTGCTGAGGAAGCTGTGGAATACACGGATAACTTATGTAAGCGGGGATAAAGCGACAAGGTGAGGTTAGCAAGATACGTACTCGTGTCTGATGTTTCTTTACTCTCACTCTCATTCTCACTCTCACTCTCATTCTCACTCTCACTCTCACTCTGGCTCATCTGCCTCACTTCGTGCCTCTTTCACCTGACTCTCTTCAAGTCTCAACCTATCTGAATTGCTTTACTGGTCTAGGCTGGCCTGTATTCACCCTTCCCTGTCGGCGAGGGACAGCAAAAAGCATAAGCATAAAAGCAGAAATGAGACGGGCAGTCTACATGACGTCAAGCCCCCAAACCAGAAGGCCGCCATACTCAGTAAGCTTTGACCGAAATTAATTGGCAGCGGACGATGGGCACTGTTTTTGGTTTCATACGTGTTCGCGGTGCTTGAACTGCATGTTTCCCCAGGTTCACCCCCAAAGCAAGCTCAAACTAGAGTAGCGCGACCATCGAGTCTAAAGAGGAGGAAGGGAAATCCTTCGAGGTAACAGATCTCTAAGGTGCACCAACCGCCTACCTATGTTTTGCGTCGAGATCGCTTCGCTTCGTCTTCACCATTGTCGGCCCCTTCTCCACGTGGATACGCCTCAGTCGAGAGGGTCGAGAGTCCACCCCTTTTGCGCCTCAGTTTCAGTAATTTTTGAGTGCTCCGGCAGGGAGGACGGCACGACGGCTAGAAGGACGATACTGTACGGATAATTGTGTGCGGTAGTTGGACGGTGGAGAAGGGGCTTCAAGGGGCGATTTTTTGTTTATTTGCAAGGGGCAGCAAGGGAAAGGAGACGGAGACAACTGGAACACTGCGACGAGAATGTCACTGAATGATTGACTGAGAAGTGTTTGCAGCACGCGCTGATCGCTGGACGCAGGGCCGCTGAGACAGAGAAACGAGTGTTTGGGTCCCAGAAGATCCTCTCTCTCGAGTCTCCAAGGTCTCCTTCTCATGCTCTGGCGTCAATCAGTCTCTGACTTCCGCTCCCGCTTTCTGCAGAGTTCCCAATTCATTTGTTCTCGACCAGTCCACTTCGTCCCTGACGAGCGTTCCTCCACAAAATTCCTGCAGAAAGATTGGAAAAGCGAATGACCGGATGGGCATAGCGCGCCGCTCCTCACGCGTAACCCAGCCACCCCCTGCACCACTTGACTCTTTCCGTCTGTTGTCTCGAGTAAGAGACGGAGGGGAAACCCCAAAACGGAGGCTCCAGCTAAACGCCATAACGGTTGAGAGCGTGAGAGCTAAGTATGAGCTGGAGGTTGGCGCACCTTTTCAGCTTCTGTTATTGACGCCTCGTGCAACACGCGCGACACCTTTGTGACCGGGGCCTTTGTTCCCTTCCTAGACACCTAGATTGTGTTGACCAAGGTATTGTCCGCCTCTTTGCAACCACAAAGAAGACTGAGGTGGCAGGGAAGACAGTTGACAGGACAGCAAGCCATGAGAACGCCCTGTGCTGCAGAGGTGCTGCGATGGTGTCTCCGATAGCCAAGCCCTTCTGTTTTACGGATGGCTGGCTTTGCCGTAGAATGTGCCCAGCTTGCTCGGCCGGCCCGGGTAGCTCAGCTTTTTTAGCTGGCGCTGCACAGCCTGGTTTGTGCTCTTCCATCATCGATATTAGGTGCCAAGGGGCCAATCGGTCAGAGACATACGCGGCAAGGTCAGTGAGTTGATGAGCATCACCGACTCCCGTGTTGCATGCATCAGGCTGCAGGAAGTGTCAGCAACACGATCTACTCCGTACGTGAGAGTGAGAATAATGATGAGAGTACGATAGAGCCCGAAGACCGCTGACAACAACAAGTTCAATAGAAGAAAAAGCCAGCATCCAAGGTGTGACCGAGCCTTCCGAGCCACAGCGGGACGACTCCCCATGGAGATTCCACCATTCAGGCTCCCATGGATACGGTACGGATACTCCGTACAGAATACGGAGGGCTGTCAACCCAGTAGAGGAGGGGAGCCACAACCCAAACCTGAAGATGCAGCAACCCTTGTCCCGCCCTCGATCAGGGACCGGACTGCTTTTCGCAGCTCGCTGGAGGGGAAACGCTGGTCAAGCTGGAACCCCGGACCCAGTTTCTGACCCAGCCAGTGGCCACCGTTCCGTCGAGTTGACGAGGAAGCCCGTCGTTCCCGCAGCGCTTCCCTTGCTTTCAGCGTAGCAAGGCCCCGGTGATCGTTAGTGTTTCCCCTCTTGGGCCCCTCGACAGTGTGTGTTGTTACTGTGGTTGGAGCCAAGTTTTGTGTTGTCCATTGAGTGTTGTGCTGCGCTGAGATGTAGAAGTGGTGGAGCCGTGGATAATGGGATGGATGGAGGATGGGGGGGATGCAGGTGCTGTTTAGCCGTTTGCTGGGGCTGGCGCTTCTGCATCGGCAGGTCAGGACATGCCGGGAAAGGTACTTGTGTTCCCATACTGAAAGTGGTGGCAGCAGAGGTACTGCCCCTGGGTCGTACCATCCCATCGATCCATCGCCCGTCCTTGGCCGGGTGTCTTACCGCGCATTTCTTGCTTTTTCGCCCTGTCGATTTCTCCCAATTGCCCATTGCCCATGGCCCATCGGCTCTGCCATCCAAATTCAGTCCCGTCATCAATTCTCCGTTTCCCTCATCTTGTCTCCTTCTCACCACCTTTCCTCCCTTCCGAAGCGCTTCCTTTTCCTGTCCGTCACCTTCACTTTCGCCAAACCACCGACACATTTCAATAAACCACGACCAACCCGGCCCCAGTCTCCTTCTCCTCTCCTCTTCCCTTCTCTCGTCCATCTCTCCACACATTCGCTTCGTCACCATCCAAAGGGGGATCCTCGAACCCATCCGCCGTGCCGACCAACATCGTCAAGCTTCACAGACTCGAAATCCGCTTACCGATTATCGTCACTCGCTTGCACCATCTCGCCCCTGGCCGACCGACGTACAAACGACGAAGGATTCAAACCAAAGTCCACTGAAACGTTGCTTTCAGGACCCGTCCTACGTATACGAGAATCTCGCTTCCTCCAAATACATACGCCCCATCCTCCGAAGCCCGAGGCGACCGAACGCTGGTGACAAACACCCGCACTTGCTAGAATCCACGCCTCCCTCGACGTGACGAACCGAACCTCGAAATCATCAGAACGGCCCGCATACCCACGGAATCTCTTCCGGAAATTTTCAGACTTGGCTTTCCTGCATCCAAACGAACATTACGACGCTTTGAAGCAATCTGTGCGGCAGAACCTGGGACGGCAGCTGGACCTGGCTCAACCTCGACCGACTTGGGACGAAAACCGCACGCTGACGTGCATATCCGCCAACGGCATTGTTCACTACCTGGATTTCTCGCTGCAACCAAATTAAATCATCGAATTCACCGCTGCCAACGGTGCATCGCATTCCTCTCTCGCCGCCAATCTTCTGGGCTTGACTCGCTGGATTGTGGCTCAATTTCGCATTCGTGCCACCCGACGTGTCTTGGACCACCGCCATAAGGAGGAAATACCACCATCGATTGCTTCCAACGTCTCCGCATTCCAACGACTTGTTTTGGCCGCAACGGCTGACAGGTTACTTACTTCCCTCCGAAATCCTTCTCCTTTTTCCATCTTCAACGCTCCATCTCTTCCCTTTCCCTCCAACAACTCGCCAACACCGTCAAGATGTGTAAGTGACAATTCACCAATCCACAACAATGGCCCACTGACTAAACATGATGCAGCTGGCCTTTCAACAACGATTATGCCCTTTGCGCAGTTGCCCGCGTGCGCTGTGAACTGCGGCCCCCTCTACGACGCCAACGGCGCCTGCGTTCCTCCTGCCGTTGCGGCAGCTGACGCCAACACCTACGACAGGTGTTTCTGTAGTCAAGGCGCTCTACAAGCCTTCTCAACAGCCGCCGGCGGTGTCTGCCCTGCTGCTGGTTGCGACGACGCTGGCTTCAGCAGTATCCAGGGATGGTACACCTCATTCTGCAATTCCGTAACTGGCGGCGCTGCCACTGCATCTTCGTCATCGGCAGGATCGACATCAACAAGCGGAGCTTCAAAAGGATCCAACAGTGGAAATGGAGGCGATTGGTGAGACTATTCCAGAGCCCTGTATACCGAACCATCGCTAACCAAATAACCAGGCTTTCTAACCACTGGAGATGGGTCGTCATGCTTGTAATCCTCGTTGTCGCCATCGCTGGCATCTGGGTTGGCGCCTGCATCTGGCGCCGACGCTACCTCCGCCGCAAGGACCGCATGTACGAACTTGGCAAGCACGCACATAAGGGACCCAGCGGTATCATTGCCGGTTCCGGTGTCAATGTCAACCAAGCTGGTATCGTCAACTCCCCCGGCCAGTTCATGCCCGGCCCGCCGCCGGCCGTATACGATGAGAAGCCCCCCAAGGAGAAGAAGAAGTGGGTTGTCAACGAGCGGACATAGAAGTGCGTCTTCAGTAGACATGTGCTGCATCACTCTTCATCTCTATCTCTCAACGGCTTAACGAGACGGCGTTCACATTATCTTTACGGCATCGGTGTTTGGACATTCACACATACTTATTATTCCTAGGCAATACTTTTTTTGCTTTTCCTTTGGTCATCGATTAGGCGTACGGCTGGAAACAATGGAGGACTTTGTCGTTGGACACAATCAGCATTGGTGGTCCTGATACTTGACAGTGACACCTCACAATCAAAAGGGCGGGTTTGAAGGGGAGCGAAACAGGCCGATGGCAGGAGACCCCCGGCCTCGTAACTGCGTAACAGAAGCGGCCTGTTTCCTTGGGAGGACGTCTTTTGAAGACGAGCCTCGGAAAGCGGGAGGACTGGCATGGTCAGCTTAGCATCATCCAAAACCAAATGGTAATTTCTTATACCTGTTCACACAACCACAGCCACTGGAACGCTTTACAAGTGAGGGCACCAATGTTTTGTTTTGCAACTGTAACTGGTAACTGACTCGATGCCGATAACTCGTGTTTTTTGCATAATTTTTCGATCCCTTGCCAGAGGGTGTTATCCATATTCACGAGGCTTGTCTGAGCGGGACGATCAGACAGGTCTGCCATGTGGGCGCAGAGGTCCTGGCACCTGCAGGATGTTTCGCAGGTGTTACTGTGGATTTTCCAACAAGCATCCTTTGTGATTGCCAGAGTGGTCCATCATATGTTGGAGTTTATGTGTGTGATGCTGAGATGTCGACCGTCAAACTTTGAACCTTGCTGTGCATCGGCTCCATATTTTTGTCCAAGTCCTGATATCCAACTCACGTGTTCATCCAATGCTACTCAGCCGTTCGATAAGGTAGGTAGGTAGGTAGAGAAGGTCAGGTAAGATGCAGTTTGCTGCGAAATGGACTCCGCTAGGAACGGCAGCCTGGAGGGACGACCTATCATGAGAACCCTCTGGAGCAGCAATATGCATACATTGTAGATTCATTTATATCTTACCAGGTTGAAATCAGCCACCTCTTCATTAGAAAGATTGTCAGCTGAGGTTCTGGAAGAGCCTTTTTGGCTGCAGCGTTTCCTCAAATGCACGTCAACGTGGGAGGGGGCTCTTCCAACCACACGAGTGTATGCATCCCAACCTCACTCGGGATGTACAACTTTATACGATCATGTGTCTATTCCTGATAAGCGTTCGAGCCTCATGCATGGTTTGCGGATGAACGCCTTGGGAAGCGACAATTTTGACAGAAGAACTTTTGGGGATACAGTAGATCTTACTCGAGCCTTTCTCCCTCACCCATCAACCCAAGGCAGCATAGTATCTGCATCGCCGACTTCTACCCCAGGGGCTCTTTCATCACCATCCTTCCAAGCCATGGCCAAGACCTGGTCTTTGCAACAACATGAGTAACCCCAACCTAACTACAGTTGAGCCTCACCTGCCTCTGTCGAGGAAAGAGATATGAGCGCCGATTCAACGGCTACCGGCACCGCAAGCTAACACTAGAGCAACGCTGCATCATGTTCCACACGTGTCAATAGGCTGACATAAGGTACATCAAACTCGATGCAGCAAGTCCATCTGACCGCGCATCACAAAAGTTCAATCGGCTCCGATTATCAAATAATCCCCGACCGACGGGACTTCCCCAAGCTCTCAGCTCCCAGCTAGCAGCGCACAGACACCTGCCTCCATCAACATGTCTTGAAATACAAGATATATACATAATCTCAAGCATTTGGACTCCCCCCTCTGCTTTTACATATTAACCTGCCTCTATCAACATGGTTCCAACAATCCTCATCGCACACTCTCATCACAACCATGGCCGAAGAACCAAACTTCGCAAGCCCAACTCCCACTGAGAGCTTGCCAGCCCACCGCCTCCCCACAGACAAAGACACAAACTCCCCCTTCTGGACCGCGAAGCTTCCCCCTCTCGAAGAACACACAAAGAAGCTCTTTATAGAATACGCCAAGATCCCAGAGGATAAACTCCAGGAGCATCTCGAAGAAGCCGTAAGCGCTTTTCCATTCACCCACTTTATTCACCTCTACACCCCCCAAAGTATCCTCGCCATAGCACTACTACTGACGCATGAAATTCTGCCTCCAGCGCAAAAAAGCATGGAACGACTGTCCCTACCCATGCATAGGCCTCTGGCTCTTCCTCAAGCTCCAACTCAGAAACAACAAGGAATTCGACGAGGCCGTACAGCGTACACAACAAGGCGAGAAGTTGCTCGACTTTGGATGTGCCATTGGCCAGGATCTACGTAGTCTGGTACGTCTATCCTCTCTCCCCTTCCGCTTCTCTTCCTTTCGCCTTTCCTTTCCTCCCTCTCTCCTGCTTTCCCCTCTACTCATCCTCAGCAAAATCCTCCCCCTCGCCATGAATTAAACATGAAATTGAGTCTCCCACCTACTCCATACAACCAACTTACACACACCACCCAGGCCCACGCAGGTTCACCCCCAACCTCCCTCCACGGAACAGACCTAGTCCCCTCCTTCTTCTCCGCCGGCCACTCCCTCTTCAACGACCCTTCCACCCCAATAACATTCCTCCAAGCAAACGCCCTCTCCTCCCCTCCACCCCTGCCCGAATGGCACGGCCAATTCTCCATCATCACCGCAAACTACGTCCAGCACTGCTTCGGCATAGAAGACCAAGAGAAATTTGCCACTCTACTCCTGACCCTGCTATCAGGCAAACCAAACGATCTAATCTTTGGCCGCACGGCGGGGACGACAGAGGGCGAGGCGAGGAGAGAGGAGATGCATAAAGGCCAGAGGCTGTATCGGCACACGGAGAGGAGCTTTGTCGAGTTTTGGACGAGGATGGCGGATGCTAGGGGGAGGAGGATGAGTGTTGAGACGTGGGTTGATGAGGTTCCTGCTTTCGAGCTTAAGGGGGAGGGAATGGAGAGATTTGAACCTGTGAAGAATCTCATGTATTCGATTCGATTTGAGTGAGGTGTGGTTACTTGGGTGTTCGAGAGCGTAAAGGAAGAGCCAATTGCTGCCCATGCACTGGAACAACGTGGCATCTTCAGGTGTGATGAAAACGATGAGCAAGAAAGCCAGGTGAAACCATGCTAGGTTATTAATGCAGTCTATCTATATACCATTAAACGTGCGTCGTGTTCGGATCCAAAAGTCAACAATGTTCAAACTGCTTTTGATCGGGCCCAGGGTGTCTTCTCTGCATCATCTGCGTGGAAACTCTCAAAGCGCCTAACTAATTTGAATACGGTCCCCAGTAGGAGTTATTAGTTTTCGCAACGTCGAATCATTTACTTGGTCCTTACAGGTAAGGCGATCTTGGCTTTGTCGCTTTGCTCCTCAGCCGCATCCATGTACAAGTCAATCAGACAACCGGCAGACCATGCCTGGGTGGGACACTATAATGTGTTAGCAATCGATTCGCCGTCTACGATAGAAGACAACTTACAGAGTCGGGGCAGTCTTCGCCATCCTTTTGCGTGAGTTCAGCGAGGCCGGCCCAAACGCTTTCCTTAATCATTTGCTTGCAGCCCATAAGTCTCCGCGTGACTTGCTGGAAGGCTTCGATGCGTCCAGCCTGGTCACCTCTTCTGGCGAGGTCGAACTTGAGTAGAGCACGAAGGAAGAAACCAGTGGGCCAGAGCCATTCCGGGCCCTGGTGGTAGTTTCGTCCCTTGCTAGTGGCGAAGTCCTCACTGTCTTCGCTATTGCGGTAGTAGGGCCTGTAGTTGAGATCGGCAGGGTCGAGAGTTGCCATGCCTGTAGGTCCACGAATGGCTTTGTCGGCAACCAAGAGGGCGTGCAGCGCATGCGCAGGATCGAAGAGCTCGGGTGCCGCGCACATGGCGATGGGGAAGTTGGCACGCAGTTGGTAGTCTTCGTACTCCTTGCCGGACTTGTACAAGTCCTTGTAGATACCGCGGCGATTGATAACCTGGGCGTTGACATCGTACTTGGCGTCTTCCTCGGCAGAAAGGGGAACCCAGTAGCATCGCTCAAAGTTTTCGCGGATCAGGTTGGCCCACTCCCTAAGAGAAATGGTCGACTCGTCTGCCTTCTTCACGGACGAATACTGGTACTTGCCTTGCTGGTTGAGCGATGCCACCCACTTCAGAGTGCTGTATAGAAGACCAGTGATCTCAATGGCGGCCCCATCACGGGGTGTACCGGGAACACCCTTGGATCCAGCCTTTTCGCTCTCGCCCATCTTGTCCATCCATGTACCGCAGTTGTTCTGATTACCACCAAAGATGATACCAGTGTCCCAATCAGTCTTGATGGAAATGTTAAAGCCATTATCACTCATCTGCGAGTCGATCGAGGGACCGGCATTGGCCTCGCGGAAGGACATGCCAGATGCGTGCCTCTGCAGTGCTTCCTGGATGATATCCTCGATGGTGCTCTCCTGGGAATAGGTGCGGGAGTCATCGACATCGAACCAGGTGTCGTCGTAAGGCAGGAAGCGTCTCTTGACCTTCTCCTGGAGCAAGTCCAGTCCGTTGGGCGCGAACTTGGTGTAATCTTGGATACATTGGAGGAAGAACCAGATGGAGTCGCGAGAGTTGTAACGCGGCAAAGCTCCACTGCTGAGCAGGTTGGGAATCATGCCGTGCTTGAGTACACTGGCAAAGGCAAGGATGTGCTCCTTTGCCTCGTCGAAACGGCCAGTGCCGAGGTAGAGACCACGAAGTGAGATGAAGACATCACGTCCCCAGCATCTCGCCCATTCAACAGCGAAGTGAGGCAGACCAGCAGCCAAAGACGGAACCAGCTTCTTGGGCCACAAAGAGCCAGATTTGACCAGGCCAGTCTCTTGCACGCTAACCATGGCGAGACTCTGGAGGAACCACTGTCCTTCGCGGACGTTCTCGTTCATCAGTTCAAGACCGCGCTCCCATGAAGCAGAGTACAAGGTGCGCAAAACGAGGCTGAAGTATCTCGGCAGCAAGAAGCTCGGAATCTTGCGAATGGCATCGAACCGCTCCTTCAGCCAAACCGCGGGCTTCTCGAGGTTCTCGAAGTCGGGCGTCTTGCTGATGCGCTCCAGGCGTCCGACAATGTAATCCAGGGCCCACTGGCCGTCCCGCAGATTCTGGCACAGAGGATGAGCAAGGTTGTTGTCTCGGATAATATCCTTGAGAAGACTCCACCATCCCTGAAGACCAGCATAAACGAGCTTGCCGTAGCCGGGAATCTCGTAGCACCCATCGTTGCCACCGCTTCCATCACGTTCCTCGGCCTCACACCGGTAGAGCAGGAAGTTGAGGTCCACCAGGTTCAGGTTCTCAACGGCAGACCTAGCACCCGAAGTGACGTAGTTGTCGAGACCCGATGAGTGCTCAGCTGCTGGGATCCACGTCTCGAAAAGAGCAATGCTACCAGGAGGGAACTTGTCGCGCACGGTAATGATGGTATCGTCGCCCTTGACCTCCATACGAACGCCGGGGACATCCACGACGCGGCTAGGCAGGCCACGCAGAAGCTTCTTGTCGTCCAAGGCCTCCTTGCGAGCCTCATCGCTTGCATCTACCTCGAGCATCCAGCTGCCGAGATGACGGGCTTTGGTCCCTCCGAGGTGTACCGCGTTGAAGGCGCCGTTGCCGTTGCCGTAGCCAGGGAAAGCAGTATGGGCAATTAGGAAGTATCCCTTTCTTGACTCGGGGTGGACTCTGTGCACGGTGATGTACTGATCCTCGTGGTGGATGTGAGTTTCGTCGTATCCGTCCTTGCCCATGAGGGTATGGATCTGGTTCAAGAGCTTCTTGATGCCACCGATGCCGTTTCCGCCACCGCCAATCTTAACAGGCTTGGAAGATGACTCGGATGTGTACAGTCTAGTCTCGTTGACGAGGTCAACGAGCTTGGGGTAGATCTCATCATAACCCATGACACTGCCAGTTGCACTGGCGCACATGTTGACAAGAGCAGCGTTCGGGAGGGTGTCGCGAGCATCACGCTTCTGAGCCGGGGTCTCGTTGTCGTGAGTGCAGTCCATGAAAAGGGCCTGAACTGGCACAGGCTTGATTCTCCGGATAATCTCTCGCGAGGACGGGCTGCTCCCGTTGAGCATGTCGCTGCCTTCGTTGGCCGGGCTCATGGGGCTCATAGGAGACTTGGGGTCTGCCTTTGAAATCTCGTCAACCTCGAAGCTTCCAATGGGACGGCCACCGTGCTTATGAACCAGGCGACTGAGCTCTCCAGTGCTCCACGCTTGCATGGCCTCGCGGATCAAAGCACTCAGACCAAGCCTCTTCACGAAGACATAGTCCATCTCCTCGGAGCCAGAGAACAACTCTGCCACGACGTACAAATCCGGTCGGACTCGGCGTGCCTCGTCGAGAATGTGCTCGGCGACATGGATTGGCGTAGAGTGGCAGTTGTCAATGCGGAAACCAGCAAAGTACTTGGCGAGCATACGGGCGTACTTGGTCATGAACTCCCACAGGAAAGGACTGTCTGAGGGGCCCTTGCCGTAGCGGAGCTTGACACAATCGCCCCAGACAATGACCTCGCGCCTCAGGTACACGCGAGAATCCGGGCCGGCGTTGTCAACCAAGGCGTTGCCACCCCAGACCCAGCCGTTGTTGACCAAAAGATTCTCTTCGGGCTTGTTCTTGGCCGTTGTGTCGTTCTTTGGCAGGCGGGTGAAGTAGGTCTCAATGAGAGGGAACTCCTTGTTGATGGGGCCCATGCGCGGGCCATGCTCATCAAGTCGGCAGTACTTGATACGGTTGAAGAGCTGCTCCAGGATCTCGCTGAGTTCGTTATCGTACTCCTTGTAGAACGGGAGATTGATCTCATCGAGAATCGAAACCAGCTTTGACTTTGCTGCCGCCTTTGTCGGGCCGCTGCCCTCCTCACCCTCGTAGCGTCCAAAAATGGTGGAGAGAAGTCCGGACGCCACCTTGGGGTCAACTTTCCTTCTGAACCTTTCGCCCATGCGGTCGCCACCCTGGAGGCCGTTCTTGATGAGAAATTCAGCCTGGTCTTTGAGAGAGGCATCTCTCAGTCCGGTCACATTCGCATCGCCAGTGGTATCTTGCGGCAGCGTGGTGCTGCCGGCAATCCAAGCTTCTAGGCCAGCCTCAACGTCGCGCTCGACGTCAATGGCGTAGTATTCCCACAGGCGAATCTCAGAGATTACTTGCTTCTTGATGGCGTCCATAATCTTGATGAGGTCATCGTTGCTCTTCACCTCGGTGGGGAGTCCAAGCTTCTCAAGGTTATCGCTAAGCTCCAACAGCTTCGAATCCAGCAGCCACGCCGACTCGAGCCAAGGTGCTGTAACCAGGTTGTATCCAGCATCTGGGTGGTCTTGCAGCCATGCGGTGTTGTGTGCCGTGTGATTAAGGACAATGTCGGTCAAACTGAGGAGGGAATACTGTTTTTCTAAGCTCTCCACCAGGCCCTTGATGTCTTTCTCGCCGGCTGGGAAGCATTCGGGGTCCCAGCCCAATTGATCGTACAAGCTGTAGGGGGAATTGGAAGCACCGCGAACCTGCAACGGGGTGAAATGAATCATGTTGTAACCGCGATCGCTAATGCCACGGAGATGCTTTTCCCAGTCGCCTGGGTATTTGCCCATAAACTTGCTAATGACTGAAAAGATGGACAGAGCGGGCAATGGCAGCGGGCGGCCATCGAGACTGAGACGCGGGGCGACATCGATGTAGTAGAGGGGCGTCTTTTTGTTGGTGGCGCCGGTCTGAGGAGTCGAGTCGAGCTCCTCTGCGAGCTCTGGAAGCTCGGCGTAGGTGGTGTAGAAGGCATAGGCGCCGGCCTGGAAGATGGGAACGGAGATTTCAATTGTGCGATTGAAGTCGGGTTTCAGTCTAGAAAGCGCGTAAGTCGCGAGCTACATACACAAATACAAGCAAGAAACTGGGCAATGGCAATTGCAAGCAGCGGGAGCAGCAGAGGAAGCTTACTTGAACTCGCGAAACTGATCTCGGTGGAACTCGGCGCCCTGCTCTGGAATGTTGACCCACAGACTGCCATGGCGACAGACGGACGAGGTACCCTCGATGGCAAAGCGAATGGTTACAGGATCGTTTGTCTTTGGGGCGAGATAGATGTATTCGCCGGCGACCTGAGGCGAGCCATCGTCGTTGAGGGGGAGGAGGTATACTTCGTTGGATACCATGGTTTTCGGGACCATTTGCGTAGGTTGTAGGAGGCAGCTTTCGTGCCCCGCGGACAGATCGGCGACCTGGGTATCAATGAGGGCGAGGACGAGGACCGTAGGACGGGGACTGGGGACGACGGGCAGCAAGCTGTGGCCGTGGACCGTGAACCTTGGGCGTGGATGGGGCCTGTAGACAACCTGGACGTGGGAGAGAGCGCGCACTGGCTTATGCGGAGACGATTCCGGCCAGGAAAAGAATGGGCCGGTTGCTGGGGTCGAGCGAGGGTGAAGATGCAGCTGGATGGAGCGAGTGGCAATTGCAGGTGCAATTGATCGAGAGGCGACAAAGACGGAGGAGTGACGACTCGACGGATGGATGGACAAGCCGTAGGCCTCGGGGATTAACAGACTGCTAGAGGAGGTGTGATAGATGAAGGTGGTAGGAAGAGAAGAAGTTGGGAGAGTGTGTGGGAGAGAAGGAGGAGGAAAAGAAGAAAAGAAAAAAAAACACGGCCGAGGACGGTGACGATATGACGGACTGAGCCAGAAAGAGAAACAACACCATCAGCTTAGCGCAGGTACCTGGCCTCACCTTCCCAACATCTCCCAGTCCGGCTGGTCCATCTGAAGCACCTTAATTACATAGTACCAAACCACGGCAGGTAAGATCAGGAAGGGCAAGGTATGGCGGGGTTTCGCCGTGCTCTCTCTTCTCTGCCTTATTTTCTTTCCTGAGCTATTCGTACCTGAGTACAGCAAAGCTTACCTAGGAAATTCGAGGAGCTCAGAAAAGCAGCAAAAGACTCGACGGGAAACCAGGCCAATCCAAGGCACGGAAAGCAAAACATGGTGCCGGGGGGTTGCGGAAGCTCTCGTCAGAATGCGAGGAACCGCTGCTGGGTTTCCATGTACTCCATGTTAGTGCTGAGGTCTTTGCCAGGCCATCTTGCTTCCTTCTCCTACATGTCACCAACACAGCTGCCTCACCTCACCTCGAGTTAGGTACTTCCAGTGTCAAGCCATGCTTGCAATTGAGGTACTTTTACCAACCTTGCCAACCCAGCTCCAGGTTGGCTGCAAGAGCTTCCATTGTCAGTCACTCGGGCAGCTAAAGGAACGAGAGAAAAAAGTCTCCAGTGAACAGAGACTCGATAGACAGGCGGGGGGCGGGGCAACCAAGTAACTCCCCACCAGCAGCATGCGGAGAAGATACATGCTCTCCGTATTATTGCCCGCAGCAAACCCGCAAATGTCAAAGCTGCCAAAAAATCAAAATTGACGGGCACGGCAAACATGGGAATGTTTGGCAGCGCCCGAACCGGATAGCTTCGGCGGGGACAGCACAGAGGCTCGCACGCTTGGTGGGGTTTCCCATGCTGCCCTAGACGCCCTAGCGGAGTTTGGTCTTAGCGCTGCGCCGGTCGTGGGCCGCCATCGCGATCTTTGAGATTCCAGACCAATGTCGACACTGGGAATTCCCACTCTTTGGGTGCTTCTCGGATCGCGATGCAGAGAGACTGGTGTAAACTGGCCAGTGAAAAGCCAGCCAGTGTGCCATTGTGCCAGTGCGGCGAAGGTTCCATATCGCGCAAACTTGAGCGGTAACCGGGGGGTTAATGTCGCATGCCGGGGATGGAGACTCGGACTGAGACTGGGAGAGCATGGCAGGCCGCAGCAAAGATGAAAGACCAGGCCAGGCCAGACCGGGATTATAGAGATGTCCCTATCTTGGGAGTATCATCGTCGTGTCCCAACGGTTTGTAATGCCAAAGTTGGTCTTGTCGAGATGCCGTCTCAGATCTTCGTAGAATACTGAAGATGTTCTCTGCACGGCCTGCCGGTCGTGACCTCCACTTGATTTGGCTCGATGAATTGGGCTGCCATTGAGGCTTGCTCGTATTAGGGTACCGGGAATCCTTTGGGCGCCCATGATCTGACTCGACAGCTGTGCGATTCTCGGCGCATGCTGCGGTCCACGTCGATATGCACCAACTAAGGTAGGCCCTAGTATGATCTGATGCGTCTGCCATGCCATATCTCGTTGAAGACCTTCTTCTTTTTCCTTCTTGATGTCTTTTCTTTCCTCGCACTTGTTGCAGGCTGGAGCAGAGAAGAGGTGAGAGACTGGATGAAACGAGAAAAAAAGGATGAAGAAAAAAAAAAGGCTAGAATCAGAAAGAGCTCCATCCCAGCACCGAACAGAAAGTGACGTCATCAGCTGTCCTCCCGCATCAGCTCTAGCGGCTCGCCTTGCTGCACAGACGCGGTTTCATGCCCCTCCTTCCTCTCTCTTTCCCTGGCACCTTCCAGGTTGCCTTGGGTGGCTCCTTGCTCTTTCCGGAAAGATAGCTCCAGCTCAGCTTCCAACGCACAATCCACGGCAACCACCAGTCCACCACCCCTCGCTGGTTCCTTCCTCCTCTCGTCCTCCTGAGGTGTCAGCAGCCTGTTGCACCTTCCCATTTCTTGGTTTGCCCGGGCTGCTCTCAGTGATCAGCAACCAGCAGTCCTCGTACCTGCCTCGTGCCTCGTGTACCTTGGTCCAATTGACTTTCCGTGCCTGAATATCACCCGGCGCAACGCTGACATGGAATTCATCATTTCCCATTCTTCACCTCTCGCAAACTACACCTCCATATACGCCAAAGAGTACTTCTTACTTGATTCCTCCTTTTTCCGAGTTTCTTACCCGACTGGTCCACACATTTTCACTCTTCTTAAATGCTACGGGGCCGACACCGCTTTTTTGCTCCCATGTCTGCTCTTCCCGCCATGACGTACCTCATGCAAGACGCACTTAGTGTTCATCTCTTATATGAGTCTAGCCCTTCCGCCCCCTGTAAGCAAAGATAGTCTCACCGTGTTGTCGCGACTAGTTGCAACTTGCGCGAGATAGCCAGGGTGGCTCAACCGGGCTCGTCCACAAGGTGGCTGGACAATATCAACGGTGTTCCTCGATGCCGTCTGCGATGGAATGAACTGGAGCTATCGTCGGCTCGAATCGTGCTGGTCTCGGTATTCAATGTAGACGAGTTCAAGCGCGGACATGTCATATCGAAAACCTCGTCTTCATCTGCATAGACCTTCGACTTGACGATATCGTGAGTGGCACATCGTGAGAGAAGGATTCTAGAGCTACCAGTTTGGAGGAAGATGCTCGCCCATATGGCAAACGGTCTTGGCGTACCTAAGTAGACAGATGTCATCTCGGGCCATCAGCGTTCCTCTTGACGGCTGAAGCAGCCTTTATCTAGGGCAGAGTGCTACGTAACGGAGTCTTTCTTTGTATTGGCACGCAATTTGCAAGCATCATGTGTGATCTATATCCTCGTAGGCTGAGAGGAAGCACTTGTTGAGCAGGAGTACAGAATATGCTAAGAACTGTGATGTATTATCTGTTCATAAGTCGGCGGCTCAAGAAACCTTCGAACCTCATCAAGAGTGTCACCAGATGGGATAACATGTTCTCACCTTCGACATCCCAAGGGCTGGTGAGCTATGGTCAACTTCAATGTAGTCTCTTGAAAACCCCATGAAATACAGGATCTCTCTGAAATCTGGTGGATGCGTGGAATCAAACGTTTCTATCCAGATAATCATGGTCCTCGCATGAAATCTTATTTTTTTGATGTTGCGAGTTCGTTCCGACGAGATATTCGCTCAATGCATTGGCATGAATAGAAGAAGGAGTATGCGCCCAACGAGGCCAAGGCAGCGCCCTTCATCACTCCGCCATTTTCACTCTCGAACAAAACGGGGACTAGGTGCCTGAAGAAATCTCACATCACGAACCGAATCGTAGTCGACAAAAGGGTTCAAGGGAAGTAGGCCTCTTCGGGTGTTCGGCAGACGTCATCTACATAGTGTGATAGACGACACGATCGACAGAGCTCTGAAGACTACACGCATCCCTTGATCCGTCACCAATCAAGTCATTGAGCGATGTCAATGGTAGGCTTGCTCCTTACGATACCTCATAGATGGAGACTATGTAAGAGTACAACCGCAAAGTATTTAGATAGCAGCAAGTTGCCATCATGCCGGAAACGACTTTATCCCATGAAGGATGTAGCCCTCAGCGATCTACCCCCAGGTCAATGCTATGTAGCCAGAAACACGGGATCATGTGGTTATGATTCCTCTCGGGGTCAAGTCCATTGTCGCCAAGGGCAAACTTGGGGCACGACCATCCTTTCACGGCACTAAGAAGCATATGTCAAATGCCTTGGTACTGGGCTTTCAAAGAAGCTCCAATAGGCTGCTTATAAGGTCTAGTAGGTTGATTTCGACTATGTGCATTTTACCCTGATCATGCATGATGGGCAATCCTAGCGCGCTTTACTTTGGCCTTCTTTCCCTTAGACCTGACTCGGGCCTAGAATCTTTGGGCTGGAGGGACGCTTCCAGGATATTCGATTTGGTGGAAAATCATCATTTCCAAGTGTGATGCTTCTTGAACTTGATCATACTTGACACGGCGTAAATCGAGGCTAGATCTACTCAACTCCAGACACGGAGACTACTCGATGGCTACTCCAGCGCCATCAGATACGTTGCTCTGCACGTAGAAGAAGCCCCTCTAAGTATCCTCGTTGTGCGGACCACAATCCCGATCGAAAGTTATCATGACATTCTCAATTGTTCCTCGAGCTTACTGGGCAGGTTTCAGTCAACCAACCCAAAGCCCGGCCATACCATGTGGCATCAGCTTTGAGCGCCCGTTGGACTAGCCTCAGTCCGGGATAAGCTACAAGAAAAGCAGTTTCCATGCTGCATGAAAGGCTGTACCCCGGGTGTCTATCTGTCAGGGAACACTGGTTGACATGCTTCATTAGTAAGTTAGTATCCCGCGGTCGAGCAGACTGCCTACAGCCCCTCACCGTAATCCCTTACTGGATAACGACCTGCGCGTAGACGGGTGTAGGGTCGCATACAAGGAGGCTGCCAAGGAGACGTGTGGCTTCTCTGCATCAGACTGCATCTGCGAAGAGAGTTTCAGAAACGAGCTTTGGAACGAGCATTGTTAAAGAATCGAGCACATGTCAGTGTTCGTGGGGATCATCACTAAGCCGCAGATGCTCGAGAGAGACAGCAACGGCAGCACCATGCCACTTTCAGGCAAGGCGGCAACATCAGATGTCACTCGGGGAGAAAGGCAATTGAGTTTGGTGACGGCGCAAAGGACTCGCGGCGGCCGGGGTCTGGTGGCGAACGGGATGTACATACCTTAGTGAAGTAGACGGGATCTCTGGCGTCTGCCGCGGCGCGGGCCACAACCGCACGCCGCGATGCCGCGACATCTCGTGCTTGTGCCAATGAGGAAACGGCAGGAAACATTCAAGGAAACCGAGCTTCGTACATGAAAAGTTGGTTACTGTTGGCCGTTGACCCCCATGCGACGATCGGCATCGTGGGCCGATCCACGCGGCCGGGATTTAGGTACGAAGTGCGACAGGCGAAGAAACGAAAGGGAAAAGATGCGCTGACATTCTGGCATGTGATTCCCCATCTACGGATCCTGGCAGGGGAGGATGGAGTGCCAAACTGCCAATGGTGCATTGCATCTAATCTTGGGTCGTTTTTATTTGTTTGGGTTCCCACCAAGAAGAACCCACTCTGGGACACGAACATTGGAGTCTGGACATGGGGAGGCGGAGGCGGAGGGGACAATTGATAGGACGGTGGGGTTGGAAAGCAAATTTGTTGGCTTTTGATTATTTGTCTTGTGACAAGCCGAGCTCTGGGCTTGATGGGGAGACTATTCTGGAGACGATGGGGACTGAAGGATGGAAGTTGACTCGGTACATTACACGTACTTGCCTTGCCGTCTTCACGATACAAACAAACCGTGCAAATGTCAGTTCCACGGGTCAGGCCCCGACTTGCCTCGGCCAGGTCCGGAGGAGGCGGAGCGCCCGGCCGAGGCTCCCCGGGGGTCAGGAACCTTCGTCCGCCCGGGCCAACTCAGCTCGGTCCTGCCTGCCCAAGAAGTTTGAACAGACAGCGCAGACCAAAAAAAAAAACATAGGGAAGGGGCCCGCCGACTCGGCCTCAACCCCCTGGCATTTCGTTGAGCGACTATACCCGGTTGGGAAAGCGGTCACGATGTTTGCCGCGACCCTGCTGGTCTGGAGGTGCGTCATGCTGGTTCTCAACATTGCCGCTGGGCAGGAACACCCCGGTACTGTAGTTGAGCTGAGTACGGATTTTGACTTCGATTGGTCGCAGCTTCCCTCACAGGACGGGGATGGAACTGGGGTTACTTGCGGCGGTAATTGTGGTGGTGGTACAGGCAGGAGCGAACAGATACCTACTAAAATGCAACTGGACAGCAGCATTGAGGGCGGTGGGCGTTGGTGGATTCCCGGAAAGATTCAAAGACACTGAGCAGGACAATCTGACCGGGATAGCTGGAGACAGACAGGGGGAGGAAGGATGGAGGGGCAAAACCACATGCTGAGGAGCTGCACACTTTTTTTTTCTGCCATCCGCTGCTCGCTGCTAATCAACTGCTGCCGCGCTTCTATTCGTGACCGAGTGATCCCCAGGACCCGTGAACCAAGACAAGACACGACACACACCGAAAGAAGAGCCGATACCGACACCTGTCTGGACCCTCCCTTACCGTAGCTGTCTTACCTGAACCTCCCGGCTTTACCCTTCCTTGACCTACCTTACCATACCTTACCCTTGGGCTTTGCTCCGTACCTTACGGATACTTCCTCCAGGTCCCGGCCAGTACATAATAAGATAACCTTCACCCCCTCCTTTTTGGCGCGTTTTCCTACCTGACCCTCTTGCTCCACTGTACCTCATGCTTTTCAGACTGCGTCCTGTGGTTTCCATCGCCAGAAGCAGCTTTCCCCTACGACGATTCAACTCAGCATCCGCATCCACAATGGCTTCCCTCGGCGTAGAGAAGAAACACAAGGTGACCGTCGTGGGATCCGGTAACTGGTAAGCACCTCTCATACACACCCAATATCTCATACGCAACCCCCATAGCTTCCTTTTCGTCTGCAGAACGAGCCAGATAGCCAGACACCAGACACTAACACAACCCAGGGGCTCAACCATTTCCAAGATCGTCGCCGAAAACACAAAGGCCTTCCCCGACCTTTTCGAAGAAGATGTGCACATGTGGGTGTACGAGGAAGACGTCACCCTCGACTCGGCATCCCCTTACTACGATGCCTCCCTCGGCGAGAAGCCCCAAAAGTTGACCACCGTCATTAATAAATACCACGAAAACACAAAATACCTGCCCGGTATCAAGCTCCCCCACAACATCATCGCGAACCCCTCCCTGCAGGACGCCGTCAAGGACTCCACCATCCTCATCTTCAACCTCCCCCACCAGTTTATCGGCAATGTCTGCAAGCAGCTCAACGGCCACATCCTGCCCTTTGCCCGCGGTATCTCCTGCATCAAGGGTGTCAACGTCTCCGATGACGGCGTCTCCCTCTTCTCCGAGTGGATCGGCGACGGTCTCGGCATCTACTGCGGCGCCCTCTCCGGCGCCAACATTGCGTCCGAAATCGCCGCCGAGAAGTGGTCCGAGACCACCGTCGCCTACGACCCCCCGCCCATGGATAACTCGCGCGCCCCGACCCCGCGTGCCACCTCCCCGAACCCCAACGACAACGGCAACGGCCTCGCGCCTCTGACACCCGTCGACATGCAGCACAAGGACGCCCGCGGCCGCACCTCCAAGACGAAGCTCACCGCCGTGCCTGCAGAGTACCCGCCCCTGGACCACCAGATCTTCAAGCACCTCTTCCACCGCCCCTACTTCCACGTCCGCATGGTCTCCGACGTCGCCGGTGTCTCCCTGGGCGGCGCCCTGAAGAACATTGTCGCGCTGGCTGCCGGCTTCGTCGACGGCCGCGGCTGGGGTGACAACGCCAAGGCCGCCATCATGCGCGTGGGTCTGCTGGAGATGGTCAACTTTGGAAAGGAGTTCTTTGGCCAGACGGTGCACACGGGGACATTTACCGAGGAGTCGGCCGGCGTGGCGGATCTGATTACCTCGTGCAGCGGTGGCAGAAACTTCAAGTGTGCCAAGATGGCCGTGGCGGAGGGGTTGAGCGTGCAGGAGATTGAGAAGCGCGAGTTGAATGGTCAGCTGCTTCAGGGTACGAGCACGGCGCAGGAGGTCAACAGCTTTTTGAAGGCGAGGGGCCAAGAGAAGCACTACCCTCTCTTCACTGCCGTGCACGGTATTCTCGAGGGACGGTACAGCGTCGACGATATCCCGACCTTGGTGTCTGCGTCCGAGAACTGAGGTCTATGTGGAAGTAAAATCTGAGATCAAAAAAGGCATGTGAATAAATAAGGAACGTTATTGATTGTGACGGAATGAGGTCCGACGGCACGCCGACGTGGTGGCCACGGGTGGAGGGGGCCGGGACGGAGTCTTGGGTTTTTGGTTTTTGGAAGACGTATGTTGATATCCCTGGATCATTTACCGCAGTGGCATGGTGTGAAGGAAACGGATTTAGACAGGTTTAAGCAATGACGCACATTGTTCTGGTCAATCTTATTGATCCGTATATTCATCTCGTCTACAAGTATACCACAAGTGAAACCCATATATACCCCCTCAACTCCATTCCTATCACCAGCACAGCAGGCGCCTTCCTAGGTCGGTTGGTCAGGTCAAACTGGCTGGGTGGTGGAATGGTATATGGTCAACAATCAAATTCTACGCCCACAGCCTACTCGACGACAGGCTACGAGTTCGAGTTCGATTCCCAGCATGAGCGCCGAGAGATGTAGCCACACCGGTGGTGAACTCTTTTTCCCCCAATGTCCAAGTAGGTACATCGCCATAGGACATCCTCCTCGTTGTCTGACTGGGTACACGACGCTGTGCCAAGATTCTCTGTGTATCCCTTTAATATCCTCAGTCCATATTCTCAAGTAATCCCAACTTCTCCTCATCGATACCAGCACCCTGTCCCCTCCACGACCTCCCCCTAGCCCACCTCTTCTCTCCGTCATCACCATCCTCCTCCTGCGTCCTCTCCCCATCCCCAAAAACAGGCCTCAAGACAGCATCATACACCATCCAAAGCAAATTAAACACAACCCCAACGTAACACCCAACCAAACAGGTACTTTCCCCTCCTTATTCGCCACCTTCTTGTTCAGCGCAAAAAACACCAACAAAACGGGGAGGAAGAGCGCCTTCAGCAGCCACTGCGCGAGTTTCTGCCGACACGAGGTGGGTGTGTAGGGCACGAGGGAGTTCAGCCAGCGCTGGTAGTCGTCCGGGAGCTCGTGTTCTGCCGCGCCGGAGGTGATGAGTGTCAGGTAGCGGGGGGAAGGTTGTGCGTAGGCTGGGTCGGGGCGGCGGGTTGGGCGGAGGAAGCGGTAGTACCATTTCTTGCGGGGGTCTGTTGGGGGTGTTGGTGTGTCGTCGTCGTCGGCGGTGTTGTTATTGTAGGTGTAAGATGAGGCGGTGTCAGGTTCCTCTGGCTCAGCATCCGGGATGGACGGGGAGAAGAGCGTGTGCGCGAAGAACGGGCGCGGGATATCGACGGGCGGCTTTTCGGGGACGGAGACGCGGGGCGGGAGCGGGATGCAGGGGGTGAGGATGTCCTTGTAAGAGGAGCCGCCTCCTTCTGTTGCTACGATTGTGGCGTAGTCTTGGGGTGTTACTTCGTAGACTACGCCGAAGAGGCCTTTGTCCCAGCCCAGGTCTGGTGTTGTCGGTATCGTGCTCGTACCCTTGTTTGTCTGCTTCGACTCGGCCGGAGGCGGTAGGGGCGGCACAGGCGGAAACTTTGGTGGATCGCTCGGGTCCGGAAATTTGGGAATCTTTCGGGGCGCCGAGTTGGCGAAGCAGGGTTCCGTGTAGGGTAGGCCGGGGAGGTCGAAGACGAGGGATAGACCGGGCGCGGAGACGTTTACTTGGGAGAGCGGGCGGATGCCGCGGGCGCCGAGGAATGTTTCTGCGCTTAGGTTGGAGCCGTAGGCTAGGTAGAGGACGGATTGCTGTTCTGCTGCGGCGGCAGATGATGTATCGTCGGTTGCTGCTGCTGCGAGGCGGGAGGGGGATGTGCGCGGAATGCTCTTGATGGAAGGGTATGATTTCCTCGAGGGGGTCGATGGGGTCGAGAGGGTGGCGAGGTCTTTCAGACGGCGGAGGAGGCAGATTGGTTCTTGGGGGAGGGAGGTTGTCATCTTTTCCCGTGCTTTTACGTCGTAGCGACGGGTCGAGGGAGATGAGGTTGTCGAAGACGAAGCTCAATCGGTCGTTTTGTACGCTGAGCTGGTGTGGATCAGGCGTTCTTGTAAGGGGACGAGCTCGAGCTCAAGCTTAAGATAAGAAGATGGGTAGCGAGACCGAAAAAGCTGGGATGATGCCAGAAGTTCCAAGGAGTGATGAAGATGGGATGTTGTGTGAAGCGGGAAGGGAAATGCTGAAACTGGTGAGCTTCGGGATGCTAGTGGGACGGGGTGGTGGGAGCGGGAGACTTTTTGTGTCCAATGTCTCTGACGTTTGGACTTCGGGTTTGGATGACGACGCTTTGGGGGGAGGTTCCCGGCCTACCTTATCTCTAGCGTCAACGAGCGTTTGCTGCGGGCGCGCCGGGGGAGCGGCGGACGGTGAATGCGCGCGCGTCGGAGTTCAAGGGTGAGCTTATGTAAACTTGGGCGGCGGGATGCGGGATTGGTGGGGGTGAGTTGCGGAGGGCGTTAGACTGGGGAATTTGGAGGGAACCATTTTTTGAGGATCTTCAATGATACTTTGGCCAATTTATGAGAGTGATGAGCTGATGGGCTTTGAAGCTATTCTATCAAGGGACATGTAGCATACGCTATTTTCAAGGTGCCGAATTCCCCCTTTTCGAAACTGGAACCGACTTTAGTACTTCAAGTCCATCCCACTCTGCAGATAATGGTCAGGAGGAAGAATATCTTGTTGCTTCTTCCTCCATACTGTATACGTCAACGGCACTCCTCTCTCTCTGTATACCTACCATAGTCGACTTCTACCAAACAAAGTGAAATCAATTGCGAACATCATACGCTACGAATGTGAAGACTTGGTCTCGATATCACTCTTTTAATTCTTTTTCTATTCTTTGAAATAAGGTATGGCTATCTGCTGATCGTGAATACAAACCATCGTCGATCCTGCCGATCTCGTGATTGCGCTCGCTTACTGAATTGGTATCAGATCGCTTTTTGAAACCTTCTCTCAGGGTCAAGAAGGTTCCGAAAGTCCGTAACGAGCATCATCTCGTTGCCTTCTTCATCATCACCGCCCTCGACTTTAATCTGGTCCGAGGCATCCTCCTCGCCGTCCTTGGCCACAGCCGCAGCCGCAGCCGCAACCGCAACCCCATTACCGTTACCGTGAACTTTACTGTGATCGCCATCTCCCTCGCCAAGCTCATCCTCACCCTCAATCGCTCGCGACACGGGAGCATACTTCTTCGGCACAAGGTACTTATCCATAGCGCCCGCCTGCCCATTGACATTCCTCTTGGGAGTGGTGCCCTTTTCAAAGTAGAACCTCTGAATCACGTGTTGCGGGATGTTGGATTCCGGTTCCCAGGTCGGGTTCATGGACGAGGGCCAGTTTCCCTTCCACCGGACTTGGAAGAAGCGGCCTAGTTTCTTGCCGCTGCGGCGGGAGACGCGGTCTTCGAAGCCTTCTATGCGGAGGACTTCGTAGACTTGTTCGTCTTCTTCTTCGTCGTCATCTGCTGCTGTTGTTGTTGCGGTTGCGGTTGAGCTTGGTGGGTGCTTGCCGCCGGTTTTGCGTGCGGTGTGGAGTTTGGTTGTTGGGGGAGGTTTGGATTTTATGGCTGCGCTTTTGCTGCCTGCTGTTGTTGCGGGGGGGGCCGAGGAGGTTTGCGGTAGGAGTGATTGTTGTGGTTCTTGTGACTTTGGTTTTGGGATCGGTATCTTCGGGATTGGTGTGGGCGTCGTGGAGGAGGGTCGCTCTATCGACTGGACAGGTTGTGAGGGCGTCAGGTTAGAGTAGGAAGAGGTCTTTGAGGCCGCGGGGGACACTGTCCAGGGGGTCGTGTTTTGTATCAGGGGCTTGAAGCCCGGTTTCGGTATCGAAGTGTCTGTACCTATACCGTTCTGTGTCGGGTTCAACGCCGGGGGCGCCGTCGCTGGCGGTGGTAGCATACTGATCGCTTTCGGTGTGGGTGTTTGGACCTTAGGCGAGGACGATTGCTGTGGCGTGGAAGGGGGGTCTCGTATTGAGAGGAGGGACCGCTTCGGCGGCTGCTGTGTCTTTGTCGTCCGTGGCGCTGTGGGCGTGGATGTGTGGTTCGCAGAGGCCGGGGGTATCGGCGGGAAGATGGATGTTTCCCGCGGCCGGGCGGTAGTGCTCTGGGGGCCCGGTGCTTGCGGTTGTGGTAACGGCGGCAATGCCGGTGAGCTTGTGGCTCCTCTGGACGAGTCAAAGGGCGTGCTCCGGCTGCTGGTGTCCGTCTCGATTCCCGGCATGAACCGCGAGAGCGCCGGTCTTGGTGATCGCGTTCTCTGTTTCTTACTCGGGGGTTCTAAGCCTGCGGGCAGACTGCTCTGTTCGCCAGAGTCGTATGAGTTCTCCGTCAGAAGCAGAGGTGTTGTTGTCCCGGTGCCGTTGAGTTGCCGGAAAATGGCCTCGTCGTCGGCCGTCTCATCCATCTCGACGTCCACGTCCACATCCCCCTCCGTATCCAGCTCCCTGAAGTCGTCCGCCAAGGCTCTCTTGGATGGTGTAGAGAGCGAAGGCGCGTTCTTCCTTGGCCGTCCCCGCTTCTTCTTCCCTGCGTCCGCGGCGGTGGCGGGCGGTGGTGTCCTCAACTCTTCCGCCGCGATTTGCTTCCTCTTCCAGCCCCTCTTTGCCCCCTTTCCACCCTTCTCGACCGGTATTGCGACACTCCTTTCTCTAGCCACAGCCTCCTCAACAGCGCGCACATTCTCCGCTTCCTCTAGCCGGCGCTCCTCCTCATCCCGCTCCTCGGCCTTTGCAGCGCACCACTCCTCGTACGCCATGGGCGAGACGTAGTCGCATATCCGCTCGGCGTCGACAACGAGCCGCGCAGCCGGCAGTTCCGTCCATCCCACCACGTACTGAAGACGCTTCTTACCGTCGTCAGAGAGCGCGGGCGGGACGAAGAACTCGTCGCGGATGTAGGCTGTTGAGTCGCGGGGAGGAGCGAGGGTTGTCGGGCGCAGCGGGGGGCCAGTGCCGGGTTTGTAGCGGCGGTAGGTCGGTAGGTCTTCGAGGACCACGGCAAGTTTGCGCGGTTCGGAATCGGGGTTCTTTCGGGGCGGCTGCGGTTGCCGGGTCGAAATTGAGGATGTGGTGGTGGTGTCGTTGGATGTATTGGTTGTGACGGCGCCGTTGCTGGTACCGGCCGGGGTGGGGGGTTTACCACCGAACCAGACGACTTTCTTCAAAGGTCGCGACATGGTTTCTTGCTCCTTTCGGAGAAGTCGCCATGCCACGCCTGACCCCCTTTTGTGATTTTGTTCGGGGGAATGCCGCCGCGGTTTGGTTCGAGGAAGGCTTCGGAAGGAACGTCCGTCGTCTAGCTATAGTTTGGGAATTGGCGTTCGTGTTCGTCTCGTGTCGTGTCGCGATTCCCGCCGGTAAGGACAACGCTTTCGTTCTCGACAGCGCCGCAGGCTAGAAACGTCAGAAAAATTCGACATCAATTGAAGGATGTCATTCACATCATGGAATTTGGTACCTTATTTTTGCGCGTTTCCGCCAATGCGATGCGTGTGCTGTCTTTCGTGGTTGCGGCGCCGGTTGGGGTGGAGGGAGGAAACTTAGGAGCCTTAGTTCTTTAATTAGCTTTTTCTCCACCAGCACAGCCACTGCAAATTTCAAAACTTATCACCTGAAACGTTATTAGCAGCAGCTTATCTGCTGTATTTTATCACATTGTAATAATCATTCTAAATAATAGAAAGTGCAATTCATTAAAGCTTTTAACATTTAATTTTACTATTCTTGAATAACGTAGTTCACAAGCGAGTGAGCCACACAAGCGAGTGGGCCACTCCCTTATCGCGCCTTAAAGGTCGATTTTTAACTATTTATTAAAAATCGGATATAAGTTTAAAATATAGAAGCTTTTTCAAATGAGCTTCGATAAGGGTTCTATTGTAAAACATAATATTATAAAAATTATACATACCTCTAAAACTCCTATATAGAAATTTAGCCTTATTATAGACCCACTTTTATATTTCCTCCTATATAAAGCTATATATGATCTGTATAATATTATATTTTATATTATAGCCCTTATCAAAGCTTATGTAAAGTAGCTTATTAATTTTAGCCTTATATTCAATTTTTAATAAATAGGTAAATAATCGACCTTTAAGGTGCGATAAGAGAGTGGCCCACTCGCTTGTGTGGCTCACTCGCTTGTGAACTACATTAACTAAACTTAGCTTTATAACATTTACTCTCTAATAGTAATATATTTTAGATATCATACTTATCTCATATGTATAAGACACTACTTTATAAGATGCCTTATAACTACCTACTATTAGGGGTCCTTGTGCTGTATTACATAAGGCATCAAGTACCCTTGGCCTTTGGGATCATGCGATCCGGGGAAGCAGGGGCTGCAGTTAGGCCCGTGCAGAAGCTGCGGCTGGGCGTCTACCGACGCAGGGCGTCAAATCTTTGGTGGGCCGAGCTTGACCTCATCGCGAGGAGCAGAAGCTCCATCCACCTCATCCCAGCTTCAGTTTCCATTTTCTCTCTTCGCAAACCACTGCAAACCACCAAAATAAAATCTCCCCTCCACCTGCGCACCGCAACGTCGATGCCCACAACCTCCCGACACAATTGAGACTTTTTGCCAAGGCCTCGCAAACATGCTGACGCCCACGAGCACCTTCGCCCTCCGCCTCGCCGGACAGGGCGCCGCCCGCGCATCGATTGCCTCTTCCATCGCCCGCACCACCGCATGCCCGTACTCCACCGCCTCCATGAAGCAGCACCAGCCCGCGACCGCCCGCCCAATCGGCCTCGCCTCGACAGCCGGCCCGATCGCTCGAACCAGCGCCGCCTTCGCCGCATCCCCCTCGTCCTCCATCGTCGCCCGCGTCGTCCGCCAACCCTGCTCCCAGCGCTGCAACGCTACCGCTGCCGCCTCCTCCGCCGCGGCGCAACAAAAGTCCGCTCCTGCGCCGGGGGACAGGCTGGACTGGGAGACCTTTTTCCAGCTGCGTAAGTCCCGTAGAAGGTGGCAGCTTGGCTTCAGCGTCATTTCTGGATTGGGATCCTTTGTTGGCGGTGCTGGCATCTTGGCTACTGGCATTGCGGACCCGCTGGTGACACAGATTCCTCTGGATCCTTTCATTACGATGGGTCTGATGACGATGGGATTCGGCGCTCTTGGATGGCTTATTGGACCTAGCGTTGGCTCTCTGGTGTTCTACACGCTGAACAAGAGGTGGAAGACTCAGATGACGGTGGTAAGTGACCCCTGCTGCGTTTTTGAGGGAGAAAGCCTTTTGTTAATGTGAGTTTCTGCTGCAGAAGGAGAAGGAATTCTTTGCCCGCATCAAGAAGAACCGTGTTGACCCGTCTGTTTCGTCCGTTGGTAACCCTGGTCAGTACACTTTTCAGAAACACGTCAAGCTCCCATGTGCTAATCTCTATCAGTCCCCGATTTCTACGGCGAGAAAATCTCAAGTGTCAAGGGCTACCGTCAATGGCTCAAGGACCAGCGAGCGTTCAACAAGAAGCGCGTCAGCTTCGTGTAGAGTACCGCCCCAACGACCACCCACCACGGCTCTCTCTGCCAGGGACAGTTTCTTTAGGATTAATCAGGATCATGGCTAGTGGGCGAAGGCCGCCCTCCTCTCTTTGTAGCAATAGGGGTATCGCGTAGGAAAAGTATGTATCATGACGACACAGCCCCCCCTCGTCAGAACAAATTCAACTTTTTTATATCCAAACTCCTCTGTCGTCGCCCGCCCCGTCTCGCATCTCAGATCTCAGGTAAAAGGCAGCGTGGGGTCCACGTCTTTCTTCCAAGCCCGCATACCTCCCTCAATGTCGCCGATGAATCTTTTGCCATCGTTATTCAGCGCCAGATCTTTCAGACGCTTCGCGGCAAGCTGTGAGTCGTTGCCGACCCTACAAACAAGGTAAATGGGCGAATCCTCTGGGAAGTCCAGCGGCAGCCACTCAGGCTGAGGCTTGACTCCCTCGCTGGACGGCTGCGTCTCCTTCATGAACTGTGCAATCGGCACACTCACAGCGCCGTCGATGCTACAGATGTCAAAGTTTTCGCGCTCTCGCACATCCAGCAGAAGATGTCGGCCACCCTTCTCCTTGGCTACACGCTCGTACGCGATCGCAGAAATGCGCTCTTCGGGCCCGAGAACATTAACCGGCGCGGTAACACCGCAGAACGACACATAGTCAAGCGATCCCGATCGCAAAGTCTCAAGAGACAGCGTCGACGTCGCAGAGCAAGCGAAGCAATCCTTCCTCCGGCCCCGCATACGGACAGACCTAAATTGCCCAGACGGCGCCGCGCCCGAAAAGATGAGTAGCGAGGGTGCAGCCGCAGTCACACTTTTGTCTGTCACATCCGGATCGACGGCCCCCGCGGCAATGAGCTTAATCGCCTCGAGAGCCTGCAGCACGCCCATGACGCCGACCACGGGTCCGAGAATGCCGCCCTCGCCGCAGCTGACCACGCTATCGGGCGGCGGCGGCTTGGGGAACACGCAGCGGTAGCACGGTCCGCCGCCGCCGCCGCCGTCCGGAGTGGTGCTCCCCTGCGGCGCGGCGGGCGAGTTGAGGATGATGAGCTGGCCGTCTGTGCGGAAGGCCGAGGCGGAGACGAGGGGTTTCTGGAGGAGGACGCAGATGTCGGAGATGAGATAGCGGGAGGTCGGGTGGTCTGTGCAATCGAGGACAAGGTCGTGTTGGGATACGATTTCTTCGGCGTTGGTTGGTGTTAGGTGTGTTTTGTGTGCGTGATATGTTACTTGTGGGTTGAGGCTGGGGATGTGTGAGCTGGAAATATGATAAGAGGAGGGGGGTTTGCGTACCCCTTTAGGTATGTGATTGCGCTTTCGACCTTTGAGACTCCGACTCTGTCGGCTGAGTGAGCGATTTGGCGGTGGAGGTTGGATACTTCGACGACGTCGCCGTCGACGAGGCCGATGGTACCGGCCCCTGCTCCGGCGATGTAGGCCGCTGCGGGGCATCCCAGACCCCCGGCGCCGATGATGAGGATCTTTGACTTTTTCAGTCTTAGTTGACCTGCGGGTTTCGTTGAGCGAAAGTATCAAAACCAATGTATAATTTATTGGAAGCTCACCTTTGACGCCTACTTGAGGGATGATGAGTTGTCGTCCATATCTCTCATAATCCTCGGGTTGCAGGGGCCATTTCCAGGGTTGAGCTGATGCTGATGCTGATGCTTGCTCCTCCTCCCCTGCCTCTTTTTCTGCGCTGGCTAGCTGTTCCTTGAGATTCTTGAGGCCCAGCTCCGCTTCTGCGACTTTGCGCCGCAGCTCTTCGACTTTGCTCATTTTGTCGCGTGACGTGCGGTGTAAGTGAGAATCGATGACTCCCAAGCGCGGAAATTGTCTAGGCTCTGGCGCACGTCGGAGGTTCCGCCCCCGATCTCCGACCCCGCGATTTCAGAGGGCCCACACGTCTATCTTTTCGGCCCCATCACGAATTTTTGAAGGAACCTAAGCTTGGGGCGTCCTCAAACTTTACCGGCCATTTGCATCCCGTTCTGAACTCGAACCCATTCAATCTATCCGTACAACTCCTCAGAACCGCCAACGATTCAACACAGTCAAAATGGTAATGGAATTCCTCTACCCCCCGCTCCTCCCCCCCGATATAGCAAAAGCTAACGTCTCCAAGGCGCCCACAGCACCAACGACCTCCCTCTCCGCCCGCGAAAAGCGCATGGCCCGCATCCGCGGCGACATCCACCCCCTCGCACCGCACAAGACCCTTCGCCCCGAAGCCCAAGTCGACGACGGCTTCCTCACCAACAAAAAAGACAAGCGAACGATGAAACACAGCGCCTTCCTCAGCAAAGTCGCCAAAACCGCCCCCGGCAGCGGCAAGACGCTCAAGCGCCGGAGGCCGAACAATAAGCTCGTCGCGACGATGGAGTCGCTCGCCGACGCGCTGCCGGACCTGGATGAGGGCGCGCAGACGCTGGAGCAGTTGCGCGAGGGGAAGGTCAGGCATAAGAGTTTGAAGAGTAGGCCTGGTGCGCTGAAGAGGAAGGAGAAGGTTGTCAAGGCTGAGGTGGCGAGGTTTGGGGCTAGTATGGCGGCTTTAGCTTCCCTGCCTGGTGCGAATGCTGGCGCGACGACTCCGGGTGGTTCTGGTGCGATGGTGGTTGAGGGGGTGGGGGCGCAGGAGACGACGACGAATGCGACTTCGAATCGGTGGGCTGCGTTGCGGAGACACATTTCGAGCACGATGGAGCAGAACCCTGCTTTCAGCACATAAGATTCAATGGTGGTACATATACTACTACGAACGGCAGAGAGGGATACCCGACGGATTTGGTCGAAAAAGCAACTTGGAGCACAGCGCGCCAAAGGCATGATATCGTCATCGACGGAAGGTGGCGTCTCCTTGTTTTCCGACGACTGTTCTTCACTCTTGCGGCTTGGACCTATGTTCAGGTGGGATTCTTCCGTAGGACTGTCAATGTCGGGATCGTCGTCTCTGATCGCAAGGGACATTCCGCGACGCACGAGAACTTCTCAGACTCGCCATGCCCTGGATAATTCATTTAGATTGGAAGCTCTCTAGCGCAGATGCGCTCGAATTCGCCAAACATGTCAATAGTAGCCATTTCGATCATCACTCGATGGCAGCGACAGGTCTACCTCGGATATTCTAGAGTTGCCGGAATCTGGATGGCTCTACATCGTGCAAAACCGAGTCAAGTATACGTGTACTGGTGGAGAGGGTTCACGGAACTGATGCTGGACTTGAGCTCCAGTTGGTCCAATGCTACGATGCTCAGGCTGCAAAAAGGGGTCAACATGAGAGCGTTTTGAAGGACACCATATCAGCGTCAACCCGGCCGAGGAGGGCCAGCCGAGGGGTCAAAAGTTGATGGACCCCTTGTGCTCCTTATTAATGGGGATTGTGTCTACAACAAAAGAATATCAAAATGATTTGATTTGACGTGGTTTTTGCACTCGCCTCACGAATGACATACCAAGAAGATTTCGTTTGCCATTAATCGCATTGTTTCTCCTAGCAGGGATAGTGGTTTAGCGTTTCAAGGATAGCAAATCAGCAAATATCTCAACGGCGACCTTGTGAGCCGACGTCATTTTGTCCAGCCTGAAGGGTGAAAACGCGTCGCAAGAAGGTATTCTGCATGGCAAAAAGAAAAGAAAGTAAACAAACAAATCGTCAGGCTAGTCCAGGTTGACTGTTGCATGGTTTGATGAGCTGGCTGTCTCCAACGGTCTGGAGTGGCCCATGGACAGCATTTGTGGATATCTTGGCAGGTTTGACGAAGGGGTGATGTCAGCTAAGGTCCGGGCATAGTGGCTGAAGACGAATCCATCGCCAATCAGCTATTCCGCAAGCGCCTAGCTTGCTCCAAACTGCACAAGACTCTAGCAGTCTGAAGAGTGCATTTGTGAAATTCTTCATGGTCTGGAGTTGGGGTGGGTGTGGCCTTGCATCGTCATACTATGCGGCCGGCAACAGCGATCTACAGGAGGGGAAGGCTCGTTTGCCTAGAACCAACGTCACTTGGGGAACTTGGAAGGAACTGTGCAGCTGAGCAGGCAACAACTGCACCTTTTTATCATTGAACCGCTCCTTCCCATTAAGTCTGCATCTCGAGCAGTTGATATAAACCTCCAAAACATCCCCGTCGTCTCTTCATCCTCGGATCTATTCCTCTATCATCCACAAACGACCATTTCCCGTCTTTCAACTTTCAACTCTACATCGCCACCACTTACACAAACTCCACCCCCAATCGTCAACATGGCCGACACCAACCCCGGAAACTTTGCCAACCGGTACGACTTCCGATGCCCTCGATATGCCATGAGGTATCTTTAACTTATTGCTGACCGAATAAAGTCCCACTGAGGAGGTTCGCGAGATCGCTGCCAAGGGCGGTCATGCCAGCCACGGCGGCGGTGGCATCCCGCAGGAAGTACCGAGCGGCAACACAAACCCGGGTAACTTTGCGAACCGGTACGTTCTTTCTTCCGTGAGACATTCGTCTTTTGGTACCAGAGATCTGACAATCTTCGACAGACCCACGGAGGAGGTTCGTGAGATTGCGGCCAAGGGAGGTCACGCCAGCCACGGCGGCGGAATCGAGGCCGAGACCCACTCGGGCACCGGCAACACCAACCCCGGCAACTTTGCCAACCGGTAAGCGTGCTTCACATGTTTTACTGCAGTGCCCTGACATCCGGCTCCTTTCCACTTCAAGCTCATTTCAATCTTACCTCGCATGCGCATCTCTCGTAGACCACCATCACTAACGCTACCGCAGACCCAAAGAAGAGGTTCAAGAGATCGCAGCCAAGGGCAGGCATGCAAGCCACACGGGCGGCTTCGCCAGCATGGACGCCGACAAGCTGCGCGAGGTTGCTTCCGAGGGCGGCAAGGCGTCATCTGGCTCGTTTGAGCCCGGCTCTGAGAAGGCGCGCGAGGCGGGACGCAAGGGCGGTCTCGCGGGTGGATCGGACTGAGATGTTGCTATCGCACGGCAATACCCAGTACCATGGTTTCTTCAGTGTAACAGGACGAAGACTTTGCACCAAGTGTGTCGTGCCACTGGACCAGAGGCCGAAGCACAGCTGTACGATATTCGGAACACAAAAGGATGGACATGAGACATGATTGATGGGCAAAAAAGATAGGACTGCCTCTACGACAGGGTCTCTCCCTCCCCCAACGAAATACCACAATTGAGATTCTAGGATTCTAGACTTCTGACCAAAGACGTTGCTGTGTTGCCATTGCATTGCCCTGTCAGGCGTTTCGTCCCACTTCCGGGCCGTGAGCGGATGGCTCCGAGGTTTTGCGTGCTTTCGGCGCCTCTCTTTTCTCACCTCGGACCCCCACCCAATTCCCCCGGACCGTTCAATTAGGTGGCAGGCTACTGCAAGAAACGCACCATTTCCAAAGTCAATTCTTCCGCGACCCCCTCCGGCACTTCTCAACAAGAGTGAACCTACCTACCTTGTTCCGAATTGAGTGTGCTGTGATTGGGAGCAGTTGAGATGCATTGAATTCTCCTATCCCGAACTGAATCGATCCTTTTCCTAATTCTCCAGCGGCACCCCCATGTCAATCCATGATCCGTCAGCCCTGCGAGTGGGTTGGTTGGGCTGATGGATAAACTTGGCGCTCTGGGGGCAAGCCACGTTCGGAAGACGCCGATGCAGGTGACGAGCGTTTTCCCTTTCCTATCCCGCGCCTCCCTTTTCCGCCTCTCGACGTTTGAAGAATTTACGGAGTAAGTACTACTGTGGATGAAGGGTCCGGACTCCGCTGTACCGTTGTGGGACTAGGCTCCGTCACCGATGCCGCGAACGTTTTCGTGTGACTCGATTCTTGTGGCGGTTAACCTGCGTAAGTGCTTTACTCATGGCTAGGTAAAGTATCGAGCGCCCGTAGTCCTAGACGGGAATGGCCAGGCTTTGTGTAGGTCGATGACATTTGGGTGCCTCTTTTTTGTTTTTCCTTTTCGTCCAAAAAGGGTTTGCGGCGGGAAGTGCGCCAGGTGGGTGGTATCGCAGATTCGCAGGGCCCTGGTACGGGCATCGTGATGCCGCAGCACGGTGACGTAGACGAGGTGAAACTTGGTGTGCTTTTTCTTTTCTCTTACTCTTTTGCCTGCGTCTTTTGAGTCTTGGGTGCTTCACTTTCCATTGAGACCATGAAGAGAAGGCGAAATGACTAGACACTCACTTACTCGAATCCAAGTAATCTCATCCTACTCACAATCTGCACTGCCTTATTACTGCTCCCAGAGAACAGATCGTGAGGGGGAAAGAGGGAGGGTCTGTAAGTGAGACTTGACTGTCAGAGAAGGTTGTTTCTGTTAGAGGCTTAGCCATGGGCTCCCACCCCCCTCCTCCTCCTCCTTCTCCAGTTCCCCAATGGTGACTCCTATTCCCATCACCGTCTCAGTCCATTTGTCACAGGCAGGCAGAGCTGATGTTCCTTGGTGGGAATCGAAACCAGAATCGGGGCAGCAGCACACTGCCGCAGACAGACGTAGAGTTTCTCCAGATCTTGGGAGTTTTTCCTTTTTTCCCTCCTCGCGTACCTTACCTTACCTTAGACAGCACCTACCTAAAAGACAGGGATGGGCGGATGCCACTGTAATCAACGTAAGGTAAGGTAAGGTATTGCAGATGATCGGCCATCGAGACTAGCACGTTTCGTTTTTTGTTATTCCCTTTGGACGTATGTAAACTCGTGTGTTCCCCCCATTCCTCCACGTCCACGCCCACTGTCCCTGCACAAGAGCTATTTGTTTCCTTTCGAAGGCTTGCTTTCCTTGCTATCCTCCTGCCTCACGACTTTGGCACCCTCACCAAGAGCACCTTCCGTGAGAACCTCTCGATACCTACCTACCCAGTCTCTGGTACTCCCTCGGACTTGGCCAGTGCTTTCACCTTTGTCTCCGTACGATGGCCGCGGCAGTCGACGTTCAGCCAGCAGCAGGAGTCCCTCATACGGGTATCAGCCGGTTAAGCAACTCGAGGTATGCTTCAACTCTTTCTGATTCTCACTCTTTCTTGATTTCACTCTCTCTGCCTGCTTGCCCAACCCTGAACAACATCATCATCGTCATCCCTTCCCTTCTGGGTGGGTGCGCCGGAGGCACCGTGGGATGGTGGGGTCGCCTTCCGAATTGGGTCAAGGGAAAGTGGCCCTAGCTCCTCGGCTCCCCACAAGTGTGGCTTGTCAGCACCTCGTCACCTCGCATTTCTCGTCTCTTTTCCTCCTCCTCTTCACAGCCTTTGGGCAGTGCTGCGCCACTCTTGGGCCACGTCTCCCCCTTCGTCACTCGTCACTCGTTGTTCAAGCCTCACTTCTCAGCGCCTCTCTCAGCGCCTTTTCCCATCCGAGCTGCACCTAAGGTACGGAGTAAGGTACCTTTCGCACTGCTGCATGCCCTGCACCGGTAGTACCGCAAGCACAGAGCCCAACTCCAGTGCAACCAGCCCAGCCAGCCCCCATCACTGCACCTGCACCTGCACCAGCCCAAGTGGTCCCCCCCCCGTTCATCGTCTTTCTCCCGTTCGCTTCCCCACCGCACCGTCGTCCATCGCTCCGCTCCGTCTGCGCCCTGTGACCAGGAAGGATCCTGAAGTTTCCCACCGCCCGCGCGAGAAACACTGGGAAGAGAGACCCTCGTCCCTCCCCCCGCTCATAAATCCCGAGCGAGAAAAAAAAAGCAAAAAAAAAAGAGCGGATGCGAAAAGGGCTCTGAATTAATTTTTTGATTTTATTTCTTGGCCTTGGCTAATTATCCCCCATCCTCCGTTTTCTCTTCCCACTCTTTCTCCGATTGATCCTATTCCCGGAACTTTTCCCTCTTGTTCCTCCGTCCTTGTTCTATCCGTACCGATTCCTCAAGTTCCCTACCACATTGCAAACACACGTACCTCGTCGTCGACCTAGGTACTTCACCTACCCCAAACACCTTCTTGGAAAGATCGTCGCTCTTCTCGAACCGAACCTACCTACCTACCTAAGCACCCTCTGACGCAACTCCCCGCGAAAAACAGCCGCTTCCTACCCTTTCGCTCTTCTCGCAACCGACAACCACCGCCGCCCCGAGCGATCAACTCCTCCCGCTCCGGCTCGACTTCGACGACATCCTCAATATCCTCTACCCCATCGGCTTCAGCAATATCGCCAGCAACATCGCCAGCAGCATCACTCCAGCTTTCCCCCTCGACCTCCCCGACGAGCAGCACCAAGTCCGGACACAGGTCCGAGTCGCGCTTGAGCATGCCTTTCAGGAAGATGGCGCGTCACTTTGGTGACACTGTAAGCTCATTCTTCTTGCCCTCGTCCTCCTTCTTCGTCTTTGGGCCTGTCTTCCCCCCCTTGCCCGCCGCTGCCGCACTGGGAAGTGAGGCCTGATGAGGTCACAATCTTTCTCCATGGTCCTGCACTCCAGGTCGGACGACAGCCGCGGACGGGCAAGCACATGCCCTCTCGTCTCGTCGTCTGCCTTGAAGTGCGGTGGTGAGGCTGGCAACGGCGGGGTACTTCGGAGGGGGCCGTCCTGTTTCAGCGCAAGCGCCAGTGAACTGACCTGAATCGCGTCTTAGCTCTCCCCGCAGGCACCTTACTTGTCGTGTAAGTCGCACTCCTTGCTCCCGATGATCCGCCGCAACTCCCGCAGCGTGATCCTCCCATCCCGCGGTGATCGCAGCCCGGCTGACAGCTTCTTTTGGACGATGCAGATCACGATATCCTCCGTATGTAAACCTTCCGATGGATGACGAGGTGCCGGGACCTGCCGAGACCGCGGGTTCCGGCAACTTGGACCTCCAGCTTAGCTCAATCAGAGAGGCACTTGGCTTACTCGCGTTGCTTGCAGTCACCTACGAAGACATCAAATCACTCAAGAACGACTGGTTGACAGATAACGTACGACATACTTCCCTCCTTGCGCCTGCTCCTAGCTAACGAGTGTATAGAACATTGCATTCTGGGAAGAGTGAGTCCTAACCACTCCCAAGGCCAACAGCCCCCCTCCCTTACGAGCGACTCCCCTAACAAACGACAACCTTAGATGGCTGGAACGCGAAGTCCTCCCCAAGTACCCGCAAGCCCGCATCATCCTCCTCCGGCCCTCAATGACCTTCCTCCTCATGAAGGAGCCCGACATGCGCCAGATCCGCTCCGCCCTCCCCGACTTCTCCAAAGTAACACACATCTTCCTCCCCATCAATGACGCTCGCAACGTCGCCCAGGCCGAGGGCGGCTCTCACTGGTCCCTGTTGCTCGTCAGCGCAATCGACGGCGTTGCCTTCCACTACGACTCTCTCGGCGGCGCAAATTACGCAGAGGGCCGCCTCGCCACCCACAAAATGTCTGAGATCCTAGGCCGCCCGCTCCGCTACCTCAACCTTGACGACTCCCCTCAGCAAGAGAACGGCAGCGACTGCGGTGTGTTCGTGTGTATCCTCATGCGCCACCTGCTCATCAAGCGCCTGCTCAGCGCAAACGCCCGCGAAAAAGTCAGCATGAGCATGGCCAATAAGCTGATTGACAGCCACGGCGGACGCAAGGAGATGCTCAAGATTATTGAGAGCTTGCGCAAGGAGGGCGAGCGGAGGAGATCGTAAGCGCCAATCCCTCATATTCCCCCCCTTACTGAATTTGCGCCTTGTATTTTTGGTCTCTGCGGCTTGTGGATGATGGCAGTGTCATCGTCCTCCCTCCTGTACTTGTACTCCTTGTTTCTTGATGAAGCGTAAAAACGTGTATTATCTCGAGGGTTCCCTGACACCCCTTCTTTCAAAAAGGAGAAGCGCATCACCGTACTCGTCAAAGACGCCGCCGCGGATCGAGTAGTCAACAATAGGTCCCCTCCATGCCTCCCTTTACAAACTCGAACGAACGATACGATATTGTGACTTAATCATCACATTCTTGCCGACTTTTTTTTTTTTTTTTTAAATGTTTCGATATACGATATCCACGAACGAATGCATTGTATTTTATTCAAACAACATAAGAAAGGGGGGGAAATGTAAGCATTTCGTAGGAGAAGACGGAGTGATGAGCGCCATCTACCAACACACGCCTAAAAAGTCCACCGAGTCGAATCGACCGCCTGAAGTTCGAACGCCGTTTCTATGACGAGAGTAGAGACGGGACTGTGAGAGGCGGACGGGGCTGGTAGGAAGATGGAGCGTGGAAGGATCGGCGCTGATGAAGAGGATAAGACCTGAGCGGATCGTCATGAACATGGCGGCGTTGGGGACTGCTTTGGCGGGCCATGTCGGAGTAGAACCGCCGCAGAGAGTGTGGCTACAGTAGAGGAGGAGGAGGAAGAAAGGGGTGCAGATCAAGACAATGCAAAGGCGAGGCGTTTTGGCGTGCCAAGGAACGGTTGATTAGCCAAGAGAAATATGATTCATCTTATTTTCGTTTACGTACGGTTCTTTCTGTGGATGGCATTGCTTGATCTGCATGGTCGTAACTTACTCCTCTGGATGTCATCTGCTCTCAGCTGTGAGTATATCCACAATCAGAAGGATGCGAAGGTATTCCAGCAGAGACATGATACCAGCGCATACGAACCTCTGAACAAAAATTACGAGATGTGTTCCTGGACTAAGCTGAGTGGAGGGACTGGACTAGAGGAAAATCGTCAAAATGGTGTTTAGTTGCAACGTCACACAGCATCGCTCATCCATTGCCATCAAGCCTTGACGAGCATCACATCATCGCTTGGGACCTGGACATCAAGTCAACGGAGTAAGCTGTATCACGCTAGCTAAGAATCTCTCTCCAAACCATCGTTCTCCGCTGGATCATCGATCTATCGCTCAGCGCTGACCAACCAGAGCCCGATAGACCATCCACAAAATGGCAATGAAGTTGTCATCCCGACGTGGTAGCGCAAAATCCTTGACCTCCTTCTCCCCTTGCACATCCATTCCCATCACCAAAAGGGGCCATCATTCTTGGGAGGCTTCTTCTTGTCCAATTCGCGCTTATCGTGCGCGACTCGGGCTGCCAGCTTGTTGAATCCTGCCTTCGTAATTCCGTGTAAGGCTCCACCTCCGCTCATTACTGACGGGGCGATGGACGAAGGAGCATCGTGGATCTCCTGGAGGCGTTGATGGAATGCCAATGGCGTAGTCGGTACATTACTATTCGCGATCGATGGGGTGTCCAAAAGGGACGGGACTCCCAATCTAGAGTTGCCGCAAATGCGATTGTAGTCGGAGCCGGTGGTGGGCACGACAGTGAGGTGAATCGATCGATTATTGCTCATCGTGGCGATGGGCTCCGCCCAAATTCTGGCCGAGGCAGAGCGGCGTGAAGCGTTCGATTTCGTGTTCAGGGATTGGTCTGCGTCACCATGGATTCCACCATCATCAACGATGATCTGCTGGCGGCTTGGTTAGCGTCGTGCTCTTTCTCTTCTTGCTTCTTGTTCTTGGACTGAAGATAGGCGTTCACCTTTCGCTGGTCAATCAAGCCAGTGCTCTGATAGATCAGGTCCGCAGTCTGCTGAGTGTAAGGGTCAGTGCTGTCGATATTATAGTGCAGCCATTCCTTTTGCGACTGCTCAGTGGTGTAGGCCCAGCCAGCAGAGTACCACATCTGGAAGGCACCCGACTTGGGATCTTTGCGGTGACGAACCTCTTTTCCTTGGTCAGGATCGAAATCCATGTACTCAACGGCATCGTTCCAGTTCGCGCCTTTCTCCCAAGTGATAGGCTCCTGTCTCTCGCGGAATGCGTCGAACTCTGCCTCTTCCACCGGATCATCCGAGTGGGCATTCGCAAGCCATGCCTCTTGATAACGCTGATCTTCGGCCTCGGCCTCTTCTTTGGTCTGGAGGCCACGGGCGTTCTCTGTGGAGATGATATCGATGTTGAACGAGGGGGATGTAGGCAGGTATCGAATATGAAGAAGATCATCGAGTGAGGCATCGCAAGGGTCCGGACAAAAGACAACGTTGTGCCCCTCGGGTGAACCGCTGTAAAAAGGGGATCTGATGATACACTTACGAACGAGCACAGCTGACTCGATGTTGGAGAACGAGATCTGAAAGCTTCCATCGTCAGCGTAGACAAAGTGCGTAATGACTTCGGCGAAGGTGGACGCCAGTCCAGCTCTCTTGAGAATGGTACGCAGATGCATGACGGGAAATCCGGTGACGGCAAGACAACGAGTACTTCCCTCGCGAATCATGCTGAGAATCGAGTCCTTCAGGGGGAATGAGTCCGTATTGGCAATGCTGATGTGGACTTGAACCGAGTTGCCATCAGCCGTGGTGAACCCGATTTCGCGGTCCTTGTTCAGGCTGTACCGGTAAAACGCCCTGGCGTCCTCCGGAGAGGTGAACTCAATGTACGCATGGTTGAGGCGATTGTCACTAGTTCCCATCGGCAGCGCGTGGGCCTTGAGAATCCGACCACCTCGAATGTGCTCAAGGATACGCTGGACGTGAACCTCGTCGGGGAAGCCAGTCATGATGATAGTCCTGGAGGCCACATCTGGTACGCCGTCGTTGACAATTAGCTTCTGACCAGTCTCATTTCGGATATACCGAATTCCGTATTTCAACATACCCGGCACAGCTGAAGGGTGACGACTGCCAGTGGCACGCTGATATGCCTGCAGCACACGTTCTTTCTGGAATGGACTGTCCCAAATGTTATCGCTGCCATCACTCCAGTCGAGACCAGTCACATTGTCTGGGCGAGTTGCAGTCTCGATTTTCTGGTTGTCAAGGTATTGAATGGGAGGAGGATGCTGCTTTTTGGCCGAGAGTTCTGGAGGGTCGGGCGTGACGAGGGCTTCCTTGAAGACGTAGGGTGACTCTGGCTTCGGGGAAGCCGCCTGGTTGGCTCGATCGATGTTCTGTGGCTTGTCAGGTGTCTTAAGAGCCGGGAAATGGTCCTCGAACGAGATCAAGGGCTCGTCATTGATGCCAAGAACCGTCGGGAAACCAGAATCCATGTTTCCTCTGTCATCAAGAGATCTGTCATCAAGAGAGACTCCAATGGTAGCGAAAGATTCTGTCACCTCTGGATGATCAGTGAGAAAGCCGCGCATGAAAGCTTCATACATCTTCGCTCGCTCGATAGCGTTGAGAAGGCAATTCTGCATAGCCTGTATCTGAGTAAGGAGAGGTGCATTGCTTGCGACCTCTCCGGCATGCTTCGTCTTGTACTCTATAAGCTGTCCTTGAGTGTGGTCGAGATCGTCTTGGAGTTTGCTTAAGGCCTCTTGATCCTTTTTGCATCGCTTATTTTGCTCGATAGAGTAGGTCTGCGCACGGCATCTGAGGAGGTTGGCCTCCTTGATATCCTCCTTGAGCTTGTTGATTGTGGCCTCGTCCAAGTTCACTTTGTGCTTTAGCGATTCGTTGACATATTCGAGGCTCTCATTCTCGCTTTTGAGGACTTCCTGATCGGCCTCGAGCTGCTTGAGGCGAGACGTCATGGTAAGGAAGTCGTCTTGGCGAGCATCTGAGTAGGACGAGAACGACTGCTTCGATGACAAATGGTCTCGGGTTGTGCTGCTGGGAGTGAACTCGGCCGAGGACGGGTCTAACGACTTGCGACCAGGACCAGAAGACTCAATCTGCTTAGTGACGGCGGAACTCGTGATCGTGTGGGTGTGGCTGGCGTCAACAACAGTAGCATTAAGATCCTTGGAATCGTCATCGAAATCAATGAGAATCTTCGAGTTCGCTTGGGGAAGAATCGGACGAGCAGGGGCGGGCGGGCTGCCGGCGTCGGTTTGGTCATCATTAAAACCATTGTCAGTCGACGCGTAGACGCTCGCTCCGCCGTCATTATCCTTCTCCTGCTTGATGATACGGCCGGGGAAGCGAGGGTCGTATGTGTCAACCATTTTGGCTGTCGTTGCGTTGTGCTGCTGATGGTGGGGATTCAGGGGATTTTCCGAGGCTCGGGAGATTTCAGCTGAATCTCTACTGGGGGGACTGTAAACGAGAGATGTTAATGAATGGATTGACGATGCTTTTCTTGCGAAGAAAACGAGAAACGGATTCGAGAAATGAATGTTGAGGAAGATGCGGAAGAGGAGATAGATAGTACTTCGATTTTTGTAGCGATTGGAAATAACAATTGAAATTACCACTTGCTCTACCAGCGTTTGACGGCTGGGTCCTCGAAAGTGGTGATGTAGAAGGGGAAGAAAGGAAGGTCGAGTCGAAAGGCGGAGGGGAGATGCGCTCCACGTCGGGGAAGGCACCAGCGGGCTTTGGACCAAATGGAAGGATGTTCGAAGGCAGGTGCGCAAGAGGGCTTGGAAGCAGGGCAGGTTCTGGGGAGCAAGCAGCGATGGAAAACACCATGACATACCTAGCTGAGTCTGAAAATGCTTGCGCCATCTTGACTGAAAAAAAAAAGTCGAGAGTAGTTGTAAGCAATGAAATCACCGTGAGGTACTTCTTTTCGTCTAGTGCTGTTGCTACCTGTTGATAAGGTAGAAGGTGTTGGTGATTAATCGAAATGATCTCGCTTGGTGTGTGGTGAATGACTGGCTTATAGAAGGCTGATCTATAAGAGCCAAGATGCGCCTTTGATGATATCAAGAACGCCGAAAGCAAGGCAAAGTCTCTGTCTCTATGTCTATGCTGCTGTCAAAGTGGTGACGTTGTAGGCGTTTCGTGGTACGAATGATGTGGGATTCTGATGAGGATCGAGAGAAGGCTCGACTCGGATTCAGACTTGGCCTGGAAAGAAAGAGAGGTGCTTCAAGTAGGAGACTTCAGCTGACCTGAGATACGTTAGTGATGCTCAAACAAGGGTGAGGGAGTGAGGCTTTCGCCTAGGTAACATACCCGATAAGTGTGATTCCGAAGCCGAAATCACGACTCAGTACTAGTAGACAAGGCTTTGAGATAGGACCGAGTCAATAGCGTGAAGAGTGAGGAGGGAAGCTAGGATATTCAGGTAGGTGAAGGTGCTGCTTCCAAGCGGTGATGCGGATGTAGGGGGGAGGAAGACTCGAAGGAGAAAACCAGAGGAAGAGATCCCCTCTCTTATGGACCCTCTCCAGAGGTAGGCTCGATAGAGCAGGAGCTACCGCGGGGCGGGGGCGGAAAGTCGAGAGGGATGAGCTTGCGAGGAGGTTGGTAGTTTGAAGGAGTAGAGTGGGAGAAGGGAGAAAAGAAAAATACCCCCTTCTCATATAGGTCCTTTCCAGATGTCAGAGAGAGGGGAGAAGCTGCTGAGGAGAGGGAGGAGAAGAGAGAGGAGAAGAGAGAGGAGAAGGAGGTGAAGTAGAGAAAAAAAGGAAAAGAAGAAGAAGATTGATGAGGCGAGAAAAGATTCAGACTTTTACATCCCCTTGGCAGCCAGGCAGCCGGGCAACCGGGGAGCGGAACTGAGGCTATACGGGGACACTGGTAGACGGAGGAGTTTAGGAGATCAACTTCGGTGGAGAATGCCAGACAGAGAATATGGACCAGTGAAGTGTCAGACGAAGCAGGCCAGACGGAAACTTCACATGTAGTAAGCTGTAAAAGCATGGGGTAGAGACCATAAGGTCTAGACCAGACATGTCAGAGAAAGCAGACGGAGACTGGAAGAGAGAAATTGGACAGGGCACAGAAAGTATTACACAAGGATCAGTTCAAGGGGGTTGAGCTATTGTTGTGGAAGAAGCTGGTAGGCTTTTGGTAGTGGGCAGTCTGAGTTGAGTGCAGTTAATCCCAAAAGGAGACCCAAAGAGTTGTGAACTACCTGGCGTTGAAATGCCACATATGAGCTTGGGCAGTTCAGTCTCCAGGGTGAGATAAGTCACCAGAAGGCAAATGAAATGTGAGCGGATATAATGAGGCATACATACTCCGAGGAAACTCATGGCCTCGATTCATTGTGACTTGAAGGATCTTTCTGAAGGTGATCGAGTGAGGAGGGTCAAGTGAAAGAGGTCAAGTGAAAGAGATCAAGTGAAAGAGATCAAGTGAAGGGAGATCGAGTACATGTTGTTGCTCGAGGTGAGCTTGTTACAAAGACTTCAACTACCTACAACAGCATCATCTGGAACTCTGAGGTATAATGAGGACAGGTCAAGTGAAATGCAGTAATCACTGAGCAATACTTGAGTAAGAGACAGCGTTCGATTGACTAGCATTAGACTGGGGAATATGAGCCTTACTGGTTATATCTAGAGTCTCCAAATGATCTGTGAAGCTTACATGATTATAACTAGATCCAGCAGAAGAAATATATGATGGTGTGAAGGTAGACAGAGCAATGCCTGATTGGAATATTGGGGTTATAACCATAGGTGCTAGACCTAGGGCGCATGATGCGACTTGACTACACGCAAGTAGGATCACATGCAGTACCGCAAAGCATCGCATTCAATCTGGTATCTTGGAAATGATAAACTGACGTTACGCAAGGAAAGGGGGTATACATGCTAGCCCAACGCCGTGCTCCGATAAGTCGATAGCCAAGGGAAACCCCCACACCTTATACCCACATGCATTGACCGACTGTCTTAAACTTCAATGACGAAATCCCGAACCATGTTGAGGAACCTCTCACGGTACTCGGTAGGGTTGGCAGTGATGCTCATGGGGCCGTGGCCGGCAAAGACATTGTACGACTTGACGAGTCCAGTCATGGCCTTGGCGCGGAACTTGTGCTTGGCCCAGAAGAAGTCGAGGACAATCATGCGGTAGGTCCAGTTGCCATCAGCATCGGTAAGGCCGGTGCGCCAGGGAGGGGCGTCGGATTGGATGGCGGGAACATCGCGGGGTTCGTCGAGCACGTTGGGCCCGGGGTAGCGAACCATAAAAAGGGAGTAGTCAACGGCGTTGTTCTCGGCTAGGAGCTGGGTGTCGGCTTCGAGAAGGTCCAGCAGCTCCTTCTTCTGGTCGGGCGTGACGCGGACCTTATCCTCAAACTCGTCTATCAATCGCTCCTTGACGCTCTGCGGTGCAAGGTTGCCGTTGGCGATGTCCCGTTCGGGGAAGAAGTAATCGTTCGGCTTCAGGTCGTACGTCTCCCACTGATCCCTTCGATGGTCGGTCTCCTCCTCTTTCTTGCCGTACATCAAGTTCTCCATGATGATATGGTGCGTCGGCGCCATGCCAAGGATACCACCAATCGTCGCTTTCGCAGTGTATGCCATGTCGGTGATGCGAACCAGCAAGCTGTGGGGGTGCTTCTTCATGTGCGCGACGTAGGCGTCGAACAAGTCGTGTGTGAAGAACTCGTGCTCGAAACGGCGGGGCAGCGACTTGATAAGAAACTTGCCGTCGGCCGTCGTAAAGAAGGTCGAGCCGCTGTACCCCAGATCGCCGACGGGCACGAGGTCGGATTCGCGGCCCTTGCCCTTGGCTGCCTTCTTTGCGAGGTGGAAGGAGTTTGTGTACTCGTCTTCGTCAAAGTGCCAGACATTGTGCCGGAGCTCGAGGAAGTCTGCGGCACGGTATCGGGCGAGAGGGAGGTGGAAGACGGAGAGGAACGAGGTAAAGACGCGGAAGATGCGCTTTTTGAGGCTTGGTTTGTCGGGGTTGTTTGAGTCGCCTGATATGGCTGCGAGGATCGAGGACGAGATTGAGGTGCTCCGGATCTGCATGGTGGCGGTTGGAGGCCGAAAGGCCTAGGTAGGTCTTTGAGAATCTTCTCGTGATGGAGTACGGCGACTTCTAAAGGAGATTATCTCAAAGAAAGACTAAACGGCATACAGACCTGGTGAGATTGTAGGCCACTTTGGAAAAAAAAAACCCCCGTTGTAGGATGAACCTGAGCTAGGTAGCTTGTGTTAGGTTTGAAGGGATGGGAGCTTGACGGGAGCTTGTGCTAGGGGGACATGGTGGGGAGCTATTGACGTCACTTTGCCGGGAAGGGCGCCTGCAACCGCCAATGGCCTCAGCCACCGGAGCAAACGTTCCTGATCAGAAACATGGCAACCACTTATTCCATGACTGAGGTAATACATACATGATTACTCTTTTTATGGATAAATGTTCTCTTAGATCTCAAAGCGAACCTTGAGACAGAGGTAAAGAAAGAATCCTCTTCTTTTTCAAGATCCCTGCTATTAGACGTTTCTTGGTCAACCTAGTTGGTCCCACGAAAAGGCTGAAAGAGATGTAAGTGTTCCCAGCTTCAGGATTACTGTCTCTGATTTGCTTTTTTTCTCTGGATAAGCCGACCGAAATCTTCCAAGTAATACCTATTTGCTAGACGAGGCACCTTACACCAAAACAACCGGCTCCCAGCTGGGCTCAACGGAGGCCCATCCATCCAAAGAAACAAAGCCGACTCCGAGGCGAGAGTACAGCCCGCTCGTACGAGTTGTAATTAATACATAGAAGCCGAATCCCTGGCTTTCCGAAAAAATCGTATTGTGCTCCCAAGTACCAGGGAATTTGAGGCCAGCAGCGATGACCACCATGTAATGGCTAGTCCCCATACTCAGACATTTCAGGGCCCAGTGCCTATGCATGGGTGCACTAGTACCTATCTTTGCGCCATCGTTGCCGTAAATAGTAAGTTGAATGCCTTCATCGTCCCCGCGAAGATAGGAGCCTATCCGAACTCTGGCAACTGTTGTGTTAAAGACGAGGGAATGAGGGTGTTCTTCTGCTCTGGCTTTTGTCTTGCCATCAATGTCGATGTGGTGGCGAGCCTCCATGGGACTGTGAGGAGACTGTGCCCACAACTCAATCACACGGCTCCAAGATGCCTGTTGTTGAGGGTACTTGTACTCCACTGCCCGAACAAGCTCTGCTTTGGGTTGAAAGAAGGCTTCGAGGTCTCTCTGGAGGTCTTCTGGGTGTACAGAATCATCGATTCGATCTTCTGGGAACCAAACCTTGCCTTCACTTACGCTTCTGAGCCTAGAGGATCCAGTAGAAACCG